AAGTATCATGGGAGGACTTCTCGGAAACTCTCACCAGCCAGCTCAACGCCATCCCACCACCAGTGGAGATCATATCAGAAAACCAATTCAACGACGCTTTCCTTGCACTCACCAAAGCAATCGAAGAAACGGTCAGAAGGCGAGTTCCCAGAACGAAACCATCGCCATATGCGAAACGTTGGTGGTCGAAAGACTTGGACTTAGAACGCAAAGCGGTCCACAAGTTAGGACGCAAATCACACGCCAGACAAGCAAGTAGAAGAGACCCCATCCATGAAGAATACAGAGTCGCCAGGAACCAATTCACGGAAAGTATTAAGAAAGCAAAGGAGGATCATTGGAAGGATTGGTTGGAAGCACTAACACTCTCAGACGTATGGTCATTCCACAGATACGCAGCGGGCAACCCAACTGACCAGATCCACACCCGCATCAAGACGCTCCAGGACCCCGGAGCAGCTCCAGGCACTACAACTCAAGATAACGCAAGGAAAAGCGAATTATTATATAATGTATTCTTTCGGCCCCCTCCGGACAACGACTTCGTCGACCCGGACTTTGTTTATCCTCCTCCCGTATGCGAATTCTCACCAATCACTGACCAACAGATTTTCAGAGCAATAAAACGCCTATCCCCGCACAAGGCACCGGGGCTGAATGGTATCAGCAACATCGTGTTCATGAAGTGCGCCGAACTCTTAGTACCATTCATGGCTCCAATATTCCGAGCAACATTCGCATTAGGTACCTACCCGGAAGACTGGAAGCGCTCCACCACTATAGTCCTCCGCAAACCTGGCCGCCCAGACTACAGCGCCCCCAAAGCCTACCGCCCAATCACGCTACTAGATACAATGGCTAAGATCTTATCTTCTTGCGTGGCAGACGACTTAACATATATTGCAGAACATCACGGACTCCTCCCTGCAACACATTTCGGAGGAAGACCAGGACGCTCGACCACTGACTCACTCCACCTTCTCACCAAGTTCATTACCGACGCATGGGCGTCCAAAAACAAGTACGTGTCAGTTTTATTCTTAGATGTAAAAGCTGCCTTCCCCAGTGTGGTGGTCAACAGACTATTACACAACTTACGAAAGACAGGGATCCCCAAGGAGTACACAGATTGGTACAACAAACGGCTGGAAAACCGCAAGACCCTGCTCGTATTCGACGACTACCAGTCAACCTCGTTCAACGTGACCGGAGGAGTTGACCAAGGGTGTCCCTTGTCCCCGTTAGGGTTCATCTTTTACAATGCTGACGTCTTACGAGTAGCGGACCCAAACCCTCGTAGAGGGGAGCTAAGTCTAGGCTTCATAGATGATGTAGCCCTTGCAGCAACAGGAGGCTCCTACGAGGAGGCGAATGGAAAATTGGTAAATATGATGGAAAAGAACGGCGGCGCTCTGGATTGGAGCAGGGAACATAACGCAGAATTCGAACTGGACAAAACCGCCCTTATTTGCCTATCGAAACAACGAGTCCCCAGCGCAACAGACCCCCGTAAGACCACAGCCGCTCCTCGCCCACCTATAACTATCCAAGACCACACTATCCAGCCCTCGCAGTCACATAAGTTTCTCGGAGTGATCTTCGATCAAAACCTCAAGTTCAAAGAGCACGCTTCCTACGCGCTCGCAAAAGGAACCGCTTACACCTTAGCATGTGGCCGCATGATCCGCCCGACAAAGGGTATCCATGGTAGACTAATGAAAAGATTATATGAAGGTGTAGTGATCCCGAAAATGCTATACGCAGCTGATATCTGGTGCGCAGGTCTTATCGCAAGAGGAAGGGGGAAACAGGGAGGAGGCAGAGGCGCAAGAGGTTTCTCCTCCCAGATGGCACGTGTTCAACGCATGGCTACCCTGCTCATCACAGGGGGGCTGCGCTCTTCCGCAACAGACCTGCTCGACGCCCACGCCAACATCCTACCTCTACAACAGACACTACGCAAGGTCTGTTACCGTACTACTCTCAGACTGTCCACGCTGCCAGTAACGCACCCTCTAGCTAAAAATATCAAAACCGTGTACAACTTCTGCGAAAAGAGAGGGTTCACGGGACGCAAAAGACACCCATCCCCGCTACACAAGCTTTTCAACGAATTCAAGTTGAATCCGGACAGGATGGAGAAGATCTCACCCGTTCGCCATTACCCCAAGTGGGAATCGGACACCACCATCAGTATCGCGGGGAAAGCAAAGGACGCCCTCGCAGAAGAAGCGGAGGCAAAGGAAGATCTAAGGGCCTACTCAGACGGGTCCGCCGTAGACGGTGGAGTAGGAGGAGCTGCGGTATTAATGAGAGGGGCAGAAAAGGTGGGGGAGAAAAGATTCTACCTAGGGAAGGACACGGAACATACGGTGTACGAGGCAGAGGTGGTTGGAATGATCTTAGCAATCGAGTTGTTGAAAGAGGCAGGAGGGAAAGGCACCATGGCCCTGGGGGTCGATAACCAAGCAGCGATAAGGGCTACGAACGCATTTCACTCCCAACCGGGGCACTATTTAGTCGACGCATTCCATGACGACCTCAGACTCCTGCTCCCCGAGAACGATGGAAGAAAACTCACCATCAGATGGACCCCTGGCCACAAGGGAATCGCCGGCAACGAGGCAGCCGATGTACAAGCTAAGAAAGCGGCGGGAGGAGAGTCCACAGAGGGAGCCAGCCTCCCCAAATCACTGCGAACAAAAACAAACCTCCCAACGACACTTCCCATCAGCAAATCAGCAGCAAAACAACTCTTCTACAGCACAATAAAGAGCGAAGCCAAGTCCATCATGCAGAAGTCCCCGCGTTACCAGATGCTCCGCGCAATCGACCCATCTGCTCCGTCCAAAAAGTTCGCCAGCCTCATAGATGAACTCCCCAGACGCCACAGTTCCCTCTTATTCCAACTCCGTACAGGCCACGTACCTCTCAACAAACATCTCCACCGAATCTCAAAGTCCCCCTCAGCAAGGTGCCTACAATGCAACACGCATGAAGAAACCGTAAAGCACTACCTTCTAGACTGCCCCAAGTATGCGAGACAACGCGCAGCCCTAAGGGAAGAACTCGGACATCGCCCCCTCCAACTACAAAACCTCTTCAGCAACCGAGACTACACCAAACCGCTACTGCGATATATCGCACGAACAAGACGGCTGGAACAAGTATTCGGAGACGTAACCCCCCCCAAATCCAGAGACGAAGAAGAGAACGCAGACTGACGAAGAACATACCAAATGTAACACCATCACACACGCCTTCAGCTGGCGCATCTGTCCTCGCATTAGCCTGGACCAATAGAAAAGAACTTCGCAAAAACTCCAAAGTACATACATAGATAGGTAAATAGCGCACGTATTGTCTACTATAGGGCTCCGCCCCACCGGACAATAAACAAGAATATTAAAAAAAAAAAAAAAAAAAAAATCTTACAGAGATCTCAGTGCGTGTCGCGGTGGTTTCACAGATTCCTATTGACTGACTCGATGTGCGAAGCGCTCATGTTCTTGCACAGAGGTTTCTTTGCACAGGCCATGTAAGAATTTCCCTCGGATCCACTTAGAAGCCCTGTAGGCCGATCATTCATCGTCGCCTACCAATGTGCCAGTGCACTGGTCACATTGACTATCAACCAATTCAAGCTACAGCCAGTGATATGCTCCCGAATGTGGCGAATATGGTCCCACGCATTCTCAGTAGCAGTACGCAAATTTATGTTTTGTTTGGCGGGTTGTGTTGATGTGATATGTCGAGGTTATCGTTGGCACCGTCGCCATCCGAAAACTTGGCATCAAAATTGCGTAAACAGGGGATAACATATGTCCTGATCACCTGCGTGGAAAATATCATACCAGCCGTACGTGCTAATGCTAATGAACAGAATCCAAGATCCATCTGATTCAGTGTCTCCTGCAAAGGCTGTGGCTTCGTTGAATCAAGGATGCCACCCTCACTGCGCAGGACACTCGCACGACTTTGGTATAGTATTCTAACATTGTTCAATGCACTGTTGACTCTTTCATAGATCTGCGTTCATAATTGTGACGATGGCTGGCTCGCTGGCCAGCATGTCAGATTGTGCGTTTTCTTCTCGGACAAAGTCTTTGAATCCCATCCCTTCACTATCCTCTCAGCACCACTGTCCCATTCTTACCTCTCCTCACCTGGGTTCCTTCTCGCTGCATGAAGCGATGGAGACTGGACGCGGGCATTGAGTAACTATACCCGACGGCAACAAGAACATTTACAAATCAATGAGAAGTCTGAGGGCGACTCAGGTGCTTTCGTTCATGTCATACTGGATGGTCCTTATGGAGGGTCAAGCATCGATCTGGGTCTGTACGAAAGCGTGTTTCTTATAGCCGGCGGGTCTGGGGTCACATTCACTCTTGGTCTGCTGGACGACATCGTCGGCAGGTGCATCAAACTAGGCCGCAGTCAGGAGGAACGAACGAGGAGAATCGAGTTCACCTGGTGCATTGGATCATTCGGTATCTCATTTTTAACTATAGGTGTTACATCATTCTGATCTATTTGCACAGGTCAGATAGAATGGTTTGCTCCGATGCTGATAGGTATTGCTACGGCAGCGTCGAATAGCACAATCGACTTGTACATATCTATTTTCGTGATAAGTGCCCTCCTGCTATTTGATATCATTTTGAATTTTATAGCACGCTAGCTGCCATGAACGTTATATTTGCGATGTCGGGTAAGTTGTTGCAGAAAATTTCCAAACATTCTCTGATCATTGTCATGCCAGCATCTGCTATCAGGTCTGGAGCTGCATATGTTATCACGCTTGCCGTTTATTCAATTATCTTGTAGCACTGTCACATCGGGTCGAATAGTCGTTGCTTTCCTAGACCTAAAAATAAGGTACGAGTGACAAGATGATTTTTTAACCATATTCTCAACATTTCCAGCTCCTGCGCAGAAGAGATAAGTAGTCGACATGTGCCACTTACCACCATGGAAGACAGCGAGCATGTCTGGCCCCCTTGCCATGGCCACCTTGGGATGAAGAAGGTGACAACGACGATGACGATGGTCGGGAACGCAGTCCTGAAGATCCTTTCCAGAATGCTCGCGAGCTTGCGCAGAAAGTTGTCCAGTTCGATACTGAAATCGTGGACGCGACGCTTGACCTGTAAGTTGATTCACATCCCACCATTGGCAAACTCGTTTATATCCCTATCAGTGACAAACTGCAGCAAGATCCATTCAGCATGTATAACCCGACCAACATCAACACCCTCAAGGCCGAGCTCTCGCAGATCAACTTCCCAGACTATTTTTCTACGTTCACGCCTCGTACCCGTGTTGTCATCACGTACAAACCTTACCCAAATTCCCTGTCGGAAATCTTGAAAAAGACGCCAGCAGATGTCATCGAGGCATATCTTGTTGTGCGCGCATCGTTGGAGTATGCTCCCAACCTGGGCCGGACCACTGAGGCTTGGAAGGCTGTGAGAACTCTGCAAGAGACCTTGTATGGCCTCAAGCCTGGTGTATTTGGCGAACGCTCCCAATTTTGCATGACGAGGGTTGACGTTGCTTTAGGTTTCGGTACTGGAAGATACTTTGTGAACCAGACATTCCCTGGCGAATCAAGGGAGAAAGCGACCTAGGTCATTGATAGTGAGCAAAGAACAGACTTTGCTCTCGGAGTGCTACTAACTTTCATTGGCCAGACATCATCGATGCCTTTGAGAGATCCCTACGCCGCATCGAATGGATGGATGCTATGTTGAATCAAGTCTTGGGCGCCATGAGTGCTGAAACTCAAGGCACCGAAGTTCGATGTCTCGAAACTGCTTGAACTTCACGGCGAGTCAACAGACGTAAGTAACTATGCCTGATCGCATAAGTTTGCTCTAGGAATGCTTGCCATCAGTCCGAATGCCCCCTCCGCACTCTCAACGCCTTGGCCAACCTTTGGCGCCACCTTGGCATGGTGCCGGCCGTCCTTTCCTCCTTCCGCAGTCTAAACATCTCCACCAGCTTTCGGCACCACCTTGGCGTGGTGCCGGCCGTCCTTTCTTCCCTCTGCGTGGTTTCAGCCTCCCTCCGCGTAGTCCCCGCCTCTCTTCGTGTAGTCCCTGCATCCCTCAACGTAGCCCCCACCTCCCTTCGCGTAGTCCTCGTCTCCTCGGGCCTTCGAGTAGTCCTCGTCTCCCTTTGAGTCCTCGCCACTCTCTGTTTAATCTTCTCCTCCCTCTTCTCCTTCTCCCTTGTGGCCGCTATCCGCCTTACACGATCAAGCGAACAATACAGCTGATCACGCGCACAAAATTAGTATCGCTGACCTGCACCAAACTGGTTCGGTGCATGGATGACTAATGCTCTCCCATGAGCCTAATACCCTAGAAATCACTACGAAACCATTTCCCTCTATTCTAAAGCCAGAATGCAGCTCAGACAAATATTTCATTTCATCTTTTCAATGGAACTCGGACAGGCTGAATATTTTTGTATATTTAATTCTGCGATGAATTTTGCTTAGTCATCCTCAACAATGACTCAGGCTGAATCCCACACATGTCAGGTGACTGTGAAAAATAGTTCTCGCATGGGTTACCCTGGGAAAACTTCCTCAAAACCCTAAATACTTGCCTCGCGTCATTTTCTCATTCAACAAAGTGACATCAGAACGGAACACCAATGATCATGAATATTTCTCTTGCAGTGCACAATCAGCCTGTCACATGACCCTTCAGTCACATGATGCTAAATCACATGATCTTAAGTCAGGTGACTTTTGATCCAAATCAAGTGATGACAGAACACTCAGCCCAAGCATGCTGACTAATGCTGACTAATTATGGTCTCATTTGGTGCAACATAAGCAGCCCCTGCAAAATGATTTTTGGTACCGCTGACTAAGCTCACCCCTCATAGATGGCGGGAAAACGTAGCACAGCCACCCTTTTTTTTGTATATAAGACCCAAATTTTTGCCCAAAGAAGAGAGCTTTTAAGCCCCACTTTCAGAATAAAATTGTGTGTGAAGTGTGATCATTGTCAACAACAGTGACCAGGGCTGTCAAGTACCTTCAGCAAAGTCATTGTAACCAGTAGTCAGCCAGCAACTTTCAGTAACCAGCAAGCCCCTAAGCTCATCAGCATCAGCATTCAGCAACACCCTTAGCTCATCACCACCAACGACGACCAAGACCTTGAGCTCACTGTGCTCAACGACCGACAGAACTTTTTTTTTGATTTTTCTTCTTTGATTTTCTAGTTTTCTTCTGTCTCTTTTTCACTTTCTTTTCTTTCGTTCTTTCTTTCTTTCTTTCTTTTTTTCTTTGTCTTTCTTTTCTGTCACTCTTTTGTTTTTCTCTTCTTTTTTTTTCATTCTTTCGCTCTTTCTCTCTCTTCTCTCTCTCTGTGATCCTCTCTCTTTCTTCTCTTTCAAGTTTCGGTGCTAAGCTTTCATTCATATTTTCAGAAGCTTTTGTGTTGTCTCTTTCGTCCATCTAGACTCCGAATAGTTTAGTGGGGAGACTTTAGGGATTGACAGTAACGCTTGACCTCACTCATCTGAGTAGTGATACTGAGCCAGGATCTTCCTTGTCTGCTAGACTTTAGTTGTTGAATAGGGGACTTGGTACTGAAACCAAGGACGTCCGTTCCTGATTCTGTTTAATACTCATCGTGAGTTCCTTGGCAGCAGGTTCAACAGTGAGCTAAGAGTTCTACTGAGCATTGATTAGTCTTGACCTTTGATTCTACCTGTTTGTGCTGAGGGGGTTGATTGCTGTAATTCCACACAACTCTTTCGAGATACGATTGTTACAAGGCATTGTTGTTGAAGGAAGGTTTGAAGAGGTGTCTTTCTTTCTTTGTTTCTTTTTGTCATCACCATACTGTTGGGTTGACTAGTTTTCTTTCGTCTTTCAATCACTGCCATACCGTTGGAGTGATTTCATTTCAGTTTCATTTTTGTTGGATTGATTGCATTGTTGCTGACCTTACAGAAGTACTGTGGTCTGACATAGCTTGGGAAGTGTAAACAGCCACCCACGAACGACCACGTTATCAGCCATTGGTATTTGTCTGAATCGCTGACCGTGGAGATATTTGTTTTTATAGGTGTTTATCTATAGATCATCTATCTAAGAAGACATCGCACGCTATGGGACATCAGGATGATCGACACACGTTATCCTGCGGTCCCATCTTTTCAGGTAAGTATTCTGATCGTCTTGCGATGTATATCTTCGTTAACGTATGGGATGATGGACGAGGGTTGATAGGATAGTCTTGATTTCCGTTTTCGGCGCAAGCGCCGCGCCTGTTCCAACTTCCTGTGTTTCGGTATTATGTAACGAGGCACGAGTGAAATGTTAGAGTAAAGTCTTCGAGTGAACAAGCCGCGATCATCGTTCGTCTTTGCACAGCTCTCGCTGCTCAATTATCTAGGTTTTCCTTCCTCAAAAGCGCTATGCGCCTTCGCCCAAAAACTCTCCATCATTCCTAGTTCCCAATAAGTCGATTTCACGCTAGTTAGAAATTTGCAGACAATGCAACTCTTATTACAACAATATCCGCGACGGTGTGAACCTCAAAGACTTACGAAACGTCTTAGATGACATTAAAATTGAGCCAATATTTGATAGGAACTGAGAAAGATCAGCGACGTCAACGCTAGTGAGCTTCCGTCCCTCACAGTTACGAAGATAGCGTGTTACGATTTTGTTACTAAGCGTCAAGCCAATCTCTAGTTGCTGTCGAGGGCTAAAGCCATTGTCCTGCAGAAAGTCTTAGATAACATTAAAATCAAAGCAATATTTGATAGGAACTGAGAAAGATCAGCGACGTCAACGCTAGTGAGCTTCCGTCCCTTACTAGTTACGAAGATAGCGTGTTAGAATTTTGTTACTAAGCGTCAAGCCAATCTCTATTTGTTGTCGAGGGCTAAAGCCGTTGTCCTGCAGAAAGTCTTAGATAACATTAAAATCAAAGCAATATTTGATAGGAACTGAGAAAGATCAGCGACGTCAACGCTAGTGAGCTTCCGTCCATTGCTGGCTGCGAAGGCCACTTGTTACGATTTTGTCACGGTCTCATCTAGCAAGTCTATGTTGGTGACCATCCATGGCTAAGTATGATCAAGTCAAATTTCTCGTGGTATACATAGTCATATTCGGTAGGAGCAGAATTACATCATCCTACAGCTACGACGGGTACAATTTCAAGGACTCATACGTTCACTGATGGCCTTCATATACTCTGATACCATGCTCTCATACCCTCCTCCACTTATCATGGCCTCTCGCCTTGCTTAGGTGTTCTTGTGCCTGTTTCCATGCTTTCACACTCTCAGCTCCATCACGTTTGCCTGTTAATCTTTGTTTAAAATAATCAAAAATCGATTTTCTGATTCTACTCAAAAGTATGTGACTGCATTTTGATTAGTGCGCACTGAAGTTGTATTTATAAGTCTCCAAAGAACGTGAGACTCGAAGAACCGGGAACATGAACATGGAGCACAATAGACGCCATACATGAGACTCGAAGGTCAGTGGCACCGTATTAGTAGCTATAGACGAGCTCATGAATAAAATCTCGGGCTCGATCATGGTTATCGCCAGGTTCTTTTCTATCCCCGTAGATTACGCCAAAGCAGATGGTGAATATTCGTGTGCAACCTCACAGGCACGGACGCCGTAGAGTTGGATTTGCCTTATCGTGTGTCATTCGCGATTCTTTCAAGCATCATCATGATGTTCACCCGCGAAAAGCAGTATCTTATGTCCTCCGCGACTGGCAAATGACCAATCAATTCCTCGAAGAGTTTAGCGAAGGCCTGCCATCATCATGGACTCGGTTTTACAACATCACCGTTGAAGTGCCCGATCTCCTCCACCTCGTTGAGTCTGTTAGAACACTGCCAAATCCATCCCATGCTGCAGTCTCGTCGCCTCAAGCCTCACATCTCTGGATCCAGGTCGATGAATTGCGAAGACAAGGAGCAGGGACGGTAGGCATAGTCAATTAGGTTCATTCACAGACCTGGTGTGCCCTCGGGAAGCGGAATCAGGTGGCGCAGCAGTTGATGACCTCAATTTGTGCTATCTCTATCTCTGCAGGCTCTCTGCGAGACACGTGTCTTTGGAATTCACCTGCGGTCGCCTCGAAGAACGGATGATTCGGTATCGGAAGACCCTTGAGAACAAACCGTTCTCTGCTCAGCGAACAAGATTTTACTCTCTTTGATCGGCAACTGAACATGAGCATGGCCGAGTGGAAAAAGAAAAGAAACTGTTGTCCAGCAGCTATCTGCTTTACAATTTGCACAGGGCGCATAGTTCCTTGGTCAATCAGTCTGAGATCCTTGAGCGAGTCTACCATAGGATCACTGCGTAAGTGATGTCAGGACGATTGGTGGTCAGCATGAACTTGTCCGTTGCATCAGATAAAAGCGTTGGTGAATTTCGATCCGCTGAAGTATCAACTGCGAAAGAGTCGCGGAGAAGAGACCCACAAGAACATTAATCGGAAGTTGGATCAGAACTTCAAGGAGCTTGCTGTATGCTGCACGGAACGGAATCTTCTCGCTCCTTGGGCTTCTCCAGCATGAAATGAAGTGTGCTTCGTCGATCGATGAAGAAAAAACTAGGGCGTGGCATGGGTCGACCCGGGTCATACCCGCACCCTATGACCTTTAAGTTACAGGGCAAGTCGCAGCCCAGGAATGTGTCCACCTTCCGGGGTAAAAATCGCTCTGGTGCAACAAACAGTTTACGAAAACTTTCTTGGGATACATGCATGAAAATGCTGTCCAACAGTCAACACTCTCACATACACTCAAGAGTATCTTGTCGTGATTAGTTGCGATCGAACGAATCCCTTGACCTGTAATCCAGAAAAACACGTCACGCGATGAGAGTAATTTCAAACATCCTGCGTACATAGTCTTTTGGAAGCAGCTTTAGAGATGTAACTGTAACAGCCATCTTGTCGAGGGAGAGAAGCTATGGTAAAATCATGCAGAATGTCTTTCCAGAGCCCATTGTAGCTTGAAGGATCACATGTCTTCCTGCAAGCAAAGATACGAGGGCCTTGAGTTGAAATAACTTCAGACGTCTGGTGTATTTCGAGACCAAATCAAGGCGCGCGGAGCTTCGAGTAGTTAATTGCTGGAACTGTATCGTTGAAAGCGTTTTTGTAAAGTCCGTTGGAAGTTGAGATTCAAAGTGCATATGGACATGGGTACTAATACAGAATTTGATGTTGAAACTCATGATTTGGGTTGGGTTGGTTATAAGTCCTGCTGGGTGTCTGTACACGGCACAAACGGCACTTGCAAATCTTTGAACCCCGTGCTTTGTCCAGGGGTCGCCGTCCGTGGCGGGGAATCCGGAACCACAGTGACCAATCTCTTGCGGATTCTCTTCCCCATTTCATCAGTTACATCCTGGAAGCGAACGATGATGTCCTCCCTATGGTCTTCTTGGTCTTCGTCGTCGTCGTCGTCGTCGTCGTCGCAAAGCTGCGATTCAAGTCTTCCGCCAGACGCCGCAATGATCAGATCAACGGGATCAGAAAAGTCGAAAGATGGATCGGAGGCAGTGGTTTTTTCTTGCATGAGGCTGTAGCTGGCAGCCAATATGGTGGCACCCCAGATCATGGTGAGCACCACAAGCAGAAAGATATACGTGTAGGATTGGCTTTGCCAGCCGTACGTCGTGATATACATAGTGCCGCTCGTCGACCTTGTCATATTCGACGGGACTCCCGAAGCAGAGTATCCGGATCGAAGTTGCTAGATACAGTTTTCAATGATATCCACGGAATTCATCAAGGTCGCTTACAGTAGAGGAGAACTCCGTAATACCACGCCAGTAATTTTCCTGCAAAGTAATCAGTCAAGTGATACCAGAGGAAGGGGGAAAATTTACAAGTTCGTTGTACATCACGGATACATTGCTCGAACCATACGCGGTTAAGAAGTCACCAATTGTATTCGTGCTTATGGCTTGGTTTATCAACGCTTGATAATTCATTATATTCACGATAGACTGAGATACAGGTAAATCCGAACTGCTTGTCGAACTGGAAGATGCGCCATTCCGATCGACAGATATGATGCCTCCATTATAAGTGACGTTGACAGTGGTCAGGTAGGGAACGACCTCGCAAACAATCGTTGGCAAAAAGCTGTACTTGTACAAGCCAGACATGAAGATATCTGCAAGCAGTTTACTCGCAAGATATCGAGGAATATAAGAAAAGCCGTACCAAACTTATATGGGTTGAATGCCGTCGAGTTCTGTGGGCTGGGACATACAACAGTGGGGAGAAGTCCCACTGTTGCATTGTCTACCTGACCGTTCGCGTTGCCAACGGTGAAGAAGGTTATTGAATTTAAGTCTGGAGCTGATCAGCCGCGGACGAGTTCATGGCAGAGATGAACGCACTTCCTGAACAATTCGCAACGGCGACCCACGTGATGAACGAGATATTCGAGCCCTTAGGTCCTGGCACCGGGTATGGGGTGAGTGAAAACGTATTCTGGCTGCGGTCGATCGGCTGACATGTAACATTTGCCGTGAGACCCTGCTGTGTCACAGTGTAGTTCTTCGCAATGCCTTGAGTGCCTGCATCGCGTCTGAGGTGTCCCCAGTTAAAACTGGTATTAACTGGTACCTGTCCACCAATGAACGCTAGGCCGACGGCAGAGCCCGACTGGGTTGATGATCCAGAGTACTCCTCTATCGCGGGGAGAACTCCACCTTTCGAGTTTCAAAGTGAGGACGTCATCTTTGAGTGGCGAGGTACTCACCAGTTGACTGATTGTATGAAACTCCGTTGAAGTTGAACATACTACTCGTTTCCACACCTCCTTGAACGCTGACCGCAGCAATACCACTGAGGAGAGCCAAGACACTGATGGTTTCAAACGCAGATGCTTGTACTAGAACGGTCCTTGAGCATCCCAACTGTCGCCGGTCATGGAGATTGAAGCAGTTACATACCGGAGTTCGCAGTGGAGTTGTAGGTATGAAGATCTCTACTCAACTGATTTAAAAATGCAACAGATCCCAAGTCCAGTTCCGTTCCGAACGTCTCCACAGGCCATTGAACAAGGGTGGGTAAGAGGAAAGTGTTCCAACTGTACAAACCAGCGTCAAACACATCTCTGCTAGTTTCATTATCAAGAATAGTGCAGACCTCGTGCTTAGAAATGTGACCATCGCATAGACCACCAACGTGAGGAGCGACAGCTTTAGAAATCTCCATCGCAGTACCCAGGTCGTCCTGCTCAGCGCTATTGCAGTACGAAGCTTGAACAGTGTAATTGATAGCCCAGAAAGGTGGTGCCGAAGGGCTTCTTTGAGGGCAAATGTGAAGAACCTGTACAATAAATACAGAAGGGTAGTATTTCGGATTGGATGTGTAAAGGAAGACACACATCGAAGTAGTGATCGACAAGGCAGTTGAGATCAACGTAACTATCAAGGTCAACACGGTCGGATGCTCTACGATCAAATGAACGGCATTATCAGGTAGTGCGAGAACCCCTGTGTACAAGATTGCTCCAGTGAAGCCCCATGCAAAACCCATGATCACAGTCTGACCGAATATAGTGAAGAGGAGCAGAGAAGTCGCACTCATACGCTGCGAGAAGACCCAATCAACGAGGCCCTGGAGAGTAATAAAGGTTGGCTCACAATTTGGACAAAGTCTGCGAAGTGCATCCTGAAGGTAGGAACGGGGGACGGCGATGAGAACCTCTGTCCGACATCTTAAATATTGCTGCAGGGCGCTATTAACTCGGTGCGTATCATGGAAGGCAAGAAGCGAACATTGCGATCTTTGGACTGCAATACGGGTTGATCCATGATGATTTTGAAACAGACTTTCATATCAGAACCCCAACTTGACATTTAAATTTAGGTCAAGCAAGGTTTCTGCCAATGCAAGGGGCTGTTCTGGGGTTCCTGTGTAGCAGGAGGTTCATGACCGTCACCCGCATGCCACTGACTGTTTTCAGCAAGGAGATAATTTTTTTCCTCCTTGCTGAGGCCACTGTCCATGCCAAAGATTCAGGCGGCAGAGCATGCTGCAGTGGTGGAGGACAATATAAAGCCAATGATATATTTTGGAGTGTCCTATGACAATTTTAGTGCTGCAGCGCAAAGCGAGAAAGATAAGGTACTCTATGCAGTGCGCGAAGTTCGAACGAATGATTGATACTTGCTAAAATTCAAACTCCGTTGCCTCGCCTGCTACGCTGAACGGTGAACGATTTTAATTGCTACGGATACTCGACTCGTCCGTGATTAATGCTGGCTGGTCCCGAGCCTAAGCTCGTGTACATGTCTTTCCCCAATCACAAAACTGTCAGCAACTCCCCATTCCTATGTAAGGTCATGTGATTATCGATAGTAGAATTTTGCTGATGCACTGTATATTGCATTCAAATCTGTCCACCAGTTGGCAAGCAAAGAGGAAATGAAGTCCCAGAAAGTTCAAGCAGCTTAATTATTATGAAAGGTAAAGATGGGGCTTCCAAAATCAGTTGGCCGATTTCGGGGTTCTTGACAGACGTATGGCCCTGATTTATTTTCGTCCAGGGATGAACAACCCCCGACAGAGACTTCCGAGTCAATGAGTGTCATCTCGCGTCACCACATTGCAAGAGGACATCGCGTACTCATTGTTGGGTATCTTCGGTGTCCACCTACCTGTAATCTACGGGGAGAAGAAGAAGAACGCGCTCGGACGACTCTTGCAGGAGATCATGGCTCGGTCGGGAGACCTCGACTGGATCAGACAACCTTCCGAGTTCAATAGCTGTCTTCCAGCTTATATCACTTCTTACGCCACTCCTCCACGTGCCGTTCCATCTTTGTCCGAAGATCAGATTCAGATAACTATCTCTTCCCTGTGAGAAAATCTCATGGTTTTGAATTTGGCTTCGGAACTTTACGACCGGCTTGACAACACGGGCGCTGCTCGTTTCTCGAACTGCAGACTAGTACATCTACCTTGCATGGTATTCCGTGTCACACAAGTCAGTCTGAGCTATAGTACATCCCAAGAAACTCGATATGAAGTCAAGGCAGACGGGCTTGATGACCTGCTGATCACCACCAAAAAGCCGATCGTCCAGTTCCTGCGGACAAGGCCCACTCAACAAACCTTCGTGCTCATCAGTCCCTGGGATCGGTCTCTCCTCGAGTTATTAGACTTTGTAGGTCTTCAAGACGATACAGAGAGCGAAGGGGATGATTGGATGCCGCCCTCGTCTCCATCTGACGACTCGCTTAGCCGTTCTGTTGTAAATCAGGAAGTGGATGGCTAGATTTGCGAGTATTGCAGTTGGTTGTTCGCCTTGAGCAGCCTTTTGGCGCATTTTTACTAGCGCGGTAGCGCGGCAGCGTGATGGAGAATACAAAAGGGTCGCGTCGGATCGTGATCTCATTGCGCAGGTCAAAGATGTGGCTTCTGTCCGGGACCTGATGCACGTCAAGACGATTGAAAAACTGTTGATGCATTTTCCTTTGAAGATTAGGGATCTGAGGGGTTTTCATTGGTACCTTCGTATATGTCATACTACATGCATGTGTATTGGACTAGTTTTCTTTCAAAGCAGACCCTGGAGATCTATCTGCAGCATTTCCACGTCCGATGGCACTAGACTAATGTCTCGTGCTCATCACCTGCCTGCATGCATATTGGTGCTGGGATTCAACTTAAGCTCTAAGTCTCGTCACTTCCCGATGTACCACCCTTCGTCTTCTAGAAGTGCGACAAGTTGATTTAGTTATCCATAAGTCAGTGTCAGGCATATGCATTCGGTGAATTTCGGTCACTAGTGGTACATCTCGAAAGCCTGAAAATATGCACTCAGCCACCCCCACGGCCCCATTAACAGAACAACAGTCAAACAAAATAAAGTTCGATAAGAAAGAAAACTCACGAACGCAAATCATGCCTTGACAGAAGCTTGGCCCCAGGCCTCAACTACTGGACCGTGATTTAAGATTCTTGGACAAAATTTTCACCTACGTCGGGGAATACCAATCCAGAAGATATTCCATATCGCGGAGAGAATGATGCTCGTCTGGGATAGACCCAGTCCAGGTCTGAGTTGCACATGCTATGGTTTGGTATGGAGAAAACAAGGGTAAAGAGGTGTTCTTACCGCACATGATACCGCCGCTCGTACAATGATGAAGGCAACATCTCATACATCTATTCAAATACCAGATGAGACGTCCTCCACTACGTGGTTTACATTCAAACCAGTAGTGGCGGCCGACACACTCGTTACAACCTCCCCAGCCTTCTGCACTACCCCGCGCGTACTCGAACCAGGGCTTGGGAATATTCTCGTCCAGAACAAGGCGATACGTAGCCCGTGGTCAACGATGCGCTGCTTGATGATAAAGAGGACCACGAGGCCGAAAAACACGAGGCCAGATATAATGAGGATACGGTCGAGCCAGTCGGTCTTTTCGAGTGCGGTAATGAGTTGTTTGGAAGTGCCCAGGATGAGATCGAGCTTGTCGTGCGTTGTGGATGTGGATTGGATAGTTGCGGTGGATGACTCTGTGTGAAGCGGACAGTAGGTATTAGAGAAAAAAGATACCATTGAAAACTTACCTAGTAGTTGACAAGACATAACACTGCGCTCGAGTTCTTTCTGCATCAGTCCAATGGTTCGTTGAAGCGCTTCGGTGACATCATGATTGGCTTTCGTGACGTCTTCGCTGTAGGTCACAAGTTAGCTGTATGGGAGGGTATGAATGCATCAGCATACGAACGTTATTTTTTCGCTCGAGGAGCTTGTACTTTTCGGCCAAACGGCAGGGGACCTCAATAACTCCTCTCGCTGCGACCGACTTTTGGAGTCAATCGCGTGTTTCGACGCTAGGACTGCTGCTCGAGCGTCCTTGCGTAGACTGATATCAAGAGAAACAGACGTGTCAGAGGGTGGAAAAAAATACTGAAACGGTTACATACCTTATTAATGAATCACGAAAAAATTCGACTCTTCTCCTCAGCTCTCTCCTCGCCCGCTCAGTCCTGTGGTCGTCAACCAGGACATCCAGTTCCTACAAGTAGTGAGTATGGATTGAACCTAAAAGCGTGAACTGACGTACTTCAATTTGCCTCACCAGACCTTCGATGTCCTCCCTCACCTCTGCAGCACATGCTTGTTGCGTGGTCAAAGAACCTGTACACGCCCTCAGACGAGGAATCTGGAAGGTCGACAGGTCGTTGTGGTGCCGTTCGATTGACTCGATTAAAGAGAGTGCTTCAGTGTCTGTCGTTGTCGGAATAGGCGGCATGATGTTTGAAGGCGGACGCTACATAGTACAAATACAAATACAGCGGGCCTTAGGATTTTGCTGCATCGTACGGATTCGTACCGACGCTTCGGGTGTGCGGCAGTGGCTGTGCACCACCACCTCCGTGGCATACGGACAGAAGGCAAGCAAGCGGCAGTGTCTCAATGCTGCATTGCCCAACTTTGTTTGTATCTATTCTCAACACTCCCATCTGGCAGCCGTGAGGAAAGTTGAAGCCTCATGTAGTCTTTCTGTCAAATAAATCAGCCTGAGGTCGTCCGACTCATGTCGTTTCGGGTCGTTCGACTGGGACTCTTTCGGTCCACTACAATAACCTCTCACGGGCCCCTGAAAATATTCTTTTGGCAAGTAAAACGGATTGGGGGAAAGAGCGAATCTCGATTGAGTATGATCGGGAGTGACGGAAAAGCAAACAAGAACTAGAGAGCGATACATATGTTCTTGACTTGATGCTGGTTATCCTCGCCCAATTATCATACCGGGCCTACGCACTTGATGACAACACCAATGTCTGACTCGAGGCGTGATAGTCCAAGGAGCTGTCACGTAGTATGGCCAGGAGTTCTCGACCAAGGAGATAAAGACAGGCAACCATCCTTAGGTGGTCGCTACGGGGTATATGTGAGCATTGAGGGAAGAAAACTCGATATGACCGTCGCACCTAAGTATCTATCGGCATGGCGTGTGTAGAAATCGGTGTTCTTTTCCCTTCTCGCCCAAGTCCAGCAGCTCTTTCTGCTTCTTCTATCGTATATGCAGGCTCCTTCAAGATTTTACACCGTCGTTTGTGCACTTTGCCCCTCCAATGTGACTGGAGCGCGGTATCAGTCTCAAAGTATCTTTTTGACGAGATGATCAAATTGACCGAGAGAATATGGTAACAGAACAACTTACTTTGCACATTCAACGCAGTAATGCTGGCCAAGGCCAGGTTTCTCAAGGTCAATCGGCTGTGCTTCAAGAGCAACTCGATTCTATGTGGGAGTTGAGATGGAGCGCATGAGCTGAAGAGATTTTTAGTACCTTCGGGTCTAGATCAATGAGCTGAATTTGATCGAGATCTTTTGTGCGAGCCTATTGAGAGTCAATAAAGAAACAGAGACCAGAAAGCATGTGCATACCCTCGTACGGGATGCGCGATGCACGTCGCGTTGTGCATGATGTGTACGAGATCTCCGTACCCGACCCATGATGTATGCAAAAAACCTGTCTGACTAACAAATTCACCGAGTCTTACCAGTTGAATTCCCTTTTTAGGGTTGTCCACTCAGTACGCGCGCAACCAGAACTTAACTTGACCTCACTCGCAAACAGCAATGGCACTCCCAACAAATGGGCGAGTGATAATCGACACAACTGCAGGAGAAATTGAAATTGAACTATGGTCAAAGGTGTGCACTGCATTCGTGGAGTATCTGACTTGGTTGCTGAGCGCACACCCAGGAAACACCAAGAACATGCCGGAACTTCATCGCACTCGCGCTAGAAGGTTAGGAGTTGATTTTGTTCTGAAACCGAGGCGCCCAACTGATTCGGAGGTTAGGTTATTATGACGGCGTCATCTTTCACAGGTTAGTACCTTGCTCCGAGTCAGCGTACTTGGAAAGGGTCCCTAAATTTCCTTGCAGAATCGTACCAGGTTTTCTAGTCCAAACCGGTGACAAAACAGGGACAGGTGGAGGAGGGGAGTCATTCTATGGAGGTGTGTCTTTTTCGTGGTTTACCTTGATGCATGGTCACAATACTTGGCCAAAGAACCATTCGAGGATGAAATTCACCCGCGATTGCGGTATGCTCACCGTGGGCTTGTCGCTATGGCCAACAATGGAACGAAGAATTCTAATGATTCTCAGTTCTTCATTACACTTGGTGAGAAACATCTCAGTGAGACTTGGGAGTTGAAGGTCTTGACGTCACTCCTGTGGCACAGACAGAGCGGATGAATTGCATGGCAAACATACATTGTTCGGAAGGGTAATTGGGGACACCGTGTACAGTACGTTTGGAGGTTAGACATGGTTTCACATTCCTCACTTATTTTGGCTTAGACGTCATGAAAATCGGAGAGATGGGTAGGTGATTTTTGTTCCGGGGGGTTCGGTCTACTAACATTAATTCACCTTCTTCCAGAGATTGGTGAAAATGAACGACCCGTGTAGTAGGTTTGACACAAACTTGTGGCTACCTTTTCCTCTCAAAGCTCACTAGCCTTCATCATCCAGTCCGCCCAAAATCCAGTCGATAACGATAGTCGACAATCCATTCCCAGACATTATACCCCGAATCACTGCTGCCGAGAAGCGTGCTCAGCAGCGAGCTCGAGAAGCTGGCCAGCGTGAACGAGAAGAGGCTGAACGTCGGAGAGGTGCTAAAAAGTGAGTTAGGAATTGTAATTTATGCTTGTGTTGATGACTCTGCGAAGAGATGTAAAGCTTTTGAGCTTTGGCGGAGAGCAGGATGACGAAACGGAACCCGTAGCGTTTAAGAAGAAAAATATTGCACGGCCCGACTGTGAGTTTACTCGTCAACGAGCACGCAAAAACTACAGCTGAGCAGAAGGTTGCAGTGGTCGACAATCCTGATGCCGCAGGCATTCCGATGCCAGAATCCCTACTCGGCCCTCCGAAGAAATCCGACGAACCACCTCGGGAGCGTGCATCTGAGAAGGAATCATCCAAGGTACATACTTTACAGCTACTGCCGAATAAGGAATAACACAGCCTAGCATCAGCACGAGAAACCTTCAAAAAGTAGTAAATCCGAGGGTGCAGATAAGGACATCAAGAAAATTCGTGAAACACACGCAAAAGAGAAGGCTTCCGGAAGGTTTTTATATCTTCTAGCATTTTGTGCTCCAAGTTGACACATGACTCTAATAGTGACGCCCGACGTACTGAAATTGAGCAGATGGAGAGCGAGATCCGCCGACTGACGCGCAAACGAGAAGGCGGTGAGGATAGCGACGAGGAAGCTGCGCGAAAGAAGGCCAAACCAACAAAGTCCTATCTCGAGGAAGAACTTGCCAAGTACTCCAAGGGGCGGGGATTGCAGAAGAAAGGGAAGGGCAGGAAGGATGAGGGTGATGTCCTAGCTGCTTTGAACAGCTTCAGGGGACTGTTACAGTCAAACGCGAACTTGGAGATGGAGGACGGTACAGAGGAGGGCGATCGTGTGGGCGACAGTGGAGGCGGAATCGTCCCTGGTGGAGAGGATCCGGGCATTGAGGTGGACGACGACCGCGGATTCATTGGCCATGCTCTGCACTTCCCGAAAGACGATGGGGAAGAAACGAGGAAGGCTGAGAAAGATTATGAGGTTATTGACCCTCGTCAGCGTGGTGCAAGGGCACGGGAAGAGGAGCGGGAGAGGAAACGAACTGCGATGAAGGGAAAGAACGGGCGCGGCCGTCGGTGATACACCGTCCTTTGGCGCCGCCCGCCTTTGTGCTCAAAAGCACTGGTGCTACTGGATCATCCTTGTGTACCTAGGGATATCATCTCATCACTGATCTAAACGCGTGCACAACGCGTCTGACTGTCTCGGCGAGGTTACAGAACAACGCTAAAGCTATTTGTAATGATCAGTGACTTTTGATGTACTATATAGTACGTGCTAATTAGGCAGAAAGAATACTAATCAAGGATGCGGGCACTCTGAGAACTCATATTACAACAGCACTCATGTCAAGCTCAAAACGCGGTGCATTCATTGTCATCGAGGGACTAGATAGATCTGGAAAAAGTACCCAAGTCTCTCTCCTCCGCGACCGTCTACAGGACGCGGAAAATGCAGGGCCTACAAAGGTAGTCATGCTACACTTCCCCAGTACATTTCTAGTCCAATTCCCCACTCAAACTGAATACAAATGCATTCCCAGTCCGCACGACAGCCATCGGGAAGATGATCGACGCGTACCTCCATTCCGAATCTGAGCTAGACGACCACACCATTCACCTCCTCTTCTCTGCTAACCGCTGGGAACTTGCGTGAGCACAATTACTGCTTTTGCCATCCCTTCGCGTTCAATGACACGGTCTATATTTCTCTGCGCACAGATCTACGATTACAGCTCATCTTGCACAAGGGACGACCGTCCTCGCTGATCGATACGCGTTCTCTGGTATCGCGTTTTCAGCTCGTAAGGGACTACCGTACGAATGGTGTCGTGCTCCCGACGTTGGACTGCCCGCGCCAGACCTTACACTATTCCTTAATATCAGCCCAGAGGTTGCAGCTACGAGGGCTGGATATGGGCTAGAGAGGTATGAGAAAGAAGAAGTGCAGAAAGGCGTGAAGCAAGTCTTCGATAAAATTGGGCGGGAGATGCAGGAAGACGGCGGGAGTGAGGGCAAGTGGGTGGAGATTGATGCAGGGAAGACAAAGGAAGAAGTTGCAGAAGATCTCTGGAAAGCGGTCGAACCGCTTGTCAATGGCGTTCAAGGATCTATCGGTAGGCTATGGGAAAATCTCTAATCCCCGATACCCAAGGCTGGTCCCACTGCAGCTTTGTAAAATAATCGAGAGCCAATATTACATGCCAACATCCGAGGAAAGAGACAATAAGCTCCGTGCTGTAAAAAGTTGTGTTGTTTATTTCAATGAAGAAATTTGAAAACACAAAACCGTGATAACTAAGTATGTATCCTCCATACATACATGATACAATTGGTCCATATCTTTATTGTTATCCAATCATGAAAAAAATGAGAAGAGAAAAAAATATGGCACAGGGTAGTCCCAGTCCTTGATATGTCAAGGGCTCGATGACAGCCGTGACACAATGACGGCGAAAGCGATCAGCACACCCCATCTCCATTTCTCCCACAAGACCTGGCGCAGCTGCCCTGTCCACCCTTGCGGTGTCGTAGTCGGCTTGTTTGTAGATGCCAAGCTACTAGTATTTACGACATCGCTTGCGTGCGACGTCGTCGTGGCAGCGGGAGCCTGTGCTGCTGGTCGTCTATCACACACCTGCAGCTGGTGCGTCGCTGTGGTAGATCTCGAGATAGAAGGAGAAAACGGACTAGGGCTTGTAGGTGAAGTGGGTGTGGCTGCCGTATCTGGTTTCCCTCTCTCCTGCTCGCCCATGTTTGGTAGATCTCGGGGAGTATCCGTACAGTACTGCGGAAAGCGTGGCATTAATCAGTAAACCAGGCACAAGTTGACACCGGTAAAAACAAGTACGCTCAGGAGCTTGGGTATGACACCCTGATCCGAATGAAACGGAACTCCTACCCCTCTCGGGCTTCTCGTATCGTGGAGAATAAATTCAACATATGGCACTCACGTCTGGGAAGGCTTCTCTAAATCTTGGCTGTGTCAAATTATGAGAGTGACTGCGAGCAGCATAGGCTCGCTTGTGACCGTCTGAGGATGTCACCGAGCCAGTGGTCATCTCGTCGGAGAGCATGAAGGACAGTAATCCTGTGAGTCTAAATGTATCTTGATGAGTAAGCGCTTAGGCAGGTATGGCGGGGAAGTCGGTGAACAGAAAAGACAACGATCGTAAGCATCAAATACCACTCTATCAATCAATTATGTCGGGGTCCGGACAAGAAAAAGAAACCGGGTCGTTAAAATCAAGTGAGGCACTCACATCGTGGCGACACTCCAGGCGGGATTCCACTAATAATGACTCAGTGATGATGACCTTCAGGATGGTTGAACAGGACGCACAGTACCAGGATGGAAATCAGACATGGAGAAACAAATCTTCTTGTCAGGTTGGAATCGACCGGAAGGAGTAAACATCTGTTGCATCATATTGGTCATAAGTCGTCGGAGATAACGATGATGAGAGTCAAGAGGAGCACACCTTGATACCCGGTGGCTTGAAGGGATATTCTGCGGGGAAAATGAGTACACCGTGATACTCGCCGCCAGCAAAAGGCGAATCAGGAGGTCCGCGCTGTATAACAGAAGTTGTTGAACAATAGTAATGGTGCTGTCTGCTCAAAGAACGCACGATAAGGTAATTCCCTGGATGTAATGCTTCAAAAGCATGCTTCTGCATGGAAGATATTGAAACTTACAAGTCAAAATGTTCTTTTCGTCCGGTGTTGCCCAAACAAACGGCGGCGGCTCTTTCTGCATGCTCACATACTCCTTAGCGAGCTGAATTTTGACCTATCAGCGACATCTTCAGAGTTAAATGTGTGTTCTTACACGTTTGTGGGCTGCTTTGCTTGCCATGATTGCGGGGTCGATGGGGGCTGTGGAGAGTGGAGGAGTCGTGGATGAGAGTGCGGGCGACTTGATGCTAGCCAAACCACCTGGTACATGCAACAAATAAGTGCAAATAGCTCAAACAATTTCTCCCTTGCCATGGCGGCCAAGGTTCCACGCTTCCTTTGGGAGACTGACTGGTTTTTGTAATTCACATGTATTGTATACCATCGTGCCAGCTGGCATGCTTGGACATTAACAGGTTTATGGTACTTATTCCCGACTTTTGTGCGGGTATAGGAAATAATGCGAGCTCAGTACGTGGCCGTGTTAACGTTCTTAGACCCATATTTGTGCCTGGCGACCCCGTGGCGTGCATGACACTCGCAGGAGCCATGGAAATGCCACGGTCGTCATTAATTCGTCACTAGCTCATCACGGTTTTGACGGTGCAGAGGTTTCTATAGTACGTCGGTACTCAGATGCTACGCTTGTGAAGCGACTTCAAGTCCTGACAGATCTCCGTCAAGAGTACTATCTCAGCCAGTGACATCTTTTCACTATCGAACTATCATTCTTCAACAAGTTCTCCACTCCTATCTGTGGCCGATGTTTTGTACAGCCTGACACGCCGCCATGCTCGGACGTCCCCTGGCCAACTCGTGAAACACAAGCCTGGCATACTACTTGTCGAATATAACTTAGCTGCCGCATCGTTATGGACGTTGAGCTCGCACGAGGCAGTTTCGCTAGTAGGCTTATTGCAGCTTCACAACATGACATTTCTACAGAACTCGATCTTTACACCTAGCCTTCATCTCCATTGCTACATAAAGTAATTCCGAACAAACACCGCTCAATTGATGCATTGCGGAGGTGCTTAGCACTTGCATTCTCCCGCCTTGCAGGAGCACCTGGATATTCTAAATCAGACACCGTGCACAAGAACAAAAGACAGCGTCACTCACGAGCTACCGCACGAACAGGTCGACGACGAGTCGTGGTAAGAAACAGGGACTTCAGTGACCTGTGAAGGAGTATTAGACGAGGAAATGCTTGCAAGAAGTCGTGCGTACAGTGAACATATTGGATGGATTGATGCTGATGCTGGTTGTTGTCAAAAGTCGTCTGGGCTTGTGCTGAATTATGAACAACGCAAGGGGGATCCTTTATACCTCCAGTGTGTATGGCCTTGTTGGCAAGTTCTTAATCAAGTTGAAGATGTTCCATTCGGTTCGCTGTCCTTCCGGAGTAGATGATCATTGATCGACCTACCACTGCCTACTGTCATCCATCTAATCGCGCAACTAACCGCACTGATCCGATGACCATCCATCAAATGCCTCAGAAGCCATTCTTCAAAAATACCCATGATCATGCAACGAACTGATGACATGGAATGCAAGGTCCGGGTACCAAAGAAGGACCAGGAAGAATTCGGGCCATTCTGACAATTCGGATTCTTCCGCACCCTTGCTGTCATGGATCCTGGTGCCAGACTGTCAATTTCAAAACACTATAATCGCACATTGTGCCGATCAATCAAATACCTCAGGAGCCGCTCTTATGTTCTCCCGTTATGTTCCCCCGAGAGTAGAGCGGCTCAGTGCATGATGTATTTTTACACGCTAGGAGCTCGAGGGTCCGACCAGTCTTTATGATCCTTATCGTGAGTTCATGCTTTACAAGGATTGCCCTATTCACGTGACTGGGCCTGGGAGTTGTCCAGTTGTCGCCGCTACCGCAATTGGTTGATGAACAGAACGGACCAAACGGCAAGGGTGGACAACAACAGACCCTTTTTCCGAGATAGTACTAACCCATCCAACAAAGATCTCTATGTATATAAGCAGAATCGCCATCGAGCGCGCGTCACAGAACGTTAAATCGGAGCAGGGAACGTGACCACATGATAATGCGATGTGATCGATATCGATCCTCATGGGTTAGGGTACCGCGTTCTGAGTTTCAGTTTCCTCGTTAAGGCTGCAAGGATACCTGCAGGGCAAAGTTCATCTAACTTTGAATCAACTTTCGCTGCGGGCCCCATGATGCATGATGCCTCGTGCAGACCACACAGATCAAAATGACTGTAAAATTACTTACCCGAGAGTCGAGATAGTGAAAGACGCAAATGAATGACAAATTCACTCACTCTCAGGGTCGTGTCAAGTGCTACTATTCACTCAAAGCACCGGCGGTACGAACAGTCGTGTGGTACTTACTATATGTGACAACTTCCTAGGAAGCACTAGACCCAAGAGGGAGAGTTACTTTCAAAGCGTTTAGATTAGAACAGACTCGTGATTTCGACCCCGGGTACTACCCCATCTCGGCCGACGGTGGGAGTATGAAATACATTTGTATTAATTGAATGAGGACTACGATCACCGTGTCATTATCAGGTGTGACAGATCCAGTAACTCGATTACTATACAACGTTAAGGGGTCGGGAATCCGGAGGAGCCACAGTGACCAGTCTCTTGCTCATTCTCCTCCCCTTGTCAGGTACATCTTCAAAGCGAATAACGACGTCCTCGCTATGATTTTCTTCCTCATCATCCCCGTCATGAAACTGTGGTCCAAGTCTTCCGCCAGATGCCGCAATGATCAGATCAATGGGATCAGAAAAGTCGAAAGATCGATCGGAGGCAGTGATCTTTTCTTGGACGAGGCTGTACCCAGCAGCCAATACGGTGGCGAGCCAGATCAGGGTGATTACCACGAGCAGCAAGATGAACGTTCGGGCTTGGCTTCGCCAGCCGTACGTCTCGATATACATCGTGCCGCTCGTCGACCTTGCCATATTCGACGGAACTCCCGAAGCAGAGTATCCGGATCGAAGTTGCTAGATGCAGTTTTCAACAACATCCACGGAATGCATCAAGGTCACTTACAGTGGAGGAGAACTCCGCAATACCGCGCCAGTAATCCTCCTGCAAAGTAATCAGTCATGCTGATAGCAAAGGAAGGGGAGACACTCACCAATTCGCTGTACATCACTGATACATTGCTCGTATCGTACGCGGTCAAAAAGTCACCAATCGTATTCTTGGTTACGGTTTGGCTTAACGACGCTTGAAAATTCATCACAGTCGCGATGTACTGAGATAAAGGAAAATTCGAACTGCTTGTCGAACCAGAAGATTCGGCAATCCGATCGACAGATATGATGCCTCCATTATAAGTGACATTGACTGTGGTCAGGTAGGGAGTGACTTCGCAAACGATCGTTGGCAGGAAGTTGTACTTGTACAAGCCAGACATGAAGATATCTGCAAGCAGTTTACTCGCAAGATACCGAGGAATATAAGAAAAGCCGTACCAAACTTATATGGGTTGAATACCCTCGAGTTTGGGTTGGGACATACAACAGTGGGGAGAAGTCCCTCCGTTGCATTGTCTGCCTGACCGTTCGCGTTGCCAACGGTGAGGGAGGTTATTGAATTTATGTCTAAAGCTAATCAGCCGCAGACGAGTTCATGGCAGAGATGAACGCACTTCCTGAACAATTCGCAACGGCGACCCACGTGATGAACGTCATATTCGAGCCCTTAGGTCCTGGCGTCGAGGAAGGGGTGAGTGAAAAGGTATTCTGGCTGCGGTCGATCGGCTGACATGTAACATTTGCTGTGAGACCCTGCTGTGTAATACTATAGTTCTTCGAAATGCCTTGAGTGCCTGCATCGCGTCCGAGGTGTCCCCAGTCAAAACTGGTATTAACTGGTACTTGTCCACCAGTGAACGCCAGGCCGACAGCAGAACCCGGTGGGGTTGATGATCCAGAGTACTCCTGTATCGCGGGGAGAATTCCACCTTTCAAGTTTCAAAGTGAGGACGTCATCTTTAAGTGCCGAGGCACTCACCAGTCGACTGATGGTATGAAACTCCGTTGAAGCTGAACATACTACTCGTCTCCACACCTCGCTGAATGTCAACCGCAGCAATACCACTGAGGAGAGTCAAAACATTCAAGGCTTCAAAAGCAGGTGCTTGAACTGGAACGGTTCCTCTTCAGCACTCCAACTGTTGCTAGCCATTGAAATTGAAGCAGTTACATACCGGTGTTCGCATTTTCGTCATTAATGTCTGTACTCAACTGGTTTACAAAGGCAGCAGATCCTAAGTCTAGTTCCGTTCCGAAGATTCCCACAGGCCGTTCGATAAGGGTGGGTAGGAGGAAAGTGCTCCAACTGTACGAATCAGCGTCAGACATATCTCCGCTGGTTTGGTTCGTTGAGAATAGTGCAGACCTCGTGCTCAAAAATGTGACCATCGCATAAACTACCAAGGTGAGGAGCGACAGCTTGAGAAATCTCCGTCTCAATACCCAGATCGGCCTGCTCAGCGCTATGGCAGTGCGAAGCTTGAACAGTGTAATCGATGGCCCTGAGAGATGGTGCCGAAGGGCTTCCTTGAGGGCAAATCTGAAGAACCTGTACAATAACAGAAGGGTAGTATTTCGGACCGAATGTGTAAAGGAAGACGCACATCGAAGTGGTGATCGACAAGGCAGTTGCGATCAACGTAGCTATCAAGGTCAGGACGGTCGGATGCTCTATGATCCGATGAACGACATTATCAGGTAGTACGAGAACCCCCGAGTACAAAATTGCCCCGGTGAAGCCCCATGCAAAACCCATGATCACCGTCTGGCCGCAGATAGTGAGTATGAGCAGAGAAGTCGCACTCACGCGCTGCGAGAAAACCCAATCAACGAGGCCCCGGAGAATAATGGAGGTTGGCTCACGATTTGGACAAAGTCTGCAAAGTGCATTTTGAAGGTAAGAGTGGGGAATGGAGATGAGAAGCTCTGTTCCACATCTTAAATATTGCTGCAGGGCGCTATTAACTAGGTGTGTATCACGGCGGAAGGTGAGAAGCGAGCAAGCGAATTAGGTCTAAGTTCACCCTGCTGTCCCTCGTGTGAAGGGTGCTATTAAGAAACAACAAACCATCGGAGTTTCTTGCAGAATGGAAGAGTCAGTCACTGATGAGCCGGTTGGATTATGTTACAGAATGCTACAGAGCGCTCTGTAGCACTCCGTGGTGAATTACGTTTCCCTGATTCGGAGGCTGCTTACCACCTGATTGGCGCGCTAATACATGCCTCGCTGGTGTGCTGAACCCTGCAATCCATCATGAGATACCACAAACTTATTACCTAACAAGTTACTGCATAGCCTAGATTGGCGTAGCGCCATGCGTCCTAAGTACTTACCTCAGTATGCTAGAGTATGCCTCGCGCAAATCACGATGCAGCTGCGTCATGCTATTCTCGCCCTTCGTCCTCAGAGTAGCCTGCAGTGCAGAAAGCTTTTTGATATGGCTATTTGCATGGGCAGCTGTCAAGTAATATGTTCCACTGATGCCCAATGATATACTTACTGGGGATCCACTGGAGAGTAAACATTTAAATCGAGATTTACATAATGTTGTAATGAGTATGCTTGATAATCATTAGTAAAGGAGTTGAGTACAACACAACAAACGGACTCACCTGGTTGTCATTCATGATGGCGACAATTAATTGATGCTGATACCATGCGGACTTAAGATTTAAAAAGTCGTGATGTGCGTGCACCTAGACTCTAGATACATACCTGACATAAATGAAACTTACTTTAACTTACAGATACCGTGCCAAAGGGATTGAAAGCAAACGAGGCCGTCTATTCAAAGCTATCTGGATCTACAGATGCGCCTGAATGAGGGGCCGGCGTACTAGTTGATATCGCCGGTTAGATATGACTTGTGGCAGGAAGTGGAGGATGAAGCTTAAGGCAGGTGTCCTGATTGGTGTCTATGACTGAGTCATTCTAGTTGCCAATAATTACGGCTTCTATCGCAACTTGCGACTCCTAGTAACCTACGGCTCAACACAGTGAGTGTTCAGCCAGGCCAACGAGATCACGATCGACGGGATTCCACCCCCAGCCACCAATTTATTTTATTTCCTTTTATCGCTTCTATTTAATTGTGGAGCTGGACAAACAATCTTAGTATTGTTCGGGTGCGCCTGCAACTTTGGAACTTCAGGGCAACATCCTGCAACTTCTCACTACTAAGGCCTTCCTCGAACCTGGTGTTGTGCACCCGACCACGACATTTAACCTGCTGCCGCTGTCCTACCTCACTTCGACCTTCCAGACCTTGTGCCTCACGCAGCCACCTGCGATATCTCGTTCTTTCCTGGTTAGCATCCCGATTCTGCGCTCGTCATCTCATCGAGTCATTCTCCTCACCACCTACACATTTGGTCTATTGTATTGGATATATTATATATCATATAGTTACCATCAGGGGGAGTTTGTCGTGTATTCGTAAATGTACTAAGCCCTCTAGCTCTAGCGCTCAAAGTCTCCACGGCATTAATGTTGTTCAAATACTGATTTGGGTGCATTTCCGAAACTTAAGCTTGTCAGGTATATCCATAGAATGCCCATTTGAACTTTGTAGTAGACGCCAGTTGTTTATGTGCATTTGTGCAAAGTTTCGTTCTTAAGCTTAAGCTTGATCATCTAGCTACCGGCCCCAAAGTTCGAGATTCAAAACCCCTTCGCATCAGCTGAATTCCTCCCTGATTCGGCCTACTGCAAAGTGGGTTTATTTAGAGGAACTTCTCAACACCTCTTTTACAGTGTGTTGCATATGAGACGCTGGCGAAGCCGAGTTTTGAAAAAAACACGTACTGCAATTTCATGCAACACACGTGTTGTATAATGCATATGAGCTAAGGTTGCGACTACTTGAGGCTTAGCGGTATGATCATATCCCTTATCATATTGGTTCCCATAAGATCGAACTTAATATTTTCAGCCTTCCTGAAGCAGACCACCACTGTCGACTTCGAGTTTTGTTTCCAACTCCGAAGAAGTCTTTCATGATTCTCGAGCAGTAGATGCTCGACTTTCGGGCTCTGATAAGCACTCTCGTTCCAACGGTAGTGAGCAATATCCATGTGGAGACGACCTTTGGAAACCAAGGTGGGAAGCGTTGGACTGGCGCGGCTGGCACACGGTGGGAGTATGAAATACATTTGTATTAAGACTCATAGGACTACGATCACCGCGTCATTATAAGGCGTGACAGATCCAGTAACTCGATTACTATACAACGTTAAGGGGTCCCCGGAGGACCCACAGTGACCAGTCTCTTCTTGCTCATTCTCCTCCCCATCTTGTCAGTTACATCTTCAAAGCGAATGACGACGTCCTCGCTATGATGTTCTTCCTCATCATCCTCATCATGAAGCTGTGATCCAAGTCTTCCGCCAGATGCCGCAATGATGAGATCAACGGGATCAGAAAAGTCGAAAGATGGATCGGAGGCAGTAATCTTTTCTTGGACGAGGCTGTACCCAGCAGCCAATACGGTGGCGAGCCAGATCAGGGTGATTACCACGAGCAGCAAGATGAACGTTCGGGACCGGCTTCGCCAGCCGTACGTCTCAATATACATCGTGCCGCTCGTCGACCTTGCCATATTCGACGGAACTCCCGAAGCAGAGTATCCGGATCGAAGTTGCTAGATGCATTTTGAATAATGTCCACGGAATGCATCAAGGTCACTTACAGTGGAGGAGAACTCCGCAATACCGCGCCAGTAATCCTCCTGCAAAGTAATCAGTCATAGTGATGACAGAGGAAGGGGGAACACTCACCAGTTCGCTGTACATCACTGATACATTGCTCGTACCGTACGCGGTCAAAAAGTCACCAACCGTATTCTTAACCACGGCTTGGTTTGACGACGCTTGATAATTCATCACAGTCGCGATGTACTGAGATAAAGGAAAATTCGGACTGCTTGTCGAACCAGAAGATTCGGCAATCCGATCGACAGATATGATGCCTCCATTATAAGTGACGTTGACTGTGGTCAGGTAGGGAGTGACCTCGCATACGATCGTTGGCAGGAAGCTGTACTTGTACAAGCCAGACATGAAGATATCTGCAAGCAGTTTACTCGCAAGATACCGAGGAATATAAGAAAAGCCGTACCAAACTTATATGGGTTGAATGCTGTCGAGTTCTGTGGGCTAGGACATACAACAGTGGGGAGAAGTCCCTCCGTTGCATTGTCTGCCTGACCGTTCGCGTTGCCAACGGTGAAGGAGGTTATTGAATTTATGTCTAAAGCTAATCAGCCGCAGACGAGTTCATGGCAGAGATGAACGCACTTCCTGAACAATTCGCAACGGCGACCCACGTGATGAACGAGTTATCAAAGCCCGTAGCTCCTGGCACCGAGTATGGGGTGACTGAAAACCCATTCTGGCTGCGGTCGATCGGCTGACATGAAACATTTGCTGTGAGACCCTGCTGTGTAATACTATAGTTCTTCGAAATGCCTTGAGTGCCTGCATCGCGTCCGAGGTGTCCCCAGTTAAAACTGGTATTCACTGGTACTTGTCCTCCAGTGAACGCCAGGCCGACAGCAGAACCCGGCGGGGCTGATGATCCAGAGTACTCCTGTATCGCGGGAAGAATTCCACCTTTCAAGTTTTCAGTGAGGACGTCATCTTTAAGTGCCGAGGCACTCACCAGTCGACTGATTGTATGAAACTCCGTTGAAGCTGAACATACTACTCGTCTCCACACCTCCCTGGATGTCAACCGCAGCAATACCACTGAGGAGAGTCAAGACATTCAAGATTTCATAAGCAGGTGCTTGAACTGGAACGGCACCTCTTCAGCACCCCAACTGTTGCTAGCCATTGGAATTGAAGCGGTTACATACCGGTGTTCGCATTTTCGACATTGAGGTCTGTACTCAACTGGTTTACAAAGGCAGCAGATCCTAAGTCAAGTTCCGTTCCGAAGGTTACCACAGGCCATTCGACAAGTGTGGGTAGGAGCAAAGTGCTCCAACTGTATAAACCAGCGTCAGATATATCTCTGCTGGGTTCATTAAGAATAGCGCAGACCTCGTATTCAGAAATGTGACCATCGCATAAACTACCAACGTGAGGAGCGATAGCTTGAGAAATTTCCGTCGCAATACCCAAGTCGGCCTGCTCAGCGCTATGGCAGTGCGAAGCTTGAACAGTGTAATCGATGGCCCTGAGAGATGGTGCCGAAGGGCTTCTTTGAGAGCAAATGTGAAGAACCTGTACAATAACAGAAGGGTAGTATTTCGGACCGGATGTGTAAAGGAAGACGCACATTGAAGTAGTGATCGACAAGGCAGTTGCGATCAACGTGACTATCAAGGTCAGCACGGTCGGATGCTCTTCGATCAGACGAACTACATTATCAGGTAGTGCGAGAACCCCTGTGTACAAGATTGCTCCGGCGAAGCCCCATGCAAAGCCCAAGATCACAGTCTGGCCGAAGATAGTGAAGAGGAGCAGAGAAGTCGCACTCAGGCGCTACAAGAAGACCCAATCAACAAGGCCCTGGAGAGTAATCAAGGTTGGCTCACAATTTGGACAAAGTCTGCGAAGTGCATCTTGAAGGTAGGAGCGGGGAACGGAGATGAGAACCTCTGTCCGACATCTTAAATATTGCTGCAGGGCGCTATTAACTAGGTGTGTATCACGGCGGAAGGCGAGAAGCGAGCAAGCGAATTAGGTCTAGGTTCCCCCTGCTGTCACCACCTGTGTGAGGGGCGCTATTAAGAAGCAACGAACCATCGGAGTTCCTTGCAAAATGGAAGAGGCTGCTTACCACCTGATTGGCGCGCTAATACATGCCCCGCGGGTGTGCTGGACCCTGCAATCCATCATGAGATACCACAAACTTATTACCTTTGAGACAATTGTGGTACATATGCTGAAAAGCCAAGAGGACACGATATCCCGGAAAGTTCAAGCAGCTTAATCGGATATGAAAGAGAATAAACGTAAAGATGGGACTCCGTCAACAAGTTACTGCATAGCCTAGATTGGCGTAGCGCCAGGCGTCCCAAGTACTTACCTCAGTATGCTACAGTATGCCTCGCGCGAATCACGATGCAGCTGTGTTGTTCTATTCTCGCCCTTCGTCTAGTACTGAGGAGTCTGAGCAGCTGCACTGCAGAAAGCTCCTTGATGTGGCTGTTTGCATGGGCAGTTGTAAAGTCATGTGTCCTGCTAGTGCCCAATATAATATTGGGACGTACTTACTAGGAATCCGCTGAGGAGTAAAACATTCAAATCGAGTGTTTGTGATGAGTGTGACTCGGTTTAAACTTCAGCCAGGCTGGCCAGTTAACGGCAGTGATCACGATCGACGAATATTAAAATATTAATAGCCAGTACCCCAGCCACCCCATTCTGATATTTATTACATTTCCTCTTATTGCTTCTATTTACTTGTGGAGCTGGACAAACAACACTAGGGTCGCGCCTGCGACTGCGGAATCATACCTTTTACATCAATCTCTCCAGGTTTAAGCATTGGCAGATTTGTCTGGGGGGCCATTGGATTCACATGCTTGGCCCTGCTCCTGATAGCATGTATCAATTTCTCGTGAGTCTTCCCTGAAACCATCAGGCGGAGTTTGTCATGTATTCGTAAATGTACTAAGCCCTTTAGCTTGATTGACGCTAGCGCTCAACGTCTGCAACGGCAATATTGTTCAACGTTCAACTACCGATTTGGGTGCATTTCAAAACCTGTCAGGTATGTCCGCAGAATGCCCACCTGAAATTTGCAGTAGAGTTTATGTGCATTTCTGCCAAGTCTAATTCTTGATAGCTACCGACCCCGAAGTTCGAGATTCAAACTCCCATCTCCCTGCTGCAAAGTGGGTTTGTCTGGAGAAACCTTTTTTATTCAAAAAATCGCATTCAACTTGTATAATGCACATGAGCTGAGGTTGCGAGTACTTGAGCCTTGAGGTCCATGTACGTGACCATACTGGTTACCATAAAATCAAACTCAAGATTCCAGCCTTCCTGACGCAGACCACCACTGTCGACTTTTGAGGTTTCCAACTCCGAAGAAGGCTTTATGATTCTTGCGGAGTAGATGCTCAGCTTTCGGGCTCTGATGAGCGCTTTCAACGTTCCAACGGTAGTGAGTAATATCCATGTGGAGACGATCTTTGGTAACCAAGGCGGGAAGCGTATTAGCACTCTAACTCAATATGTACGATCACGAAAAACCACCATGTGGGCCTGGGGACCGTCAACGTTCCATCGGAAATCTGCGCTTTACTGTTACTCCTGTGCCCGCGTTCAGCACTAGTAAACGTCGAGTATTTCCTGGATCGCATTTGTTCAATCTATCCGGGTTCTTTGCCACTCCTTTGAAATTTTTGCAGTCTGGCAAAGGCTCGCAATTGGTAGGTTCCGAACAAAGCGTGTCCTCTGTCTTGAACCTAGACTTAGGCTTTCAAGGAACCGAACGAATACAGGCCTGATGACCCACCTGACCCATCACTCATTTACCAGCCTCAGAAGATCACTGTCTTCTGCAACCTCAGTTTTAAGCCCAGCACCTCGTTGATTTTACGTGATAATGTGTCATATCTCACAGCGAAGTGTCGCAGTTCCGTTCCGCTGTGCACTATCATGATCCAGTGAGATCGTATACCGGGTGTTCACGTTCTGCCTATGAGCTTCCTGGCTCGGGGTCTGTCCATACTGATATTGTTTGATCGTGAATAGCAGGTATTACAGAGTGGAATTACAATGAGCTCCTTTCATATCAGCAGAATGACATGCCTTTTTACAAAAGTTGTTTATTGTCCACAATCCTCAATGCACAAAATAATTCCGAGCAAAATGTATGTAATGTATAGTATGTGAATCCAAGCCAAATGCGTTCAATGCCAAAAGATTACAGATGCGTATGTCCTTGATCAACCATCCCCTTTGCCAGTTCGTCGCGCCTTCCCTTTCCTCTCAACACATCCATCAATGCCCTCGCCGCAGAGCTCTCTTTACTACCCTTCCCAACCTTATCCCCACGAGAAGGCGAACGTGCACTTCGATCATCCCGAGAAGACAACAAAGAAGAGCGAGTGCTCTCACTCCCGCTCTCCCTTTCTCCGTTCCTTACCCACGCCCGCGCACCAAGCACGAGCGAAACTCGCTTCCCCCACCCACCATGCAAATTCCCACCAGGAGCGGAGCGCGCTAGGACAGGCACCGTCTGCACCGCTACTGCAGGCAACGAGAATCGTTTCTTCTTCCTGGTAGTATCTTCCTTCTTTTTGTGAACATATCCGGGTGTGGGCTCGTGTTCGCGAGGTTGTTTTGGTTGTACTCCGTCGTGAACCTCTTCTTCTTGATGCCTGTCGTGTATCTCCCCTCCCCTACCGTGCACATTCACTCCCTCGTAGACAGCATGCACTTCTTCATGGTACACCCGGTCATCAATCCTTGACGCTCGCTCCTCAGCCACGGCACCCAAAGAAGTTGCCACAGAACTACCCACGCTCCCACCCCTCGCATGAACCTCGAAGTCATCCAATATATCGTGGTAGCTCCGTGGGCGCGGGCGCGTGGAGGGGCGGATGCGGATGGGGCGGGATATAGGAGCGCGGAGGGTTGGTGCGGTTTCTTGGTATCGAGATTCTTGATCTAAAGTGGTGGCAGCGTAACAGTCCCGTGCCGATGGATCACGCACGCGCATAGTGGGCACGTCTGGATCTTCGTCTTCATATATGTCGTCTTGAGCCGTAAATCGGGAGGAAGAAGGAGAGAGCGTGGTAGGAGAGAGCGAGGGAGAATCGCCATCACCTAATAAGATCCGCGGGAGATGACGGGTAGGACTAGGTGTGAACGCGCGCTTGCTTGGATTTGTGCTGAGCTCGCGTTTGGACGGTCTTGGGCTCGCGTTTTTACCAGATGGATGACCAGCATGACCGGCATTCATACCAACATTTCCCTCCATCTCTCGCTTACTCGCACTAGAACTCAATCTCGTCCTCGACGGACTCGCACCCGACACAATTCGACCCCTACTAGGGCTCAACGTCATCGCCATCAACGCGTGAGCACCACTACTCCCTTCAGTGGGTATAGGCGTAGAGAGCCAGGCTGGGATACCGTGGAGGGTTGGGGAGTGGTGTGTAGACGGATTTGCTGATAAAGTAGATGGAGTACTAGAACCACCGGTGATGGACTGGATTGGAGGAAAGGCAGCTTCGTAGCACTCGTTGCATGCACGTGCAGGTTTCGCTTTGGTGTTTTTGCCAGAAGGGGATTGGGAGGATGGGTCGGTGATGTAGAATGTCTGAGTTTAGGAGTGTTAGTTTGCGGTGTGGAAAACCAAAGGATCAACTGTAGCGAAAAAGCAAACGAACGACAGGGAACAGCGAAACACAGCTGAATAAAACACAAGACTTACCCGTCCAGAACAGTCAGCACACACAACCCTTCCACAAAGCCTACAATGATGTCGTCTTCTCCACATCCCTTCACCACTCCCAGGTCTTCCTTCTCCCCCACCACTCCCACCTTCCTGTGCATTTCCCTCGCTGTTCTCACCCACGCCTTCTTCGTCCGTGCCCTTATCTTCTTGACCTTGACTCACACTCCTCCCCCACTCAAACGAGGTAAACGACGGCAAAGAGAAAGACACAGACATCGATAGAGGTACCGTGAACCTCACAAGCCCAAACGGGCGTGCACACCGCATGCATGCGTCTGTCTTTGCGTCTGGGACCCAGACTGGTGGTAGGAAGGGCAAGGGTGCACGTTGAGGTCGGGCGGAAAGAGGGAGCCCTTCTACGTGTGTTGGAGTTGTTATATTCGGTGCTTGTTGAGATGCTAAATCGGGGAGATTTGGCTGTCGAGTGTCTAAAGTAGGCACTTCGTATTCTTGGATCTGAGATACACGTTCATCCCTCTCCTCAGGTTCGTATGCCTCCGCCCACAACACCCCACGCATCCTAACACCCCGGAGCGCAATCGACGGATCACGCGCCAGGAGCGCAGATCGAGCCTGGCGTAAAAGATGGAGAAAGGTATGTAGAGAAGTATCGTTCGATGCCGAGGTTAAGGGAGCTGTACGACGAGTGGCTAATGCAGATTCCGAAGCAGAGGAAGAAAGACCCCTTGGTGATGGGGGTTGCGACGGGACCGCATATACCGCGAACGAGCCTCCAGGACTCAACACCTCCAGTCGGGGCGGGTGATGCGACGGATCGAGCACCGCCTCGATATCGACGAGGGAGAGATGATTTCTGTACGTGTATGTATGTCGCTCGTCGCTAGCGGTAGCATGTGCCGCGAGAGTGAACCAGTGGGAATCGCGCAGAGTGGACGGATCGAAGTCTAGCCATACCAATACGTCGTCGAATAGCAGAAATTCACATATGCGATCTCGCCTGCCTCTCCCTATCGTTGGGCCTTCTATGGCTACACCGCCAGAGTCTATCACGAGAGGGGCGCGGAAGATTAAGGTGCGGCCTGGCTGAACGAAGTGTAGTGTAGGCGGAAGGCCGAGGGTAGCGCGTTGCAATGCGAGGAGCGAGAGTGTATGTGCGTGCGCATGAAGAGATGTATTGAGAGATGATGTCACTGGTGGTTGTTCAATTTAGAGACACAGACGAATAAAGAAACTCACCTTTCTCAACAAGGGCAAGGACCTTTCCTAGTCTATCCCACTCTCCCTCTCCCTCCTTTTCTCTCCTTTCTACATTTATCAACTCCTTGAGCAATAAAACATACCTTGGGCACCTTTGTACGATGCTCAAAAGCCAATCCGTGAGTTTTAGCTGCCCGCAGCGTGGATCGCGCTCTTGTGTTCGTAGAAATAGGGCAAATGGCGCGGGTGGACGGGAAAGGAAGGATATAGAACTTGGGAATGCGGTTATAAATGGCGTGTAAAGAGAGAGATAAGGAAAATGCGAGAGAAGGAGTGCTGAAAGGGGCGGTGGGTTAGGATTTGGGACGTCAAAGTGAGACAGAGAGGGATGGAGCAGCGCAGTCAGGGCACTGAAAAATGCATGATGAAAGTTCCAAATGTCAATAAAATTTGAGAAAATGGTAGTCAATTCCGTGCGCGCAAGGAGCGGACGGGAACTGTCGAGCGACGCTATGATCGGCGTCAAGAAGTGCTACACAGGAAATCAGTTCATCTCATTCAAATCAAGGGCCATCAATACTCACATCATGCACGAGATCCAGTCCCTGCACATAACTTCTTTCTGTATCCCAAAACTCTCTTATTACCTTTGTTCGTTTTGCCTCTCGTGCTATATCTTCTGGTGCAGGTGTCCTGGATTGTTTGCGCTTAAGTGAACGACGTTTAGGGCGCCTAACGACTGGCTCCTCGGGCAGAGAATCGAATGATGCAAAACTGGCGACAGATTGACGGTGTTGGGCAGATAAGAGGCTCGAGCTCGGTACGCTTGGTAGTGAGATCCGTCGGAATGGAAGGTGAGTAATTGGGGCAGCTGGAAGATTAGTACTAGATTCAGTGCTTGGAAACAGAACTCTTGGTGTCATGGCCGTCGCATTGGAGAAGGAGCTGTGACCCAGGCTGGAATAGACTGCGACACACACGCCTTGGGGCAACAACCGCGCCCGTCCGTCCGCTATGAAATCACTGAAAGCTAAACTTGGTTCGTTCCCGCGGCTATATCTATCATTACTCCAATGTCCCCATTTGTAGGCCGCGGGACCGCAACTTGAAGACAGGTTATACTGTACCACTGGCACCAATCATAATGGTATCATCCATCTGTTCGGACAACGGTTGTTCAATTGCTTCCACGGAAACGGTAGCCAAGCACGGCTAAATCTGCGGGATTCACTCTGAACTTTGGGTGTACCATGTGCCTCAAAATCAAGTGCAAGTACTACTTCTTAATCATCGTTTATCAGATCATTCAGACATAACTGCAGGACTTGGACAAGTCTTGTGTCGCAGGCCACCTCGAGTCGATGCATGATCACATACGATCATCGGCCAGCGTACCGGTAATGCCAATGTAACGACAGAGACATGTACTCAAGTTGTCGGTTCGTGTCGTTATGTGCCACTTAGCGGGATAGAGGGATTGATGGTAGTCACCATTTGCTGGCGTCTTCAAACGTCCTATAAAGTATGTGACCTGCATGCTCTACTCTTACTCAACCCATTCCATTTTCAACATGTTTTTTTTCTCCTTCCTCCTCTTGTTAATTCCTCTCGTCTCCAGCACGTCTCGCCACAGTATGCACCGCATGCGCAAGGTGCATGCTAGAGCCGTCGACAGCACATTGCTCACCGGCAAATGGGACTCTGCTCAGGCGGGACAGTACTCGCTGTCCAATGATTTTTGGAACGAGCAAAATGCTAACTGGGGCTCCCAAGAATCTCAGATCACGTCATTCAGCGGTAGTACTATTGGCTGGACAACCACGTACACCTGGACTGGTGGATTCCAAGTCAAGACCTTCACCAATGTTCAGCTTAATACCGGCATCAATCAACAGCTGAGTGCTTTTTCCAGCATGCCCGTAAGTTTGTCGAAACCGCGGACCGCACAAGGCTGATTTTTTTTGACACCATAGACTAGCTGGCAGTGGACTCAGTCGACCGACGAAGTCCAAGCTGATGTAGCCTACGACCTGTTCACATCTTGGAGCCCTGGCGGCTCGGACGTAAACGAAATCATGATCTGGCTTGCAAACATCAACTCTGGACCAATCTCCTATAATTACGACGCCGAGGGCAACGCTGTTCCTATTGTGACCAACATCTCGTTGGAAGGTTACACCTGGTGAGGTTTGCATCTGCATAATTATCTGCACCGCATTGATTTTTTTGTTTGATCGCAGGAACTTGTACTCTGGATTCAACGGAGTCAACCAAGTTTACTCGTTTCTCCCGACCAGTGGTAACATCAGCTCGTTCAGTGGTGACATTTACTCATTCCTTTCGGTATGTCTCCCAGTCGTTGTATCTTTATGAGCGCGTGCGGACTGATTTTTTTCTGTCTTTAGTACCTGATTGACAATGAGGGCATGAGCTCATCACAGTATCTCACCACTGCTCAGGGAGGGACAGAGGTCACATTTGGAACAGCACAATTCACTACGTAAGTGATGCATATATTGGTGCTCTATGAAGGGACTGAATGTGTTTTGTTTTCAGGCAAGGTTACAGCTTGGCTATCAACCAAGATTAGTTGATGTGCCCATTGTACAGGTGTCGATGCACATGGTGCAAGGATATCTGTATCGCTAGTGTAAGAGCTTTGGCCTCTTTCACTCGGTACCTCATCAGAGATATGTTTTTATTCTTTCGACTTAATCACTCACATCGTGCTGTGCACGAGTGCTATCACAGTACCAGGTCTTGCAGACATACCCACTCTTTCGACTTGCCGTTTACTTAAGTAAATACCCCACTCGTTTCCTACCCGCTCACTTTGAAAGCCGGTTTCGGTATACAAAAAACACGGCATCTACATATATCTATTTGAAGTATCGTACAGCGCCAATTCCATTTTGAAGCCATATTGAACCCCTTCGTTCGCTTTGATAGCCATTTTCCGCGTACATTACCAATGTCATGTACAGCAACGGAATTTACCGTGTTACAAAATTCGCATAGGGGGACTAGGATGAAACCCAGAGCACCAGGCCCGAAGTCTATAGATCATTATTCCCATCCAAGCTCCCAAATTTGTTGAACCGCCGCAGCAGACCGATAATTGAAAGGAAGCTAAGAAACATTTGCTATCGACCGATAGGCTATTTATACTACAGCCATCCATTCCTCCAAGGCGGACATGTAACGTATCCATTTCCCATCATTCCAAGCCGAGATCTTAATCCAGGCTTCGTCCGGGCTGGTGTAGCGGAAAGTTAACAAAAGACCTCCTAGTATACAATCCGCCAGAGATAGATTCGATCCCGTAAATAATTCTCCTGTACCCCCAGCCTGCATAAATGTTGCAAGGAGGTCAAACGCATCCTCGATCTTCTTCCAATGTGCTTCGCGATCCTTGCCCCTGAGTTCTAAATCCTCGAGTCTCTTCCCAAACGCCGCTTCAGTGCGTTTACGGAAGTGGATGCGATCTTGTGGGGTCTTCTTGTCGTGCATGTGCATGACCATGACGGGTAGTAACTGTGCTGTTATGGAGTGCGCGACGTGATATTCGAAGAGAGCGTGGAGGGCGCGACTGGCGGGTGAGCAGAGTGCGTGGGAGGAATCAGGGTCTGGGTATATGCGCTCTAAATACTCGATTATGGGCGTCGAGTCCGAGAGAAGGGCAGGAGGAGATGTGGTGTTATCTATTAACGCAGGGAGCGTGTATTTCGGTGTTCCATCTGGTGATGTGCTCGTAGGCGGTATTCCGAGCGATTTGCACACAGATGCGATACTAGTCGTCTCAACCCATTTTGTGACATAGGTCAGTTTCTTGTAGTTCAGTGCGAGTCTGTGGAAGCGAAGATGAGGTAGCGGTGACAGGCGTTGAGTGTTATCAACACTGACCTGACTTTCCATGTGTTTGGTGAGAAAGGCACTGGGAGGGCAGTTGGGATGTCCAGGAATATGATGTTTGTTGTTGTCATCTGTAAGTTCTTGCGAGTTATTGACGTTCGCTGTTCGTGGCTAGCTATATATTGATCTAATGGGTGTAATCAGATAATGCTCTATGGCATCGCCCTATATAGAGCCCGTTACGGTGTTACTAAAATTACAACTTAACCGCCGGTTCTACTATAACAGATTAGCTCGAAACGGATCGCCCTGGTTGGTGTACCAAGAGTTGAGTCTGATCTGATCATTTTACTATCCTAGTTTTACTTTCCTGATTCCTCCATCTCAAGTCACAGCAATGTTATATGGCGGCGGCGGAGAGTCTTGGTATTGCGCAGGTAAGAAGGAAAGGAGGAAGATGGGTGGTTGCTAAGGCACGAGAATAAGCAGAGTTGGGTTTCAGGTTCCGGCGTGGCAAGGGAAGGAAGACAAGCGAAGAGAAAGGGGCCTTCCCATGGTTAGGCCCAGGGACAAGGATAAATCCGTCATCAGAAGGATTGGCCTGTGACCAGGTGCGTGTCAAGGGAGAAGACTCCAACCCCGAGGCACGCGAACTTGGCACGGCTGACAGATGCCGGGGAGGTATGTATTGGAAGACAAAAGAACAGGCAGAAGACGAGCAAAGGGCCAAAGACACGCAGAAACAAGCAAATGACCCAGAAGAGAGAGATGGAGGTCTGTGAGTCTTCAAGTCTCTTATGTAACTCTCTACGATTATCTAGCCGCTTTCAAGTCCGGTTCTTTCCGCTGCTTCTTCTTCTTCCGCCGCTGCAGATAATCAAGGACTTCGTTACTACTGTTCTTACAAAAAGCACAGACTCAGCTTTCCAGACCCATTCTTAACTTAGTCAAGGCTCGTGCATTCACGTTAAACTCGCACTCGTCACTGGGGCTTCGCTTCTCGGAAGATCCACAAATCCTTCGTGCAACTAGTCTCGAAATGTAAACCTTGCGTTAAAGTCTAAGAAGTACATCTATCAGAGCACCGTCTTATGTAACAGTTTCCGCGGTATATCATAAATATAGAAATTATCCCCAAGAAGCATAAAACTATGACGCCAGCGCCTCTGCGGATGCTTCCGGTGTTCTCGTGCCGGGTCAGTGCTTAAATAGCCGTATATAAACGCTGTATGATAATAGTATTTGCTGATGAGTCGTACTGAGCGGTACAGTGCACATTCTTGTCTATCAAGTCTACTGAGTAATGTAAGGAAAAGGAAAGATAGTGAGCATCAATGATTGGTAGGTGAACCATAGTAATTATGCACAGCATACATGTTTTGTCTGTCATAAGTGTTGTATGCGATGTTATTTGGCGATTGAGAAGGTAGCATATGTGGATGCATCGGCATCGTTTGTACGTCATGGTTCATTGACCAACTCTCAGCTGGAAATTGCGATGCTGGCTTGGTTATCAGCAACATCATCCAAGATTTGGTAGGCGACAAACTCACCTGACGGATAGAAAGTAGACTGTGGCGTAGAAGAGCCAGAGGGACAAGTAGGAACCAAAGCCGCAACATGTTCTGTGAGAAGAGACCGGTACTCTCTATCAAGATGCCTAATGATCCCAATAGCTACAACGAAGTTCAGTAAATTCTTCATTCCCGAGTTATTTAAACCTACGAACCTTTTAACAGAACATCATGTCTTGTGAGGGGACTCTCTTTGGTTATTTCTTGTATGATCTGTCGCAGTTGTTCAAAGTCTTCTGCCTCGGTTGAACGATAGAGTCGCTGTGAGAGCTTCTTGCGACTCTTGCTGAAGGTATGATTACCGCCATTGTCCATGGTAGACATGCTTGGCAGGGTAGGAGACGAAGCACTGCTCGGTACTGTGATTGATAGTCCCATACTTATACTATGCGGGGCATGACCATCCAGAGACGCCATCAACCTATTTTGGTTGCATACGGCATCTATCCCCCCCTAACCCGCACGGATTTGGGGTCACCGATCAACCGGTCAGCGGGGTGGTGGGCGTAATGTGGCCCAGAACCTATAGGAGCCCATTAGAAGTTCATTCGATAAATTTGATAACCTCACAGCCAGTCACTAGTCAGCTGATTGGCATGTACCAAGATTATTAGCATCACAGGCCAAAATTGGTCGATGAGCGCCAGTTGAATTGAAAATCGCACAGCCTTGGTGCAGGGTTCGAATTGTATCATTAGACGCGGAATGCCAGCGCTAGTCCAGGCACCGCCGACGATAGCATCACCGACCTGAGACGAACATGATCCTGAAAGCATCTCAACGATGGGCATTAGCATTGATCCACGTTCAAAGGAGAATTGAGAAAATCAGTATTCCGAGAGGAACAGACATACTTCGCTGGCACTAACTGAAACTACTTGATAGTGATTGCGCGGTCATGCAATATGATTTTTTCTGGTCCATGATGAGTGATTTTCCGCAGCAGAATCACAACTCACAGCATACAATGGCCCATGGGATCTACACAGTGAGAACCGAGGCATTGCCTTGTGCGCACATGCTGTATGGAATTCCGGTCGGGAGCGCGTATGGAGTGTCCGGTGCACTGCCACACAGCCCTCCCGCCAACTATGGCTTTAAAGCTCACCGGCAACCACGGTATACTGCACGCCGTCCATTTGGCAGTGCTTGAAGTAACTTCTGCTGCGCAGGAAGGCTGGTGCTTCTAGACATCCATACATATGAAGGCACTGCAAAACCGACATTGACCGCACTACAATAATGGAATTTACTGTGCACCACACAAACACCCGCACCGCACGGCGGCACCTGGCAAGGCCCGTTATCTACCAGGTACTCTCAGTCATGCGAATTTGAGGTGTAAAGACTGATGCACCACATTTGTGATAGCAGGTGAAGCGGTGATACTATCGGTCTAACGCATAAAGAATCACTGTCGTTTGAAGTAGAGGCCGATAGGGCAATGGAAACCTAACAATGTATTGAGACCCAGCCGTTCATGACTGAATGCAGCTCACTGATTTCGCGGGAACCTAAGACTTTGCGGTTGCTAAACTGTACCATACCTGTTATTAATGACATTAGATCAGTATATTGTTTATTTACGCATTCGGCGTGCGCACCGCATGTCTTCGGTATATTGTGACTGAACACTATTTTTCTCACAAACAAGCTTGCATGCTCAAGTTATCCGCGCTACTCTGATTATTCCATTTGAATTCCGTGACTTCTGGCTCTAACTAGTAAGCGTCTGTGCTACTGGTGTAGGCTGAAAACATGAACATGAAAATTGGCGTACCTCAGCCTGCCTGATATTTCGGAAGTAACAAAAAAAAACAGGCCTGCCAATGGAATGCTAGCAGGTGGGACTAGTCGCTAGTGCTACAGCGAATCATCTTCACTCCCTAAGACATTTTGTGGGCGACTGGCACGATAATTCTGAATACGCCGGTAATGGTTCAGTTTGGGAGCATGTTGCAACTGGTAGCTGGGATCCTGGATAGTGGCTTTCGTCTCGGATTTTTCTTTCCAGTCGGACGTGTTCCTTGCTTAGGCGGCAGAGCAAACCAAATCGAGCTCATTTTGACGGAAAACACGTGAAGTCATTGACGACCAGCTACCGTTCTACCATTGAGTCTTGCGTGATCACGACTAGCCATGGTACTATGTCGTCCATCGCCATTTCTAAACACAGTGGTGGGTCCCGGAACTCGGAGTTGGGTGTGAAAACGGGTGATTCTGGGTGACCACTGATGATCCCGACCCTAACACTTTAAAGTCCTCCTCCCACTAGGACTAGCTGCTAGGGCAGAAATCTGCAGGAACAAGGAACATAACTCAATAAGCTACGTGGACATTGGAAATGAAATTTGTGACTAGTTGTTGCATCACAATCCTGTCACAACCATTTTAAACTTCGCGCCGCCATATCTGTCGTCAACCCAAAACTTTGGTGTTCCTAGGTGTTTCTGTGGCTAGGTTATCTCACCAGCAAACAGGAGTCCCGCAACAGCAGCGCATTGCCAGCCCAATCGATGGACAGTCGCGAGTAGTTGCCAGTCGGCAAAAGAATTGGCTACTAGGGAACGATGGGCAAGCACATTAAATGTCAGGCAATATCTGAACTACAGGGGGTATGGCAGTCACCCCACTATCTATAAGGGTAAGCTCCCTCCAAGCTAGCATAACTACTAGCTTGAAATTTGAATATCTGCAGTGTATCTAGTAGCCATTTAAACACACTTGCACACTCGCTCCTCACTTCTAGTAGCATAACTACTGGAGTATGAAACAAAAGTGACCATTGAAATGGGCGTCGCACACGCATATTCGATCATGTCAATATGCATTGCCGAATGACAGGGAAACCATGATCAATCATTTGCTGGCATTCGGGCGTCGAGCAGCGTACAAATTGTGTGGCCTGCCAGAATGCTCTCGCAAATCTTCATCGACATGTTCTCTCTCTCTCTACTCCTCTTATGCGTGCCTCTCGTTTCCAGCACGCCCCACATGCACAAGCATTATGTGAGAGCCGTCGACACTGCGCCGCTGAGCGGCCAATATGATTCTGTCAATGTGGGACAGTACTCGTTGCTGAATAATCTTTGGGGCGAGAATGGTGCTGCCTCTGGCTCTCAAACCTCTCAGATTACGTCGATGAAAGGCAGTACTATTGCCTGGAAAACGAACTGGACTTGGACTGGTGGATACGGGGTCAAGAGCTTTGCCAATATCCAGCTTAACACCGGTATCAATCAACAGCTGAGCACTATTTCCAAGATGCCTGTGAGTTCGTCGAAACCGCAGACCGCATGAGGCTAATTTTTCTGGTAACATAGTCTACTTGGCGCTGGTCTCAGTCGGACACCGGAGCAGTCGTAGCTGACGTCGCCTATGACTTGTTCACATCCGACACACCTGGCGGCTCGAATACAAACGAAATAATGATCTGGCTTGCAAACGTCAACTCTGGACCAATCGCTGCACAGTACAATGCTGCGGGTCATGCTGTCCCAATTTCGAAAAATATCTTGATCGAAGGTCACAAATGGTGCTGATTTGTATTTGCACAAATTGTCTGCTCCGTATTAATGAATTTTAGGAACTTGTACTCTGGATCAAATGGATACAACCAGGTTTACTCTTTTCTCCTGACTAGTGGTACAGTCAAGTCGTTCCAGGGCGATATTTACCCATTCCTTTCGGTAAGTCTCGGCAATCGTTATATGATCGTGAACGCGTGTGAACAGTGTTTTTTTTTTTCGTTTCTAGCACCTTATTGATAACGAGGGCATGAGTTCGTCACAGTACCTCACCACTGCTCAGGCGGGCACAGAAGCTACATCTGGAACGGCGAAATTCACTACGTAAGTGATACTCGGACTGGCACTCTCTGAATGGGCTGAATGTGTATCATCTGCAGGTCCGCCTACAGCTTGACCATCAACTAAAGTGCGGCACAAGGACCATAAATTCTCTATGGCTGACCACCATCGAATCTAATCCTACCTTCACCACCTCACTACGCAACTCTATACCAGCTTGTGCAGGACATAAGCATTAGTACAGCACTTACAATCATTGCTACTCCATTTAAATCTTGCCTCTCACTTGCACACCCCACTCATTCTTTACCCCTTCGTTTTTCGTATAGACGGCATGCAAGTCTTGTACAGCATCGGAATTAACCTAGAATAAATAAGAAACGATTGTCTTCCGTCTATTTGGTCTGCCTAGGGGAGACTAGAACCCGTTTTGACTCAGACTCAGGATAAGTCTATCAATCCATCAACTCCCAAGATCTCATCTATTTTTCTCATTTGAACTCTATGTACAGGTGTTGAACCGTGTAGCAGCCTTATAACGGAAAGAAAGCTAAGAAACGTTCGGCATGGATGATCTAAGCAGTTACTCTACAGCTGTCCATTTCGACTTAATGCAGCCATGTAACGTATCCATTTCCCATTGCTCCAAGATGATACCTTCATCCAAGCTTCGCCCGGGCTATCGTATCGCAAAGCTAGCAAAAGACCTCCTAAGGTACAGTCTGCTAAAGATAGATTTGATCCCGTGAATAATTCGCCTGCGCCACTTCTTGCCCGCATAGATGTTGCAAGCAGGTCAAACGCGCGTTCAATTTTATTCCAGTGTTCCTCGCGATCTTTGCCCTTGAGCTCGATATCTTCCAGTTTTTCCCCAAATGTCGCTTCGGTACGCTGACGGAAGTGGATGCGATCCCGTGGGGTCTTCTTGTCGTACATGTGCATGACCGTCCACCATGCCAACAGGTAGCAACTGTGCTGTAATGGACTGAGCAACGTGATACTCGAAGATGGCATGGAGAGAGCGGATTGCAGGAGGACAGACTGCACGAGAAGAATCTGGGTCTGTATATGTGCGCTCGAGGTACTCGATTATAGGATTCGAGTCTGAGAGCACAGCAGGAGGGGTGAAGGTGTTATCAATTAATGCTGGGAGTGTGTATTTTGGTGTCCCGTCTGGGAGCATGCTTGTAGGTGGTATTCCGAGTGATTTGCAAACGGATTCGATGTCAGTCGTTTCGACCCATTTTGTTCCGTAGGTGAGTTCTTTGTAGTTGAGCGTAAGCCTGTGGGAACATCACCAAAAGTCCCAAATCTAGATATGGCAAGCGCTTGCCATATCATACGACAACACTGGGGAACAGATCCATCAGACAGGCCAGGTACCACCAGATCGAATTTGTCCAGATAATGTCTGCTCCTAAAACTGACTTTCTGCTCGCTGGCCATCATCCTGCTGAATTTTCCGCCACACGCTGGCTATATCTAAGTCATGCTCACCTTTCGTTATCTAGATGTTGTAAAGCCCATAAACTGGTTTGATGCTCGATGTCGTATTGTCTGGTGGCTGCGTCTAAGTCATGCCAAACTAGATATTGCAAGACTTAGAAACTCGTTTGACTCTCAATCACCAGTCATCTCCTGAACATCCCATCATCTGTTGGCCAGCATCTAAGTCCTGCTGAACTTCCATCGTCTAGGTATTGTATGAACGAGACGCGCTCAGTTGCTGAACGTTCACCTATATGCTAGTTCCTGCTGATGCCTGATCAGATCTGTCATACAATATAAGCACATATCATTCTGCTCGTACAGTAGTAGTTGAACATGTAAAAACACTCATAACCAGGGAAGTAGTACAACTTGAACTGAGGATGGTCGCAGTGCGGCAGAAAGCAAGTAGGATTAATATTGAAGATGCTGAGCAAATATGAGACACTCCGAGAGTGATAGTAATGATGTGCAACGAACGAGAGGAGGGCATAATCATGTCAAAACTGCATTGTTCATTCAGACGAGTCACTAGGCACAATAGGAGTAAGAACCAACCTGAATGCATCACTTTCTGCCCTTGCGTGTCTTCTTTGAGGTTGTGGTAGTCTTGCAAGCCTTCCTAGCACGCTTTGATGGAGCAGGCATGTCAGTCTCATCTTCAGTGAGAGGATCGTCATCTTGAAACTCCCCCAACATTCGTTTCAGAGACTCTGGGTCAATGGAACTAGGTGTCGCAGATGGAGATGCGAGGGGCGGAATTGGTGGGTCAGCAGCCTTGGATTGTCGCATAGAAGTTGGGGGCACAGCAGTGTCTTCAGTGACGGCAGCAGCTGGGGTAGCAGCTGCATTCTCGGGCAATCGTGTCTGAGTGTTAGAGGCAGTTAGTATTGGAGAATGATAGAGTAGATTCGAACCTTCTGATGCACAGCCACCATGCACATTTCGTGCTGTCTCTGCATGACAACAAGGTCATCGTCTTCATCATCCTCGGTCAAATCAATCACGATGAGGCCATGCTTGTTACCAAATACTGTTCTTCACAAAATTAGTGCGATGCCAAGGTAAGAGCAAAAATGGTACTCAACTGGTTCCACCACTGAAGCAGCGACTCTGCCCATGTTTGATCAGGTGCCTCTCTGATTGCCTTGATGAAGCGGGTGTATGCTTCATTGTACTTATAGCAACCATCGGTTTCATGCCACTTGTCGCGCGTGGCAATACTGAATCGGCTCTATGACATTTGTTAGATAGTCATTGAAATATATTAGAGCACGTACCTGGACGAATGCATAGGCAATATGTTCAGGCTCAACCTTTTCCATGCCGTGTAACTTGGCATTACATCCACGACTCGGAATAATCTCTCCATCTGGAACGAGCGCAGATGATGGAGATGTAAATATGTGACGAAAAACCTAAATACTACATGAGATGTTGTTGATAAGGTAATAGTAAGCTTACCCGTTTCAAATAATAGCCCTTTGAAAATCCCTCCTGAACATTGTCTGGGTCGAAGTCTTTTCCTGGCGGAGTACCTTCATATATAAATGCAGGCCATGCAGCGGAGTGAATCCTGATAACCCCATTCTGAAGTTCGGCTTGTACCCTGAAAGTCGTCAATAAGATGATGAACAATCATAGAATTCATACGTACTTTTTAGGGTCCTCATGATATGCTTTTGCATGCTTGATAGGGCACAGCATTGCAGCGAGTTGAGGGTGGTTCACACCAAGTAATGCGCGGGATTTGTTGTCAGCGTAAATCGGAGGTTCCAGCCCCTTGTCTGAAGGGTCTGGGGCTGCATACTGCGCTACACAATTCTTAAGGTGGCTAGCATCGTCAGAGCGTGCCTGACCCATAATGACTTGCATCTTCTTAGGTTTAGAGGTAAGATCACCAAGGGTACATCACCAGAGGCTTACCTCGGTGAAGGTACAACAATTCAGATGGTGAGTCTGAACAATGTGTTGGGTCTTGCAGAACCTAGCTGCTATTCGACCCTAAAGGGTTTCTGGACCAGGCTCAAGGCTCAGAGGAGAGGAAATATCATAAAAACTACTGAGGACTCTGACTCATACTGGTAACTGGTGAAAAGATTGATTGCTTATGTAAGCTACAAAAGTGCCAACATAAGGTAAGGTAAAAACAGTCTCTACAAGCCCAGCCAGAAATGAATCCCTACATCGGTAAGGATAGCGTGCAGCTCCGTCTGTTGTTTGACGTTTCCATGCGCAAGTTTGCGCAAGTATGGGGCTCCAAGTAAGATCTTTGAGTAATTTCTCATGTGTCGTTCTTGGGCATCTTTACCCCTGTAAACATGGTAGTTAGGAAGTGAAAATAATGGAATGTCTAAAGTCATACACGTAAGACAGGACTTGGTCTCGCTGCGCCTTGACATCTTCATCTTCTGAGTGACCCGACACCTTAGAAGCCTCTTCCTCTTCCATTAGCATCGCAATACGGAATGTATCAGTTAAGCTACAAAACATATCGATGGCACGAGGGATCCAGCGTGCAAAGTGCAAGCACTGTTCCCTCGCGGTGATGCTGCCTTTCCTATTGGTAAAAGGTGACGCAGTGCCTTTTGCATATCATCAAGTCAACTTACCTTTGGTTATTTACCGTGCTGCGAATATAATAGATCAGCTCAGTTAGTATACCAGGTTATTGTGCGACCACTTACTTGTTATGCTTTGCTTTAGACTTGGCCTTTGGATCTTGTGTTGGTGGCGACGAGGCATCTAAGCTGGAGGCCAACTCAGACTCAGAGCCGCTGTCCAATTCGGATGGTGTCAGTAAGCGAGTGGCCACACTGGAAGATCTGTGAGCAGACATGAGAGAAAATGTGGGAAGACGTTTGCATCAAACGCTCACTGACCACCACACTAGTACTACTAGTAGCATTATCATAGTTGCGGTACCATCAGGTACGTCATACACTTAACCATTTTCGTCCCAGGTAAGGTCGCCGCTCCTGAAACGGGATTTTTTTCAGGGAAGGGAGGTGGGGTGCTAATCCGGATCATTACCTTACAATAAAAAGTGGGGAGTGACCAGACGCTAGTTATTAAGCAATGAATCAATAAATCTATATGGATATAATTCAGCTCACCATGCTCCACATACTTTGGGATCCGACAGAGTGACGCATTACAATGCAGGGTCAATAATGACCCAAAAGAATTTCTGAAATGGAGCACAAGTCAGGCTAAGTCCCAATAATTTAAAAGCCTTACACTTGACGGAGTAAGCAAGAAACATGTCATCTGACTGTGACACCCTTAGCAACGACTCCCGCCCCAGCGACTTCAATGATGGGCTTGAGGCAATCTTAGCGAACGCTGACTTATTTGAGAACCATTCAAACAGGTCTACTCCAGAAAGTCACCAGGGATGCACTAGGCATCCTGGCCATGGGCAAGGCGCTCCAGTATATTCATGTGGATGCTATAAGCATGATACGCTATCCGGAGGGTTCGAACCTGATGACTGGCCTCCTAACAATGAGCAGGCGTTTCAGCTTGTAGATGAATTTCAACTTGGAGCTGAACAGCACGAACAACCGGAGCCAGTATGTATCTATGGATTATAGTTAGCTGCTTTGACGACTCCGATTTCAGCAGCTAGAAGCTCCAAGTCAAGATGGTCTTGAAGACGCTGATGAATCTCATCGAAAGCGAAAAAGATCTGAAGATAATGGTGTGAGTGTGCTGGCTCAATTTTTCAGCCGATGCACTCACAACTTACATGCAGACCCCATGCAACTTAGGCCGTGACGTTACTAACGCACGAGCAACGTCAGTACCTATCATCAAACTTCCGCCTGAGAAACGCAGGAAGATCGGAATATTTGAAGGCGGATTGGTGGCGAAGGTCATGCAGGAAGTTGTGGGAGTGCGTGAGGCTATGAGTAGGATCGAAACAATCATCAACAGGCAAAATGAAGTTCTTCATGAAATCTGTAACGCTATTGAAAACCATGGGATGTGAATTGTTGTATATAAACTCACCGTACTAGTGTAACAACAATCAGTATTTTAACGAAGGTGCATGCTGTTGGGCTGATAACAATGGGTAATGTCGAAGATACAATCCTCAAATATTTTCGAGGCCTGGCCAGTGGATGAGCGTGACAGAAACGCCCTTGAAGAAGTTCTTCAACTGCCTGAACTGCGGCAAATCTGGGCAGAGGTCCAGTGCATGAAGGTCGTTCTGCTTGAGAACAGCAAGAGCGGCGGTCTGAAACCTGCCAGCCTGTGGATGAGCGTGACAGAAACGCCCTTGAAGAAGTTCTTCACCTGCCTGAACTGCGGCAAATCTGGGCAGAGGTCCAGTGCATGAACATTGTTCTGCTTGAGAACAGCAAGAGCGGCGGTCTGAAAGCTACCCTGCTTGAACCTGAGATTTAGATTTACATGAGTGTTAAGTGAGACAGGCTTGCTTACATGACCGCTGTCGACACATCAATGTTCTTTCCAATGGTAGGGTGAACACTCCTGATAATTGTATGTTGGTCAAATGTGTGTCGCCACAGAGATCCTGAGCTTACTGGAAGTATCCGCGCCACAGTTCTAAACCTTCACCCAGGGTCTGTATCCCGGCATCTAACCTCTTACGAGTTCTTGAAGGTAAGGGGCGCCTGTAATGATCTTCTTGAACGTCCGGAGCATCTGGTCCTGCATGTCTTTGGATCTTGTCACTGTTAGCAGTAAATAAACACAAAAATATCACTTACATGTTAGCTAAGAGAGTACTGTGTGTCGTCTGCATTAGAATCATTGTCCAAGTGAGCATGTGCATCCTCGATGATAGGTGCAATGCGAAAGACATCTTTTGTATGGCTAATATGCAATATTAGTCAATATATGTGTGCATATAGGTGAAAAAAACTTACGATCATGGACATTTAGTAGTCCAGACAGTTGCTTTCGTCAGGCCAGGGTCGGCCCATTCTACTTGCACCTGAGCAGATGGCACCCGTTGTGCAGGAGTGATAAACGGTCCGCTAAGACTCAAACTCAATTGATTAGAACAGATGGGACGGACGGGACAGGCCGGCATGGATGGACGGACGCTGATTCCCTCATTATTTGTACATGTTGACGCATTTACTGCTTGACCGGCATTTGCCGGCGGACTTCTGAAAAGTCACATGCAACATTTCGGACTTCGTCAGAAACTCCATCCTCGACATCTACAATTCTTTGTTGGCGGCAGCGGCCTCCTCCTCCTGCTTGCGCGTCTCTTCGGCTTTTGCAGCCTCTTCCACCTCTCCGAGTATGCAGGAGCTCATCTTCGAGCTGTTTCCTGTGGGCTGAGGGACAGAGCAGGGCGCTGGATATTGTAGTATCGGTGAGCGTCCTTTCTTTTCGGTTTGCTTAAACTCCCCTCCCTACGAAGCCCGGTATGGCCCGTCCCCGCCCCGAGGCTGAGTAGTAGAGCGCTGCTTCCCCTTCCACCACATCCACCTATTTTGACCGTTTTCTTTCTTTCTTGCTCACTCTCTATCTAGATTACGTCCTGACCAGCGACTGCTGCTACCCAAGGTCGCGAGGTGAGATCGTCCCTTCAATTCATCTGCATCACCAACACTAACGTCGTCCTGTCCCTCAGTGTCATTTCAACGCCGACGCTCCGTTCAAATCCGGGTCGGATTTGCTCCGTGCATTCAAGCCTTCCTGCCATTCCTGTATCCCACCCTCAAAGCACACGAAGATACCCGGTGAGTTTTTTTTTTATTCTTATTTTTATTATATTTGCACTTCACTTCCTGGTCCAACACGCCTCTAGGAGGCGACTTGGACCAGAGGCTGTCAGGCTGCGAGGACACGCCTCTAGGAGGCGACTCTGAGCATTTAAGCCTGACAGTTTTTAACTTTTATCATATCGATTCCTACTACCTACTATGTGTACTGACTTCGTTTCTTGTACTAGGCTATCTATCTTATTTCCGGCCTGACTTCTGGCCGACTTCCACTGGCAAGGCCCTTCGTCGCATCTCATAAGGCGCTGCTTCCGTCCGCACCAAGGGCGAGGCAGGCACAGGTAACGTTGTTGAGGCGGTCCGCCACCAGCGATCGGTCATGAGTGAGATCCGAAAGGCTAGCATTATGAATGCCGCTGGGGGTATTGCCACATTGAGAGCGAAGTGCTAAATATTATTTATCTTGGCTGACGCTTCCATACGATATATATATTTAATATTAATATTATCAGCTTTGATCCGACCCAGGACTAACATTGAATCTTATTCAATAGCTCCGAGTGGGCCGAAGTTCCTCAGCCGCTGTCCGAGTCGCATCGCTCCGAGTCTGAGCCTTTCAACTCTTCGGTCAAGATGGAGCAGCCCTGCCTTGCCTGTGGTAAGACCTTTCACACACAAAGATCGCTCTCTGGGCATCGTTCCCGCTGCTTGCAGAACAAAGCTCTGAAGCTCTCGGACATTTTACACCGTGCCATCAAACGGCACAAGTCTAACGATGGAAGGAGGTCAAAACGGCCTCGGATTGAACAGGAGGAGGTGATGCAGGAAGCGAGGGATGGTGAAGCAAGGGCAATGGATGATAGCGGGATGGATGTGGATGATGATACAGCCGTGGTAGATCAGGTATGTTTTGTCTGGATCGTTAGAGCCAAATCTTACAATGCACTTACCAATTCCAGAATATTGGTGATCCATCAAATGTACCTCCAGCCCCTACGATCACATCAAAACGTTCTGGATGCACTATTCGCATGCCACGTCGATTCGTTGACTATCTTCCGGGCACATGTACACACCTTGCACACATGCCTTCAATTGTTCAACAGCGACATGCAGGCATGTCGGGTAATGAGAACGAAGCTCCCCAAAGCTGCATTGCTTCGTCACCCCAGCCGTCACCACCACCCTTTGATCTACCTGATCCTCCCCAGCCTATACCCTTCCAAACACAACCGGATACGTTCGGTCTGTACAGCATATATCCAATGCGCCCCACTCTGGCCCCAGAAGCTAACTGCACACTAGAGGGCGTCACAGATGCTCCGACCCTTGAGGGTGCATGCGCTACCCCTCACAGAGTGCACCCAGGAGTCTCCTCCCCCGAAATCAGTGATGACGATCTGTTTGGAGCATTCACAAATCTGTCATCAGCCCTCTTGATGGCCTGGCACTATTCTGGCAGTAATGCAAAATCAGCAACTGAACTCAATCGCCTTGCTGAGTTCCTTCGTGATCCCAGTTTTAAGCAGGCTGACTTAGTTGGTTTCAATCACACACGCGAGAGCAAATGGCTAGACGATTACCTTGATGGTAGATCCAATCCCTTCCACGAACATTACGGCTGGCAAAGGTCTACTGTCAAGATCCGCTTACCCAACGAGAAGGCTAAGTTCCCATCAGAGACCGACGCTCCTGAGCTCGCAATCCCTGGCGTTTACCACCGTTCTCTAGTTGATATCATCACGCGCGTGTTCGAGGATGATGTGTCACTGCATTTCAACATGACTCCATTCCGCCAGTACTGGAATACCCCAGATAATCGAACGCTGGAAGTTTTCTCTGAATCCTATGCCTCCCCTGAAATGGTGAACGCTTACAAAGAACTGAATGCTCTTCCCCGAGATCCTGATGACAAACTCGAGCGTGTCATTGCCTCACTAATGGTCTGGTCAGATGCCACCCACTTAGCAAGCTTTGGAGACGCATCTCTCTGGCCACTTTACTTATTCTTCGGTAATCAGTCCAAATATACACGAGGAAAGCCTACGGCTCGTGCGTGTCACCACTTGGCATATATTCCCAATGTATGTATACATCTCTTTACAAACATATTTTACTGAACCTACCTGCAGCTGCCACATAATTTACAAGATGTTTATGTGGATATATTTGGTGAACCAGCATCAAGTAGCACGTTCACGCACCTCAAACGTGAGTTGGTTCACGCAATTTGGGAGTTAATTCTTGATGGAAAGTTTGTGGAAGCATATAAGCACGGTATTGTTATTCACTGTAGTGATGGGATTACACGAAGGGTATTCCCTCGGTTTTTCTCATACTCCGCAGATTATCCAGAAAAGTGAGTCCTACCTGACATTACTTGGCTGATATTGATGCATTACTCGAGGATACTGCTCACTAGTATCAAATTTTTGGGGCAGCGTCCATGCCCTCGCTGCCTTGTTAAGAAGACCGACATTCATATGATGGGAATGGTACTAGACATGAGGCGCCGGGTCACACAGGAGCGCACTGATAGCCTACGACGACGGCAACGAGTGGAAGAGGCTCGGAAATTGATCTTCGAAATTGGAGCTCCAGTGGACGGCAGTCGTGTCAAGGCGATTCTTAACGAAGAATCATACGTGCCAATTCGTGTAAGTGCTACTATATGCCTATTAACATTCACACTGACTGATAATTATCATTAGAACACATTTTCTGCACGACTAGCAGACCATGGCATCGACATGTTTTCACTGTTTGTGATTGACCAACTGCATGAGTTCGAGATCGGCGCTTGGAAAGCACTTTTCACGCACCTGATGCGAATCTTGCATGCAGCTGGAGGAATGGCAGTGCAGAAGCTAAATGAACGGTAAGTCATTTTTTGATGTGGTGCATCGGTGCCAAAGGCACTCGCCCACTTGCAGATTATGTATGCTAATATCCTTTCTAGATACAGAGGAGTCCCTACATTTGGTAGAGGAACAATTCGCCGCTTTCACCATAACGCTTCAGCCATGAAAAAATTGGCCGCTCGAGACTTCGAGGATCTTCTGCAGGTCAGTAGCCATACCATTGATATCGCATATCATCTGAATTTTCTGTCAGTGTGCTATGGCTGTATTTGAGAATCTATTGCCCGAGCCTCACAATACCATAATCCTTGACCTTCTCTTTGACCTAGCGTCATGGCACGCATATGCGAAGCTTCAGATGCATACCACCGACACACTGGATTTTTTCGATATTGCCACCGTCATACTTGGTCAATCCGTTCGCAAGTTCTACAAGACTACATGCAATTACTACTTCACAACTGAACTTCCTGACGAGTATGCAGCACGAAGTCGTCGAGAGGCTGCATTAGCTGCGAAACAAAATGTAATGTCCACCGCTCCAGGGAAGAGAAAGGCTGGACCAAAGTACAAGTCCCTCAATATCTCGACATATAAATTTCATGCGCTAGGAGATTATGCTAACACAATTAGGCAAAGGGGCACGACGGACAATTATACTACACAGCCAGTATGTTTCATATTGATTATCTAGTATCATTCTCTTATATCCCTGCTTAGGGTGAACTCGAGCATTGACATGTCAAGAGATGGTACCCAAGGACATCAAAGAACAAGAAGACCATGGTTGCAACGATGACACGCCTGGAAGCTCGTGAACGACTTGTTGCAAAGGTGCTAAATCAACGTCAGAAGACCCTGGCATCTGTAACGCAGCAAGAAGCGCGCAAACGCACATCACCCTCAGCACACTATCACATATCAAAGTATCCGAAATGCTCACATGATATATTTGCATGGGTTGGTGAGCATGACGACCCGGCAATCAAGGTGAGTACCCAAAGTATTTTCACATCCCCTACTAACTTCATGGCCTTGTAGGACTTCATTCCACATCTTAAGGATCACTTACTGGCACGACTCCGTGGCATAGATTACTCTGGTGACGAGCACAATTTCTCTGATGAGGACAGGAATCAGGTGATCATTGTCAACAACCAACTCCGCGAGCACAGCGTACTGCGGATCAACTATACAACTTATGATATGCGAAGAGAGCAAGACTCAATCAATCCTCGAACACATGCGGATGTCCTAATGCTCTCGCATGAGAACGACAATGACCGACACCCTTATTGGTATGCCCGCGTCGTCAAGATTTTTGATCTTGATGTCTGGTATCGTGCTCAGGGTGCCACCAGCATATGGGCCCCAACTCGTATGAATGTGCTTTTTGTTCGTTGGTTCGGGCGTGACATTGAATACAAAGCTGGGTGGTCAGCCAAACGACTCTACCGCATTGGATTCTTCAAGCATGATGACCCTGAAGGCTTCGGTTTTGTAGACCCTGACCAAGTAATTCGGGGTGTACATCTGATTCCTGGATTTGAACACGGACACACTGACACTCGGCTTGGGCCTTTGTTTGGATGTGCTACGGATGATGACAATACAGACTTCAAGTATTTCTACATGAATCAGTATGTATTCTCTATATATTGATATCACTCTGCTAATACGTCTACCCAGTTTCGTTGACCGCGATATGTTCATGCGCTTCCGAGGAGGTGGTGTTGGTCACAAAGTAACACGAGAGTGGGATGAGTTTTTGCGGAACGACGGTGCTGTGCCATCACATGAGGAAGAAGACGTTCAGCTTGACCCGGAAGAGTCTGACATGGAGGATGAAGCTGTGGATGATCATGACAGTGATGGGAGCGCACATGAAGACCCAGGCGACGATGAAGAGAATGAAGTTTGGGTTGACGAGGAGCTAGATGATGATTTTCTTGCACGTGAGGGATATGGCGCCTTATAAACTGGTGAGGATCATATCTGCTTTTCCTGTGTATCAATCCTCAACTTTCGTACCTGCATTCACAGAGTTGCTCCAATCTATACTGGCAAACTTGCTCACACCAACTTTGCTTCTCCGCACTCATGTCAGGCACTCATAGGTTTTATCCTAGCTTCTGTATCTATCCCACAATCGTCATTGCATGGCCATCAAACATAGGGTGATGTCTTGCCAGTGGGCCTAAGTTCTTGCTGCATCTGCCGAGTCACTGGTGGCCTTACATTAGCTAGCTCCAGGTATATCAGGCATCAGTCGGGCTGCAGGTGGTATAGCATAGTAGATCATAGTGCATCATTAAAATTTCATTATGACAACTGACTTATCATGTACTCGTCAGCCTGAACATTCTCCATCTATTGCATGATTCAGCCTGATTGTGAATATGAAAGTGATATTTGGTGATCTGTGCTCGCCATACATGAGCTAGACAACCACGGGACCAGAATCCCTAATCAGGTGGCGTCAGGTTTTTGGACTTTTGGTGATGAAATGCTAAAGATGAAGTAATAGTGAGAGTGGTTGGCTACTATTGTGACTGACCTAACTTTCCATGTATTTGGTGAAGTAGGCACTGGGAGAACGGTTTGAATGTCCAGCAAAATGATTTTCGTCACTGCCATTCTGTAGTTGGCTCTTGGAACAAGTAGTTTGTTGAGCAACCACAGGGGTAAATTGTATTTTAGGTTAAAACTTAATTTCATACTAGGAGAGATATTCCCGCGATTGATCTGACCCAAATTTTCGTATACTACTAGAACCGTCTGCAGATTGCAGTTTGATATAATACTAATGGCGACACTTCTTCCTCCTCCGAAAAGACCAAAACTATATCACGGCGTCACAAAGCCCGAGCCCGAGCCTCTCAAAGCATCACCTAATGTCGTGGTTCAATTTGTGAATGAACATGATGGCACACCGATAGCACCTGCTGTGAACCTCCCAGCGAACATTGCGCGCGAAGGCCTTGAAGTACTCGTCAATCAGCTACGCACAAAGGTTAGACACTTTCTCTCTCTGTTTTCAGTTTACTGATTTTTGTGATCCAGGACGACGATGAGCACGTACCATTTTCCTTTCATGTTGCTCTACCTGAGGAGGCAATGAAACCAAATGCGCCAACGCGAATCGTGATATCTAAATCGATAGAAGTGGATGTTCTAGCACACGCATCTCATGCATTCTCAGAAGAAGACGTCCTGGTAGTACGCTGCGCTCCACAGTCTGTATTTAAAGTTCGCCCAGCTACTCGATGTTCTGCCACACTTTCAGGTCTGTTGGCTGTCCACTGACTTGCATCAATAATCGTTAATGTAATTGTGAAATCAGGACATTCTTCGCCGATCTTATGCGCTTCATTCTCCCCCACCGGCAATTTACTTGCGACTGGTTCAGGTGACACGCATGTGCGCCTATGGGACCTTTATACGGAAACACCGTCGCACACGTTGACCGGCCACACTGGGTGGGTACTGTGCGTGGAGTGGGATCCACTAGAACGCAAATTGGCAAGTGGTGGCCACGATGGCCTTGTAAGGCTATGGGATCCTAAGACCGGAAAACCGCTGGGCGATGCAATGAAGGGCCATTCAAAATGGGTGACGTCCTTGGCATGGGAGCCCGTACACTTGTGCGTTATTGTCTATGGGATCTCTCTCAAAGTTATTTACTCCTGACTCACCAGAAACCCATCTACTCCACGGTTGGCATCCTCGTCTAAGGACGGAACTGTGCGAGTATGGTCGACGGCTACACGAAAACTAGAATACACACTTGGGGGTCATACTGCAAGCGTAAATGTTGTCAAATGGGGAGGCGGCGGTTTAGATGGCCATGGAGTACTCTATACGGCCAGTAGTGACCGTACGGTCAGAGTATGGGATGCACGAGGGGTAGGCACATCTTTCCATCTTCCCCACGCAATTACTTGATGCTGTTTTCTCAGGGAAAACAACTTCATATTCTGAAAGACCATGCTCATTGGGTCACCACTCTTGCTCTCAATACGGATTTCGTACTTCGTACTGGACCATTCGATCACACCGGAAAGCGTCCATCGTCGGATGAGGAAGGTAAACTCTCAACTACACGAGTTATCTTCTGTTAGATTCTTAATTAATACAAACATCAGCTCAAGCACTTGCTCTCAAAAGATACACCGCGCTAGTGTCACGAACACCAGAGCTGCTGATATCAGGGTCAGACGACCACACACTCTTCCTTTGGTCTTTATTTGCATCGTCGAATGCGGAACCGGGAGGGGGTAAAACTAAGCCCTTGACCCGTTTGACTGGCCACCAACGGCAAGTATCCCACGTCGCCTTCTCCCCCGATGGTCGATGGGCAGCTAGTGCTGGGTGGGATAGTGCAGTGCGACTATGGGATTGCTCAGGTACGTTAGATGGCTGTCGCGTGTTAGATGGCAACCTGATTCAAAACTTTCCGTCACCTCGCAGGTGCTGGGCAACTGGGCAAGTTTGTAGCTACACTGCGCGGACACGTTGGCCCCGTTTACAGACTTGCGTGGAGTGCAGACTCACGAATGCTGGTAAGCGCCAGCAAGGATGCGACAGTCAAAGTAAGTTTAACATGTACGCGAGCGAGATATTCGTTTGATGGACGTGCTGTTGCATCAGATTTGGGACCTCAAAACGTACAAAATTAAGTCGGACCTTCCTGGTCATACAGACGAGGTCTACTGCGTGGATTTCGTTGCTGATAAAGTTGTCAGCGGGGGTCGCGATCGGACTGTGAAGATGTGAGTTGTTGATGCATCGACTTCATGCATTTCGGCATTGACGTTACTTTGCAGATGGAAGAATTAGCCACAAAACTGTAATTTGAGGAGGGTTGCCCTCACTGCTCAGTATGTCGAATCCACACACGTAGGGCAAGTGGCAACACACAAATGCTTGGTGTTCTGCGATAGCCACGCGGCTGCACGTAGACTGGCTAACAGTATGCAGAGGAGACCTGATGTAAGCTCAAAAGGCAGCTGCACCATGACAAGGAGAACTTGCGCCCAGTAGCCATGGCTTTCAACTTTGGCGTGTCCAGCCCCAAATCTAGACTCGTGACCAGTCCATCTATGAGGCAAGCCATCGATAGACGGACTGGTAAATCTGGGTTTGAATTTGGATGTCGAGCGGATTCTCACAGTAACGTGATGTCTGGCCAATGAGAAAACGAGTGCTTTTCGATGAATGTAAACCAAATGATATAATTATCTTGTTATTAACGCGACGCGACGCGAACTATAGTACCTGCAAATTCAATGGACCACATCAGGGAAACGTAACTCATTACACATGATTACAGAGTGCTACGAAGCGCTCCGTAGCACTCTGTAGCACGATCTAACCCGCTGATGCAATCTTCCATCATCCAAGCCATTCACAATGCTTCTCTTGATGCGCTGGATCATTTTGCGCGTGATTTAATCAAAGAACGACTCCCCATCGATTATATTCAGACCCTCAATAATAACGACAAAACGGATGCGCTACGAGCATGCCTCATTGTCTACGTTCTGACATCAACGGCCATAGTACCACGTCAATTCCAGCTCGAAGCTGAGTTACATGGGCGATGAAACGTCCGTCGAACGATGCCGCCCAGCAGCTAATGTTCCGTTGTCGAAGTCGACCGCAGACAAGGACTTAACGACTCTTTGCAAGGGCTTAGCAAAAAGCTCACGTGGTTTTGTTATGCCCGAAAAGGTTTATACGTCACGTTACTGTGAGAATCCGCTCGACATCCAAATTCAAACCCAGATTTACCAGTCCGTCTATCGACGGCTTGCCTCATAGACGGGCTGGTCACCAGTCTACCCCAAATCCAGCATTTGTGCGTTGAATCTTTGCAACAGAGTCTTGTGCGTAAAACGCATAGAAAGTCGGACTCGGAGTCCTCCATCAATCATATCATAAACGCCCTTCGTCAACTTTTTAATCCACATGCCTAGGCTTTTTCCCAAGTTTAAAATCAAGACTAGAAGAAGGCTTGGGCATGTGGATTCTTAATTGTACCATGCACGCATGTAACGAGTATGAGCGAGAAGAAGACACTACTGCTCAGCTGAACGACCTTTTAATGGAAGCAAACTGATCGCTCGGTAGCGGGCCGAGTCCTTCACAACTATACGTGTTATTAACCGTTATCTACCAAGGTCTGCCGGTCTCATTAGCAAGCGCAGTGCTCGTTTTATTTGGGGGCCACTGGATAAACATAAGTTACGACCTGCATTTGCCCCAAATATAATACATAAACCATAGTGAACAATGGTGTACCTATGTAGGCAAACTTATGAAGGAAAACAAATGGCTGGAACCTTGGCGGCGGGTCCAAGGACAAGTTCAAAACACATTTTTACGTATCTCGACCTTAGTTTCAGCCTTGATTGCGCAATCGGCTGCGCACATCACCGTGATACCCGCAAAATACTATGTAATACTGATCCAGGCAGCTTAGCATCGAAATTGGACGGCGGGTCAATACTGCCGTTTGCACACAAGTGGGAGATGCTGCTCGCTTGGGAACACGGCGAAATGAATATTTGAGCCTGCTGACACTCGCTGAGAGGAAGCGGCAAAAGAAAAAGCAAAATCAAAGATCAACGTCAATAAAAACGTCCTTCGGGGTTAATGACCATGGGGATTGTTCTCGGCCTTCTATCTTAGTTCGTTAATCGCCACGATCATAAGCCAACTTCATTACAACGATTGCCATGTCAATTCCTTGAAACTATATGTGGCATTGACACGACCCGCATGGCAATAGTCACAGGAGGACAAGGTTACATATCAACATAGTGCATGCCATACATAGAACACAGTCAACCAGGAGACGAGCAATATCAGAACGCTGATGCAATGCATGAATTAATTACGGCCACCTCAGATATGAAGAAACTCACCTTTGTAGCACAACCAATTCCAGAAAATATTCCAGCATCCATGCGCTTTGACACTCTGGGTATCACGCTCCGCATAGACCATCCCTGAATCAATGCTCGCCCGGTCCTCTACATCGATATGGTCTTGTGTATGTTCTGGTCGACCGGCTTGCCTAGAAGATTGTGCCGAGCCTTGTTCAGTCGACATCGTCTGCGATCGGGCATTTTCCCTGGTACTACTAGAAGACTGAGCCGTCGCTGTCCGAGGTGGACGCGAAACTACAATCCTCTGGGGATTTCCTGAGATGCGCTATTGAGAACGAATAGGCTGGACGTACCCTGTTAGCTTGTGCCAATGGTACGTCGACAGTCGACGCCACCCTGTGGGATGAAGGGTGACGAATGCGCGTCCAGATGTTGGCAAGATGTGGAATGCGCCGTTCCCGATTGGCAGATCTCGAGGACATCTGGTGGGCTTCCCTTGCCTCGGGAGACCGAGGATGACGAATTTGTTTCCAAATTTTTGAAAGAGGTGAGACACGCCGTTCCCGACCGGTAGAAGCCTGTTGGTGAACCGAGCTCGACGAGGGTCCAGATCCAAATCGAATCTAACAAATCAATTCTAGCATATATTTGAATTCGAGTCTGGGACGTCTTACGTGGCGACCTTTTGCATTGCCAGAAGGTGGCGGTTGATCGAAGAACGCTGGGTTGAGTCCTAACGAGCGTTGTTTTCCTTTGTCTTTTGGAATAATTGTTGCGGACAACTGTTGCATACCATGAGTTTAGTGTTCTACCATAAACGTGGATCTCACATCAAGAGGGCTGCGACCAAGAATCTAGTTCACTTCGTTAGTAGTCAGAATCGAACGCGTGATGTAAGTTTCCTTGCCTCTTCCACTGAACGGATAATTGGTTTACAAGAGCCATCCTTTGAATCTGAGGGCACGCTTGAGGCTGCAAAAAACTTGCCGTCCAGTGAGAATGCAAATGGATGAGTACATTTCATGTTGGAAGTAATGAATTCGTGGCCCTTCAGATCATAGAAATGTGTGGGGTGATCTATGTCGCCGTCAATTTCCAGCGCCAAAAGCTTGCCATCCGGAGAAGCCGCCATGGCAAGGGGAATGTCATCTTTATCAAGGCCTTCGAAGCATGCACTGTCATGCTTTCCTGTATTCGTGTCCCATATCCAGAAGGACCTGTTGCCAAATGCAAGCACCACTCGGGGACGATCATTCGGAATAATAGCGGCTTGAAGCAATGGTATATCTGGAAGTGCGATCTCCGCTATTCGGGCACACTTTGGTATCCCCCAGGCAACACCTTGCTTTGTATCGCTAGTAACGAGGAGACTGCTATCGGTAGATAGAGCCGCCACGAAAATGGTTTGAGAAGCATTTGACACTGTTACTTGTTGAGTGACTATCCCGCTCCCTGTGTTCCATACGAGCAACTCTCCATCCCTCGACAAGCTTATTGCGTGAGATGAGTCAGGAAGAAATCCCACAGTGATGATCAGGTCATTGTGTCCGCCAAATGGTGGTCCTACAGAGCGTGCTGAAGTAACATTCCAGCAACGTATCGTGTGGTCTGACAATACGCATATAATTTTTCCTCCGTCAGGAGACCATGCTACAGCAGTGATGTGCGTATGTGCATCTGCATGCATTTCTAATTGGTGCGTGTTCTTCGATGATATGTCTGTGATAGTCGCCCCCGAACGAGCAGTAGCACTGGCAATTTTCTGGCCGTCAGGCGAAATTGCCAGACATGTCAGTGCATCCGTGGTGCTCATTCGGCGGGACTGAAGCAAATGTTGAATGCCCTTGAAAACGAGTGACTTGTATGAGTCCAAAGATATATACGAAATGCGCAGTATACACACTTGGGAGGCGTGGATTTATGATCTACCGAGTTGTTGTCAGAGGCGAGGTTGAGAAGTGCCAGGCGATGATTTTGTATAGACTCTAGGTTATGCCAAGGCCTAGGTAGTACTAGAGGCTAGAGGGAAAGAATTGAAGAAAAACATTCTGAGCTGTCACTGCAGGGTCCTTTGTACTAATATGTAGTGTCGTGTCAGCCGCACACAGCCCGAGAGTGGACGAACGTCTGCAACTCATTTGAGTCGATATCGTTATAACTATACGTCGAATCACAGTACGAAACGTGCACTGCATGTGTCGAGTAACGCTGCGCGATAATCACGACTTTTTGTGTGCCGAGTGTTGCACTACATTGCGTGTTATGACACCACTGAAGTTGAGATTTATTCAGACACATCGATCAAAAACACGGGCGCTTTTCAAGTGCTCTTATTGGGTTATACCAGCGCCTCCGTGGGCCGAGTAGAAAAACAGTGGTGCCGGCTTCAACTGCTCCCCATGGTCGGTATCCTTGAAAAGTCAGCGCTTCAGCTCCAAAAACTTTAGCTTATCCAACACTCTCTCCTTCCCGGTAAATCATTCTTGTTCATCCTCCTTCCGGAAGATTCCAGAATATGCACTGCGCTGCTTCACTCCTTCAACACTACTACTAATACTAAGTACATCCTTGCCCAGTCCAGCTCCACAAGTTAGGCCACGGACGCGTGGATATCCTTCGAGGTATAGTTCCCAGAATGATACCGGGAGGATTCGGATGTTGACATCGCACAGATTCCCTTGGTTTCTGTCAACGGAGAGAGCATATCCAGAATGAACATCACCGATGGCGGATTTTTGTCCAAGGAGAGATTTGCCGAGCTGGAAGGAAATAAGTGAGTACCACAACGACATCTTCCTGATTATAGCGCGAGGAATGCTAATTTGTATGGACTTATCCAATCTACCAGCATGCACTTGCTTCCGAAATGGACATTGTATCGCTATAGGACTGTCAGAGAGCATGGATATCCTAGAACAGAGCACCAATCGTCGTCTCCCAGAGACAGCAGACTACCACGCGCTCCTGATATCGTATCACCCCGTGTCCCAGACAAAACCGTAACGGCGGTCATTACCACAATGGTCCTCTGAGATTTCGATATCTGGCTTCGCAAAATTCGGCTATCCAGGCGTCATTTATGCACAATGTTCACAGGAAAACTCGTTGCAAACACCAGATCTATGCCGTAGCTGATACTAAGAGTGCAATTCGCGGGACCCATAGATCTGGCCAACGATGAACATTATCAGGGTTGGGCTGAGTTTCAGAGGGCCGGAGAAGTCGTGGAAGAGATAAGAAGACATGGGGCAGACGAATATATCATAGAGATGGGTCTTGGAAGCTCAGCTTCCCAATGAACCAACATGCTGTGCACGGGCGAAGAACATTTCCGTTGCGGTACATCCTTCATTTAGCGGGCTGTGCAAACTCTGAGGATATACATAGTGCAAGGAGGTGAGGCAGGAATCAGGATGCATCGGTGGTCCCGATTCAGGTACATTTGGTAAGTTATAACCTATCCTATCATATGCATGCCCGTCGTTAACCGGACATGGAGATACCAGCTTTCACAATGGCATAGCATGCGGCAGGGGCTCATGTAGAGAACTGAGCAGATCCGCAAGAAATACTCCGCCCACTCACTGTTGGCATTTGTGTGACCATCAGTTTGGTCATTAAGACCACGTCGTCAAAATACCTCTGTGGTGCAAGGGATTCTCCTCTGACTATGTCACGGGGGTGTCATTTTTCCTAAATGCGGTGCAAAACAGCCATATAGTAGCCTGTACAGTGCTGGTTACGTGGATGCTCGTGGTTCTGACGTTTTGATCACCCTGGTGCGACGGTTTCCCTGCGTGATACTCCTTACAACTTCAGTACGTGCATTGCCTGTATGCGTCTATCAACGAAATCGTCAAAATGATCATAACTCAACATGTGCGTCTCCTGAGCTGCTATGCTGTCCAGTAGTCCATGACTCCGTAGCCGATATTGTAAAACTAGGGGATTCAAGTATGTCTATGCTGGGTTCTATCTGTCCACCTATCGACGATACCAGTATGGCTGACACAGTAGTAGTGGCAGCCGACACACTCGTTACAACCTCCCCAGCCTTCTGCACCACCGAGCGCGTACTCGAGGTAGAGCTTGGTAATAATCTTGTCCAGAAAAAGGCAATACGTAACCCGCGGTCGATGATGCGCTGCTTCAGGATGAAGAGGACCACAAGGCCGAAAAACACGAGACCGGCAATAATAAGGATGCGGTCGAGCCAGTCTGTCTTTTCAAGTGCGGTAATAAGTTGTTTGGAGGTGCCGAGGATGAGATCGAGCTTGTCGTGCGTTGTGGATGCGGATTGGATAGTTGCAGTAGAGGATTCTGTGTGAAATGGACAATAGGTATTAGAGAAAAATGGTACTGCGAGGAACTTGCCTAGTAGTTGACTTGACAAGACACTGCGCTCGAGCTCTTTCTGCATGAGTCCAATTGTTCGTTGCAGTGCTTCTGTGACATCATGGTTGGCTTTCATGAGTACGTCTTCGCTGTAGCTCACAAGTTAGCTGTATCAGAGGGTACAAATGCATGCAGTGCACGAACGTGACTTTCTCGCTCGAGGAGCTTGTACTTTTCTGCCAAATGGCAGGGGACCTCAACAACTCCTCTCGCCGTGATCGACTTTGGGAGTCGATTGCATGTTTCGACGCTAGCAATGCTGCCCGAGAGTCTTTGCGTAGACTGAGAGACAGACCTGTCAGAGGCTGGAAATATACTGAACAATTACACACTTGACTAATGAATCACGAAACACTTCAGCCCTTTTCCTCAGCTCTCTCCTCGCCTTTTCAGTCCTGTGGTCATCAACCAGGACATCCAGCTCCTATAAATGGTGAATATGGGTTGAGTTTCGATGCACGAACAGACAAACCTCGATTTGCCTTGCCAGACCTTCAATGTCCTCCCTTACCTCCGCAGCCCATGCTTGTTGCGTGGGCAAAGGACCTGTACAAGCTCTCAGACGAGGAATCTGAAAAGTTGAAAGGTCGTTATGGTGCCGTTCAATGGACTCGATTAGAGAGAGAGCTTCAGCATCTAGCATTGTTGGGATTGGTGGCATGTCTGAAGGTGGACACTACAAATACAAATATAGCGCATCGTTGACACCTGCAGATGTTATTATTGGAACTTTGAGGCCGAGGAATCATCCATCTCACATATTGTTTCGACATTCTCCCCGCTGCATGACATTCGTCCTCCCGGCCACCACAATCAGATATCCCTTTTCCTTTTGCCTTCTCACTGTCATTTTTTCCAATGTTCATTGCTGCTTCATTGATCTTAACCCTGACTGAATTTCTTAAAACTCATACTGTGGAGTGGATCTATCCCAGACGGGCATCATCCTCTCCGTGATATGGAATCTGGATATATCTTCCAGGTTGGTATTCCGATTTGACTGTTGTTCTGTTAAGGGGGCCATGGGGGTGGCTGAGTGCATGTTTTCAGGCTTTCGAGAATCGAGATCTACCAAATGCATATGCCTGACACTGACTTACGGATGACTATATCAACTTGTCGCACTTCCAGAATACGAAGGGTGGTACATCGGGAAGTGACGAGACCTAGAGTTCAAGTTGAATCCAAGCACCAATATGCATGCAGGTAGGTGATGAGCATGAGACATTAGTCTAGTGGTATCGAACGTGGAAATGCTGCAGATAGGTCTCCACGGTCTGCTTTGAAAGGAAACCATAGTCCAATACAAATACATACGTGTAGTATGATATATACGAAAGTACCAAGGAAAATTGATCAGATTCTAATCTTCAAAGGAAAATGCATCTACAGTATTTCAATCATCCTGACGTCCATCAGGTCTCGGACAGAAGCCATATCTTTGACCTGCGCAATGATATCACGATCCGGCGCGACCCTCTTGTATTCTCCGCCACGCTGCCGCGCTAGTAAAAATGCCCCAAAAGGCTCCCCAAGGCGAACAACCAACCGCAATGCTCGCGATTCTAGATCGTCCACCTCATGTTTTACAACAGAACGGCTAGGTGAGTCGTCAGGTGGAGACGAGGGCGGCGTCCAATAATCCCCTTCGTTCTCCATATCGTCTTGCAGATCTGTAAAGTCTGGTAGCTCGAGGACAGACCGATCCCAGGGACGGACAAGGACAAAGGCTTGCTGAGTGGGCCTTATCTGCGAGAACTGAACAATCGGCTGTGCAGTGGTGACCAACAGGTCACAAAGCCCGTCTGCCTTGACTTCATATCGAGTCTCCTGGGATGGTTCGTAGCTTAGACAGACCTCTGTAACACGGAATACCATGCAAGGCAGACGCAATCTGCAGTTCGCGAAACGAGCAGCGCTGATGTTATCAAGCCGGTGGTAGAGTTCCGAAGCAAACTTCACAGCCATGGGATTTTGTCGCAACGAAGACATAGCTGTCTGGATCTCATCATCGGACAAGGATGGAAGGGTGCGTGGAGGAGTGGCGTAAGAAGTAATGTAGGCCGGAAGACAGCTGTTGAACTCGGAAGGTTGTCCGATCCAGTCGAGGACCGTGATGTCTCCCGAACGAGCCACGATCTCCTGCAGGAGTCGCCCAAGCGCGTTCTGCTTCTCGCCATACATGACAGGTAGGTGGACACCGAAGATACCAAACAATGAATACGCGACGTCCTCTTGCAATGTAGTGACACGAGATGACGCCCATTGAAGTCTCTGTCGAGCGTCGCTCATTCCGGGACTAAAGGAGATCAAGGCCCGTGCATCGATACCCGTCACACCCTCCAATTCCTTCATGATTACAGGGGACTCTTTGTGGTTGGGAGAGCGATCGTCGAGATACAATGACCAATCCTTCTGATAGAATATTACAACTTTTGGAGCGACGAACTCTTGAAAGGTTCATCCTCGCTGGTTCCAAACACTCCTCGCCAATGCGCCGGGATGGGATGAAGGAGGCACATCGGATAGGTATACAATAGTGAGCGCTGAATGACGGTACCAGACGAACATGGAGTTCACCGATTCTTGAAGCTCAGTGTTGCTCCTCTTGTCGATGCAGCATGTGTCCATCCACGCCCAGCGATACCCAGAATTGCGAGCGACCACGCAGAACGACTGAAGTTTCGCGATCCCGCCAAGTCCGTTCAACTCGCGCACATCTTTATCCTGGATGTCGTGCAGCAGCACCTCCGTCTCTTCCCACCTGTGTGACAGTAAGACGCAGCGGAAATGTGTTGCTACCACTTGTTTGATGCGGTCCATTTGAAGATCTGAATGCCTCGTTGTGAATGACAAAAGCTCCTTATACTCTGCGCTCGTTTTGAACGCATATATTTGGGCTGCTCGATCGCACAAAATACCCGTGGAGGTATTAAGTAGACGCAGCGGGGCATATTCGAGTTCAATCCAGACTGCCCTTTGAATGGCGTCTTCTGCTTCAGACGGACAAAGATATTGCTCACGTAGATCTACAGAACGAGATAGGCATTTCGAGATCATTTAGGCGTTTCCCATGGCTCACCTCGTATCTGAGCTTCGGGAGAATCGTCCAACTTGGACAACATGATTTTGAAGGCCTCGATGGCTTCGTCGTAACGTTGCGCCTCACGCAGCGCTGCATGCATCAACTGGTATCCAACGTGAGACGAAGGATCAAGTTCGGCAGCCTATGCGTGCATTGCCGAAGTCAACATGGGCTACGAAATCTTGGATGCCATCGTACCTTTTGCGCGTCAAGAAGCGCCTGCTCCCAGAGCCTTTCCCCCAACCTCGCCCTGCTGCGATTTGCGAAGACGATGTGGGATCCAGAATCCAGGTCGATCGCCGCAGAGTACAGGTCAATGGCTATGCCATACTTGTTTGCAGCGAGGGCATCGTCTCCGTTGGTAAGACAGAGCGCGCTGCATTCTTCCATGAACGCTGAGTGAAACGGGGGCGAGAGTTGTAGCTCGTGCGACATTAAGAACTCCAGACTTGCCTTTGGACCATTCAAGGCAGCTAGCCTTCGTTGTTTTATCGATATTGTCCATCATGTATTGGTATGATCTCACGGCATCTTGAAGTTCACCTGCCCGGAGGAGTGCATTGCAACGTTTCTGGTGTGCTGTCAACCACAAAGATTTGAGATCCCAGCCGAAAAGCTGAACAAGGGATTTGGTTATGAAAGCGTTTCGGGTATGTGTTGACGTACCATCACCAAATCCTCGTAGATTTCATGAATGTCCGATTTCGACGATAAATTGCTAGAATCGAGGGCGGTAGTAAAATGGACAGCGGCTTCTTCGTGACGTGTGCTATCCAAGGCTTTGAGTCCAAGTTGAACGCGAAGATATGCCTAATATGCAAGTTGCAAAGATTAGCGTCGATGCAGATGACTCAGCGTTGGCTGCACGATGCTTACTTCCACGATACGACATGCGCGAGTGTCGGCATTCGGACAACCGGTAGTGAGTTCTTTGAGGAGCAGGTTGGCCTCGTCATGTTGATCTGCATTGAAAAGCGCGATTGCCTAAAAACGCGATGAAGCGGAGAGTATGCAAGGCAACTGCAACATACTTTGATCAAGAGCAGAAAATGGATGATTTGTGAGTCTTGGTCCGTGTACATGGATGCAACGTCAAATGCTGCCCTCGCATCTGGGACGAGGCCTTTTCCGCAGAGGGCAATACCCTTGGAGATATACCCTGTCAACGAGGGCTTAATGTTGATCGACTGTGTCACCATCGAGTTAGTAATTCATAAGGGAGGGATGATGGTTCAGCAAATCTCACATTCATTGCATCCTGAAGGGCACGGTCCCAGTCGTGTTTTCGCGCCATAACGAATGAACGATGGGCGTAAGAAGTATGGTTGTTCGGATTGGTGTTGACATCTTGGGTGAGTAGGTCTTTGGCGGTAGATAAGTCTCCGTTTACACATGCAATACGGGAGGTTGTGATGGCTAAGATCTGCGAGAAACATACTCGATTTGTGCTATATGAGTCAGGGACGGAAACATGCCTTTGGATGATGTACTGCCCACTCTGATATCATCTTATCGCCGCCTCCGCTGAGGACGTGCTTACCGTCCACGGAGAAAGTGACGCATTTCATGTAGGATGAGTGCTTGAAGACGGCAATGGTTCGTCGATCTGAGAGCCGCCAGAGACGAACGTTGTCACCAGATGCGGAGGCAGCGAGTGTGCCAGCAGGATGAATGACAATGCCATTTATTTGGTTTGTGTGGCCCGTCCAGGGATCACCGTCCTGATTCCAGGTTGTTGTATTCCATTCGCGTATGGTAGGATCGAGAGCGCCGCCGCCTGTGAGAAGGCGTGTGCCATCAGGTGTCCACGCGAGTGACAAGTGGAATGACGTGTGAGCCTGAAACTTTGCGACACATTTCCTCGTGGCTGAATTGTAAATTTCGATATTGTCATTTGTTCCGATGGCAAGAAGTTCTCCAGACGGTGAATACCGTACGCAGTTGACATTATCACCACACTCGATTGGATTTCCTTGCAGCTGCCAGGTCTCGGTATTCCACAGTTTCGTCATCTTTTCCCAAGATGCAGCATTGGCAAGCACTGTTCCATCGGGAGAAAAATCAAGCGAGATGATATCTTCGGAGTGTGCTTCGATTTTGGTGAGTGATTCGCCAGTTTCTCCGTGCCAGACCATGACATCTCCGCTCCAATCACCGCTTGCTATCAATTGTCCATCTCGTGATACAGCCAATGCCCGCACACCATTGCGATGCCCTTCCATCTTCTTCAACACGACACCTGTCTTCAGGTCCCACATAAGAAGCGTGCTGTCCTCCGAGCCCGTAACCATCCATTGTTTATCGGGGAAAACTGCGACTGCAGTTATGCTATCTGTGTGGCCATTGAACTCTTGCAGGGGTGTGATGGTTGTAATGATGTTCGACATTTTACTGGATGTTGATGGTGTTGAGCACGGTCGAGGTGGACTTTGGAAGGATTGTTTAAGCTGTATATTTGTGACCTCGCCGGGGAATCGGCGGGGCGCAGGGGTCCAGCTTCCGAAGACGGAAAACGATCCCAGGAGCCCGTTCATCCACCACGAACTTGCACCCTCAGGCTCGGAGGACATCCAGGAAATGGCCCTAGTCTGGGGGCCAGAGTCTGGCCCAGGTTGTGGCTGACGCGTGCGGAGCTTAATGTGGAGTTCAAATTATATCTGATCACGTTTGCAAAGCCTAACCCGATCAGATGCAAATGTGAGAACTATTATTAGGTGCAAAACAGGACCAAAATTTCAGAACAATTTTCAGAGACTCTATCTTCATTTACATAGTCCCAACCGTCACAAATCAGTCCGTATCACCCATTGTACTGGTCCGGGTATCAAGCTGACCTGAACACTGATCGACAGACTTTGACCACGACGGCTATGACTCCTTTGCCGTGCGTAGCTCCTTACAAATTTACGGATCCTGACATGGTTGCTGTCCAACGAGACTTTACAAACACAGAAGGTAGGGTTGGAAAATGAAAATTTCTCGAGGGGCTCTCGCATTGGACGCCAGTTGCCCGGGACTCCGTCGTACGTTGATGTTGAAACAGACACCGCTGTCCCTGTGGCGAGCATTACTAGCGTCAGGCTCGTCTTATTCGGCTCATCACAAAGCATCCAAACACTGGTGCCTGTAGAAACAAGGCAAGGACGCGAAAGTATACGAGGGATCCATGAAGCACAGGAACGGTAGTATTGAACGGCGCTGGACGACAGATTGAGCTGCACGGTAAGATTATGTCAGCGGATATCGCTGGTACAAAGTGAGTTTATTCACATTTAGTCTGTAGGTGGACGGTACCTGAAATCTTTATTGGGGCAGACCCATGTTGAATTCCAAACGGTAATGAAATGGCATTCACTACATCTCGGCAAGCCTTCAAAATCATCATTCTGACTCAAATTTGTGATGCCTCACCCTGGCTTGGCCACGGCCCCTTAGTTCCCTGTTCCTCCAGCACACTTTCCAGCATATCACAGTAGGGACATCACCAACAATTACTCTTCGTTTAGTGTCCCTGGCTATTTGACCATGTTCCTTAACTTGTGTCATCGGAGGTGATATTTGATTGGTATTATATCGTTTATTATGTCACAACTAACATCATACCTTTTGTGCTACTGGTTCATGTGTGTCCATCTCGACTACGATGCTCCGGCCATAATCACTAGAGACAGCCCACCACCTTACCCTACTGAGCTCAGACGGGTTGAATAACCAATTTTGATCGATTTTCAACTTCCCAGCGAGGGAGTGTATGCTGAGCATAAGTCGAGATACTGCAACTGCACTGATCGCTAGCTGTGAGCTAAATAATTACGCTGTTTAGCAAACATTGATGAAACATGCGAATGGAAAAATTCACTTTGACCAAGTTGCTGGCCCGTTGATCTGTAATCTCGGAGTATTAGGCGCCACGCAGGCGATCTTAGAGAAAGATAGGTAACATACGACAGGATCTTTGCTCAAACGAGCACCGACTACGGAAAATGTAGCTGAGGCTGTGTTCTAATTAGCGCGCTGACGAGTGCACGAATTATTTATCATTCACCCATCGAGACGAAGAAGACAAGGCCACCGCTGGATAATCGGTAAGTGGGCTGAGGATACTACTCACAGAATGGAACTCACTCTCGTACCAAACGTTGCATTAATTGATCCATCCGCAAGTCACGAGAGACCTTCACAATTCGTGCGATCGTGAATCCAAACAAGATCATGTGGATGATGGTACTTGGAACGAAAACCGTCCAGATTATCGATGGTGAAGGCGCAGAACATCCTGGAATACTTGTTATCTGCCGCTGAAGCTGCAGAGATTCCGTGGTTGACTGCAGGAATGGGAGGCTCAAGCCCGTCATTGTGAGGGATGATACAACGCATGCTGCATAGCTGAAACATGCAACCGTTCGCGCAATGGCACTATGAGAGTACATGTACCACACACGGAGGAGGAGAATTCCTATTATTGCGATGTTTTAGCCAGTCTACGGTGACTTATATGAGACCACTAGGACCTTGGTTGACGCAGATTGCGATTATGGAAAGCTCAAATGCAGCGCGGATCCAATGAGTGCACCTTGAACAATGCGATGATTAGTTCATGTGCCATTAAGAAGAGTAATTTTAGCCTTACGACTAAGAATCATTGATTGTGATATGACTGAGTGAGAGCATTTAATGGTAAGAAACAAATTATCAAACCTGAGCTGGTATCCTGGCCCCAAACAGTGCTAAGACATTCGATCATTCATTGAAAAGTTGAAGCCAATAACCATAGTACTCACCAACATTCGTTGGTCTTCGATGTCCGAAACCAGATAAATGTCAGGACAACCCCTTAAGCGGCAGCTGATTGGACCTACATCATGGCGACAAATGGAAGGTATCGGTTCTAAAGTAGCTCCGTCAGATAAGAGCTCACTTCAGAGAAAATGCAGCCACACCCACCAAGAAAAACAAAACCCGGGATAAACTCCATGGACCGGACCAGAAATATTCAACCTGAGATACAAACATGATGGAGGGAAGTCCTGATAACGCTATGAGCCACCACACACCTCTTCTCCGAAGGTAGTCAGTAGATCGTAAACCAGAAGTGTAAAGCATGCTATTTCTAAATAATGAGCACTCTGGAATGCAAACAGCACACTCAAATTATCATCGATAAGATGAAACGGTGCACTAGCAGAGTTGTTCATGGTCGTGGGCATCGAGAAGCTGTCCCGTCTATCTTATGAGTACTAGTATGACCCTTAGATGCCAAGCGATGCCGTTGACATGCCGATGCATCATTGGTACATTGCCATAGGAGATACGAGAAAGGAAACGAAATTTACTGATGGGCCAGTCACACCGGTGACGATCAAACCGATCCTGTGCGTTGTTCAGGACCTCGTAAGATGAAAATAATGCTTATTGACCGCCGATCAGGGAACTGGTGAGGAGAGAATATCGTTATATGATGACATAGGGTCACATTGGATATGACCATGTAAAAGCACCGAGATCAGCATAACCGCAAGCAAGGACTCACCAGTCCACTGGTCAGCGCTTACTGACACGTTCCACTAGGAGCTTGTTCACGCCTCCAGGTGGTTTTAAGAAAGTCGTTATGACCCGGAGATCCAGTAGAAACGGACCCGGCGCAATGCTAATGATAGCTCTCCAAAGAAGGAATCCCCGAGAGCCGAACCGAAACCCTTTGTCTCGTCCAGTCCTGCACTACCCTAAGTTTGAAAACACAGCGTTAGTTGACAGCTCCCATCTACTACTTAGTAAGTGCAGCACGCACCCTGTCTGGTTTGGGTAGTACTTGCCAAGTTAGCATGGGCAGTGCGGCTGCGCCCTAGATAGCGATATCGACCTGCCCCTGGACCACAGTAGGCTCTAACTAAGTTCGATTTCTCTGTGTGGATGAGTGATTCATGAATGAGATCTGCGAGTAGAGCCATGGCCCATATACATCATCGTCAGTGGTGATGATCATGATTGGTGTCAAGCATTGTGACTCAGGTCGGTGTTTGAAAATCACGGGTTCCGCGGGAGCAATGATGTAGTAAGTATATCAGAGCACATCAACATCATGATATTGCTATACGCATGCCCGATCATCTTCCACGTCGTCAACACTTGATCAAAGTTTCGTTGTGGAGTTAACTGTATATGGTCAACGCTCGAGTTTCCGTGCGCAAACTTTGTGATATGTCTGGTCGTTGCCATAGTTGAGGACGTATCAGAACGTATCTAGCTGTGCTTTTAACGAGGTCACGTATGCTTTGGTCATCCTCACGTAGTATCAACGTGGCTTACAGCCAAGGTACTAGTACCTGTTCCGATCCTTACTAGGCGCTTGTCAGACAGGTTCCGATTCGATGAGTCGACATCGGTCACCAAGACTCTCAATCCGCTGGAACGATGGCAATGATGATGGCAATCCACCCGGATCTGCGGATGTGGAAGTATGTAGGATTTAAACCTTAATTGAATAGGCTGTCAGTTCGTGTTCGTTCATCTTTGCTTTCTGGGCTGTATTCATGGCGCGAATATGCAAATGCTGACTGCAGATGTTCATCTATGATGTCAAAATTTGGGGTGAGTTCTTGCAAGTTGTTGAAATCCAGTGGAATGCGACGTTCAACAATTCGTTTACATAGTCTTCAAGTTACCAAATGTTCTTGTCCATGTGTTATCTTTCGTCCAGCACACAACTTCAGGCTCGATCCAGGTAACATCATTGATCAGTCGGTCATTCGTGTGGAGTCTTGTAAAATTAAACAGCAACTCCATTATCTAGAATTTTCAGGATTACTCGGTGTGGTTGAAACAGGTAACCAGCGTGACGTATGATGTTAAAGAATCCAACTTCCTGGAAACATGAACTTTCAGCTGACCGTTGGCTTTTCCTATCTGTTGTCATTGCTTTATATGAGCAGGTGCATTTGAGTCTTACATCTTAAGATACGTCACTCTCATACCTTTTCTTTTACATACACAATCTCTAATTCTCCGTCTTAACATATTATTTCCTCTCCGCTAAAACAATCTCTGTCAGTCTTTTGATCCGAAACTGAGGTGAGTTTTCTTATTTACAGCCCTACGTACATTTCCTGACTATTATCCTCTTTCTCGTCCCTAGTCCGAGCCTCTTCATTCGCGAGGTTGCATCAAATTCATTTCAACTTGAACTTAATACCGATGTCGGAAGCGCCTTCACTCCCTTCTCTGTCTGACGAACAGGCGTATATGTATGCATCTGCCTTCAAGGCAGACTCTCGAGTGTCCCTTGGTCCCCTCACTTCCTGCGTCACTCGAAGAACAGTAAGCGAGTCGTTTTCGACCTAGGAATTCACAAACACATAAAAGAATTTGCGCCTACTGCAACAGAGCAGTTCTAACCTGACGTGACGCAGACGATGGCAGAATCTCTGGAATCTGGTGGAGTTACCCCTTCATCCGTTGACTCGGTAGTCCTGATCCACCTCAATTGGGATCAGTGAGCCGTTCAGCGTCCAAGGTGAATAAAATTTTCTAATTCGTCTTGCCTCAGCATCGGAGATCCCAGGATGCGTGTTGTGTCGTCTCGTGATCGTCGTGACCTCCATCTTAGGTTAGATGAGACTGTTGTTGAGGCACTCGTCCACGCTCTTGATGTAGAGATATTCAAGAACCGGGGTTGGGAGTAGGAAGACGAGAGACACGTGATGCTGTTCCTAGTGATTAGGGTATGGGTGGTAATGGCAAGCAATAGAGAAGCAAGATAAACCCATTTTCTCCGTCTTCGTATCTTGGAGAGGACAGACTCATCAAATGCTTAAGCCATGCAGAGTTTGATTTGAGGATATTACCAACAATGCACTTATTTCCTGGTCAAAATCTAGCGCGATCATAACCAACCATACGAGTGAGCTTGAAGCGATTCTGCACCCCTATACAAAATGGCCTAAGGACTGGGCAAGGCTCGTCGCAATATTGCTGGAAAGAGAGAAAGAGCCGGCCGGAAGAAAAGCGCTCTGTTTAGAATTGTTGACGAGTTGAGTTGCCAGAAGGATGGAATTTGGTGCACAAGCAGGTCTTGAGAGTCGGTGGTATGAAGGGTGATGTTTCAATAGGCTATCTGCATGCGTTCGAAGGCTGAGTGACATGGCGACGTGCTGGAGTAGCGGTTCGACTCAAAAACAAGGCTAGGAAGCACCGACTGCTCCATTGAATGCATTCTGCAAAGATTGAGAACAAGAGTGGGACGCGTGTATGCACTACAGGAGTCTGGAACGGCATACCGTGGAGGACAGCGGGTATGGCAATAGGGTACAGGGAGGCGGTCGGAGGCGTGGAAGCGAACAGCCTTAAGCGTCCTGGGCGTCTATTGAGGTCGAAGCCATCAAACGCATGATACACGCACCTCTCACATCGGGGTGAACGATATTTAAAAGAGGTTTATATGTTGTACAAAATGTGAAGACAATATTTAATATTCAAACTAACATAAAGATGAGTGCACGACTTCAAATTTTGGTGGTGTTTTATGTGTGATCCAAAATATCAAATATTCACAACCATATTCCCACAGACAATATGTCAACAAACATAAGAAATATAGTCAGATTTTTCATGTCTGCTTCCACTGCATGTTATCAAAAATTTCGGCTGTATGAAACGAGGGTAGAACCTGACCCTAGGTTAGGTTTCAGCCATGTCAGCGCCTTCGTTGGACACCGGCGTCAACATGGCGGTTTTGTCACATTTCCTCTATGTAGCAGTCAAGGTTTCGCGCTCTTGTCGACACCGGCTGAAACCATGGCCTATCCTTGATAGGGCGACCTCGCGAGCTTTATATATTATATATACACATATATATAATATTAATATATAGGAGTGCTGTAATTATATATATATATAGCACTCCTGCTGCACGCGTACGGCCGCGGTCAAATTCAGCTGGTGGCCACCCAATATATCATACAATTGCGGTAGCAGACTGCTCCTCCGTGCTAGATACAAGTATAATTAAGGATCTATACGGGTAAACCCTAAGGTGTCGGAGACCTCACTCACACCCGCACCCTTACCCGCACCCATGTGAGCCTGTGACCTGTGGGTAATGACACACTCACTTCCTGCAAACAGTAAGCAATGACTTGACTCAGCATGGTTCGAGCTCGTAGGAGGACATACACTCACTTCCTGAGAACGGTGGGCAACGACTTGGAGAGTCAGCATGGCTGTTGCTCGAATGAGGGTCGACACACTGACTTCCTGTGAACAGTGGGCAACGACTTGACTCAGCATGGTTCGAGCTCGAAGGAGGACAGATACACTCACATCATCCTAAGAACGGTGGGCAACGACTTGGAGAGTCAGCATGGCTGTTGCTCAAATGAGGGTCAATACACTCACTCTCTGCGAAGAGTGGGCAATGACTTGATCAGCGTGGGTGTTGAGGATCGACACACTCACAAACAAACTGCGAACGGTGAGCAATGACTTGTATCAGCATGGCTGTTGTTCGAAGGAGGATCAATACACTCACTCTCTGCGAACAGTGGGCGACTTGGGTCAGCATGGCTGTTGAAGATCAGTGGGCAATGTGGCTGTTGCTCGAATGAGGGTCGATACACTCACATCATCCTGCGAACAATGGGCAACGACTTGATCAGCATGGCTGTTGAGGATCGACACACTCACCAACTGTGAATGATGGGTAACGACTTGGATGACGTCAAGAGCAAAGGTAGTTTCAAACTCCACGTATGTGGGGTCTTGATTAAGCAAGTAATACTACTAAGTCTGACTATACTTATACCGGCGCACTGCAGTCTGCAAGCGCATACATTCGACTCACAGAGCGGATCAAAGTGCAAACGTCCTTGTTGAGTTCATTATTGTATGAGTAAGGGTAAGTGTTGCCTCCGACATCAGTGAAAAGTGGGGCTGCGGGGTAGTACTACATAGCCTATGTTGTGTGAATAGTCAGGTAGCTACCCCCCCCACTCTCAAACACCTGGTAGCACGGAGTTGTTACAATATAGCTTGTGATAGTGCTTGGTGGCTGCTGAGTCCAGTACCTGCATTGCAGAAGTAGGTTAATGTAGTACTCTATAGGATAAACCATATGTGTGGTCATCAGCAGTATAAGTCTATAGTTGACAGTAATTCCACACAGTCGCTCGAACCATTGACAAACCGTCAAAATAGCATGCATTGGCTGATATAATAATGTACACTACTACTACTCATCATCCTCATCATCACTTGATACACCCCTGCATTCATTGTACTCCTCGATTGCAGCCTCGAATGCACTACGAGCCATTGTGCGGCCAATTTCATGACCAAGTGGGTCAGCCTTTGAGTAAATGCTGAAGAATGAAGGTAAGATGAATTAATAAGGCCAAGGACAAAGACATACCGGCCATTATCATGCAGACGTGACAAAAGCTTGGGTAGCAGGCCTTGAGCCTTGGTGTGTTCATCGAAGTCTGCAAGGTTGTTGAGATGTTCGTCGAGCACATCCTGATACTCATCCACAGTGAACATCTTGTTCGTTTGAGCTCCACTGCTCCACTCATCGATGCAACTTTCAATCTGATGGCAATCAGCACTCAATCCCCACAGCAAAAAAAAACGGTACCGCAGTCAAAAGCAATGCAAAGGCAACCTCTGGGAATGGTTTGTAGAACTCGGGATATAGCACACCTTCATCTTTCTTGTCGCGGAACCATATGGTGTTGACCCCCTTCTGGATAATCTTGGCACTGTATAAGCCTTTGTTACCATCAGGGGAGCGAGTCTAAAAAATCATGTTGAGCAAACACACGGCAACGTAAATAGGTACTTGCCTTATAAACGAAGGCAAAATCCTTCTTGAGTTCTCGTGCAAGCATGATGTTGCGATCGATGACAGATTGCTTGGTGCTCGTCTCGAACCCATACTCATCTGCAACATATGGCCGGACCTTAGTCTTGACTTCACCACGAAGGTGGGAACCTCGCGAAGTGATCTAGGTAACACATTAGAGATAGCATGTTCACGATAAAAATCACTGACCATTTTTAAAATCTCCGCATCATAAGCAACTTGAGTATGTAGCCTCTTACATGCTTCATTCCATGCTAACTTGGCCCACGTCACCTCCTGCATATGGTCAGGCATGGGACCCTCTGTGCAGAGACGGCCACGATAGAGTGCCCATGCCATGCCGAAGATGGTGCGAACAGATGGTTCATAATCAGCAGCCTTCGGCCATCCCTTACTTTCCTGTATCTTGACAGCCTTCCGCACTGGTTCGCTGTTGTTGTCACCATCAGATGCTCCACGGCGACATTTGCCCACACATTCGATGCTGGGGGATGGGGACCTACTACCTTCATCACCAATATAGTTGTTGTTGTCAGCCACGAGCGAGTCATTACCCTGGTCCCCATCCATGTTGAAGTCGACCAAGCCTTCAATAGCTTTGTCGAATAGGGCCTCGTCAGTTGGGCTAGGAGAGTGAGTCATAGTATTGTTGAGGCTCGAACTAGGGTGGGGACCACCTGCAATTGAGTAGACATAGTAGGCTGCTATTAAATTCGGCACAATTTAAATAAATACAGGTACTCACCTCGAGACAACGCCGCAACTGGACTCATTGCTTGTTTGGCCAGCACAGCCTCACGCAGACGCAACAGCTCAGCAGCTTTTTCTGGTGTCAATGTGTTGAGACGTGGAGTCTTGTTCTAGTATTACTAGTCAACGAAAAAGCACAATGTTGTAAATAGACATACCAATGTGACCCGGTGTGGTGCGAGTGGCACTGTACTTTTCCGTGCAACCAAGTTCGGGTCCCTGGCAGGTGTTGACACAGTTTGACTTGTAAACTAATGGTGTGAGGGTCATTACAATTGACTATTGACGAGAATACTAACAAACATACACCAGGATCGTCACTCGACAGCACTGTGGAGACTTGAGTGCGTCCAGTATTGTTCTTGTAAGCTTCGCGTTCGGCAGCCTTGCTTGCCTTCTGACGAGCCTTCTCTTGACGTTCGTGGGCCTTATTGACCTGCTGGTGCTGGCGATTTTCTTTGTCCTTGTGAGTCTCAGCTTCAATTGAAGGTCAAATCAACATGACGTGAAAAAAATTGTAATATGAAGACTTACAGATATACTGAGCTCTCTCAGTAGGACGGCGATCACGACGGGCCACTGAACGTTCAACTGCAGACATTCTGTTGGAGAAGAAGGAGGGGAGGAAGAAAGATCAACAAAGTTGACGACACGATAAGGTTTATTTGCAAGCAACATTCACCGATATGGCCCGAGAATCGTGATGGAGCCTGTCAGGATGTCAGTCTGAGACATGGGCTGATTTTGGCACAGAAACGCACTGAAACCACAGTAAAAATACAAAATACAGGCAGAATCTGGAAAAGAATCTACCTAAGTGCCTTCAGTCAGAACTTTGAGTCTTGAACAATGTCATACACCAGGCAGAAACCGCGCTGTAATTTCTGTCTCAAAGAGCTCAGCCGACACAAAGATGTAACCTTACACATCCAAAACACTCCGACATGTCGCCAACAATGGGACCTCATGGTCTCGCATCAAAACACCAGGTGTTCAGAACAGGTCGACAGCCAATCTAGCACATCAGATACATTGACACCCCAAGACTATGAATATGACATACCCGAAGATGTCGACTATGAATTTCCGCACAGATCAAGATACGAGCCAGAGGACATAGAGTCTTTGACGAATTCTGGCCCCCAATCCAAACGTGCAAGAATGGAGGAGGTAGCAGACGAAGAAGAGCCGACACGATTTGCCAAGGTCTTCCCGCGCCCAGTTGCAGATGTTTTGGGGGTCGGACAGACTGTGTTTGAAGAAATTTGGGAGTCTCAGGTTGACATGGGTCTGGAGAAAAATCCATGGGCACCTTTTGATGATGAATATGAGTGGGGCCTCGCAGAATGGCTGTCGAAGAGAGTCAACAAGACTGCGACCGATGAATTCCTTAAACTGGCCATTGTAAGTCTCCAAAATGTCTTGGCATCTTCCGTCACAGACAAAACCACCTATCTAGACGAAAAATTGCACTCAGCCAAGTTTTACGAGCAACTATACATTTCAAAAGAAACTTGATAAACTACCTACAGGTCCTGGATGGACTTGTGAAATAGTCACGTCAACAGGAGATCGAGTGGGTGGAGATCGGAAGCCATTAACAGAACAACATGAACTTTGGCGGCGTGACCCTGTGGAGTGTGTGCGTGATTTGATTGGTAATCCCGCATTCAAGGATTACCTTTCATATGTTCCCGAGCAAGTTTTTGCTGATCCGCAAGGGAAGACGCGGGTATATGATGAGATGTGGACTGGTGATTGGTGGTGGAACATGCAGGTAAGTGAGGCAAATGTGTGAGATTGAATGATAACCAATTGTGACATTAGGAACACCTACCTTCAGGTGCCGTTGTTGCTCCAGTAATACTCGCATCCGACAAAACAAATCTTACTCGTTTTCGTGGCGATAAAGCTGCATGGCCAATATATTTGACCATCAGAAATATCAAAAAGGACATTCGCCGTCAGCCTTCTAAGCATGCAACAGTGCTGATAGGATACTTACCAATATCGAAGATGCTGCATTTCAAGGATGACGAAGGATGGCAGATTGCTCGTTATCGTCTCTTTCATAACTGTATGCGGTTGGTGACAAAGCCACTTGTCGATGCCGGCCGTCACGGAGTGGATATGATATGTGCTGATAGGAATATCCGACGCATTCATCCTATTCTTGCAGCATATATCGCAGATCATCCCGAGCAATGCCTGATTGCCTGCTGTAAAGAAAACCACTGCCCTCGTTGTGTTGTAGGAATGAAACATCGCGGAGACCACTTCGACTCACCTCTTCGAGATGTCAATGAGACTTGAGCAACTCTCGAACACCATAAAAACAGCGAAGACCCTCACCTTTTTGAAGATCACGGTCTTCGCGCGATATATTTTCTGTTCTGGTCACATCTTCCACACACCGACATTTTCATGTGTATCACTCCGGATATTCTACACCATTTACACAAGGGTGTTTTCAAAGACCACATTGTGAGCTGGTGTTCTACAATCATCTCTGACACAGAGTTCGACGCACGTTTTCAAGCTATGTCCGATTTTCACGGTCTCCGTCACTTCAAACGGGGAATTTCAACTGTCTCTCAGTGGACTTGCACGGAGCATAAAGAGATGCAGCGCGTTGTCTTAGGCGTCATCGCTGGTGCTGTTGAACCCCGTGTGTTCCGGGCTGCACGTGCTGTTCTCGACTTTATTTACTATGCTCAATACCAAGCTCACACAGACACGACTCTCGCGCGGATGCAGGAAGCACTGGATGTGTTTCACGTGAACAAAGATGTTTTTGTCGACCTTGGGCTTCGTCAACACTTCAACATTCCCAAGGTTCACTCAATGCGCCACTATGTGCAGTCCATCCGAGTGTTGGGCAGCGCAGATGGTTTCAACTCGGAGAGCCCCGAACACTTGCATATCGACTATGCAAAGGATGCTTACCAGGCAAGCAGCAAAGTAGATTAGATCGCGCAAATGACTCATTGGCTCGAACTTCAAGAAGCTGTCTTTCGACATGGCATGTTCCTCAATTGGGTCGCATCAAAAGGTGGACTCGGCGAACCTCTCGACTCAGATTTGCTCGAAGACGAGGATGAGGAACCGACATTCGCAGATTCAGACATCATCCCATCAGGACTGCTGGCATCGCATGGTTACCATGTTGCCAAGAGTTGCCCGTTTCTCGCCGTCTCCGTGTCTCACCGTCTCTGTGTCTCGCCTGCAAACAGATTTTGGCGCCATCGACTTCATCCCCGCCCTTCAAACATTCCTCACCCATCACTTTCCCCATTCCTCTATTTCTGCGAGCCAGTATGACCGGTTTGACTTATTTAAATCGGTTTCACTTCGGCTCCCTCGACGAGACCACATTAGTGACCTCAAGCGGCTGAATCGAGTTCGCGCTCATCCAGCTATTCCCAATCGCGATCGCCGCAAGCCACCTTCACCTGCACACTTTGATGTGGTGTTTGTAGTCGAGGATCACCAGCTATGGGAGAGTGGTACAGGCTTGGATGGTATGTCCAAATCACTCTCATTGTTGTGGGCCCATGATGCTGATACCTTGGCCACAGGCTTGCGGCTCGCACAGATACGTGCAATTTTCAAATTGCCCTCTCACTACGGGAAATTTCCTCATCCATTGGCATACGTCGAATGGTTTCGACCTCTGCGCGATCCGGAACCTGCGACCAACCTTTATCGACTTGCACGTTCGACTCGTAACCAATGGCGTTTCGCATCCGTCATCAGTGTTCGAGACCTTCTGCAAGCAGCACACCTGATGCCCAGGTTTGGATCGAGTAAGGTAGATGTATCATGGATCAACGGCAATGTTCTTGAGCTCGCTGATGAGTTTTATGTTAACCCTTACATTAACTTTCACATTTTTGATACTATACAGCACTTGTACTAGCGGTCACGCACAGCTTGTTGTTCATGTAGTTGCATTGCTATACATGGCCCTTCGCATCGACAACTAGACTACCTACAGCTATGGAACACAAGGGTATGTCTACTGTTGCTCAGGTGTTACATGACTGTCTACCCCGGGCTACTGAGTCTCCCAGTCACGACGTAGCGTTGGCGTGGCGCTACGACCCGAATTGCTTTTTCCAGATGGAGTCTGCATGTGTTGCATGTCGGTATGCAGCATTGACAAACACAGTCAAGTAACCATTGAGAAGAGCTGGATGTTCTGATAATGCATGTGGGAGGATATCCTCCAGCTCGCTCTGGTCTTCTTGTGCAAGGCCATCCTCGAGGACAGCATCGTTTGATAAGTATTCAGGATCCACCTCTGGGTCCCAAACGTGCTCGTCACCTCCCTCAATATCTTCACCTGTACTAACCCATTCGTGATGCTCGTCATGTGTGATAGCAGAAGTGCCGAGATCGAGAGAAAGTATACTTTGATTGTCGAGAGACTCATCATCAGATGCTGGAAAGTGTAGAGGAGGGGAATCAGGTCGGGAAGGGTATTCTCCGTTGCTTTGATGCATGCCAAAATTCTGTCGAAGGATGGGGTCTCCGTCAACACAAACATCCTCGTCAACATAAAAGTCTCTGTCAACAGGATCCTCATCCATGCCCATGATGATATCAGTGTCTGCCTCGCGATCAAAATACTCATTGTCGCCCAGAGTAGGTGAGGCCCGTGAGGGTGGACAATCATACTTGGCAGCAGGTTGTGAGGTTTCGAATTCCTGATCGATATCTAAGTCATCTTCGAACATGAGCTTGTTCGCGATTGGACCTGGCTGACGACGAGCATATCCGTTTCTCGTGACATGGAGTCTGATTATTCAACTGGTCTGGTAGAGACCCGCTGGTGTACACACAGTGCAAGGACACAAGCGGCGCTATGAATCAGATCCAACAGGTGATCAAAGGACAGTCTTTGGAAGACAATGTATATTACAAGCCATACATGAGTCTTCATACTTGTAATTATCCTCGAGTCGACGGCCACGATAGATGTTCAAATGGCAGGCAGGCAAGGCTCGTACAATTTGAGTGATGTGGTGTCGGTTGTGTTGGTTGGAGACAAGCAGCACTAGCAGAACCAACGACGCTAGAGTTGCCTTTGTCGTTGAATAAACCCTAGCTATGGGTTAACGTTATATGTACTAATGTGGTAGGTCTGCAGCTGGGTATGCATTGAGGCGTGTTGAAGGGTTAAGTCGACGCCGTATATACGAAGAGGAAATCAAAGCAAGGAGGCCCGGCCGATAGCTATAGTATCTGCCATCGTTGCGTGGAGCGTCGACTTAGAGTATCAAGTTTACGACTTAGTATCGGCTGGCTGATATTTGGTGGCGGTGACGTGGCTGAAACCTTGGGGACCCCCCAGAATCTCCGCCAACTCTCAGCCGTCGGAATTTTTGGACAACACGCAGTGTTCAACTTAAAGTTCAATTTCCATGTAAAACTTTGGAGAAAACTTGAAGTTTTACAGATGACATGACATTAAAACTCAATTTAAATGTCAAGCTGTGGCAAAACTTCAAGTTTTCTCCAAAGTTTTATGTAAGGATCAAACTTTAAATTGAAGCGGATATGGAAAATCTGATTATATTTCTTATATTTGTTGACATATTGTCTGTGTGAATATGGTTGTGAATATTTGATATTTTGGATGACACACAAAACACCACCAAAATTTGAAGTCGTGCACCCATCTTCATGTTAGTTTAAATATCAAATATTGTTTTCACATTTTGTACAACATATAAGCCTCTTTTAAATATTGTTCACCCCGATGTGTCTACAGCTTAGACAAAGATACAGTCCGTCCAAAGTCCACTTCGACACCATTAACGTCCAGTAAAATGTCGGAGCTCGTTACGATCACCACTCCCCTGCGAGAGTTCAAAGGCCATGAAGGACACATAAAAGCAGTCGCGGTTTTCCCCGATAAACGACGGATGATTACGGGCTCGGGGGACAACACGCTTCGTCTGTGGGACTTGAAGACAGGTGTTGTGTTGAAGAATATGGAGGGGCACCACAGTGGGGTGTCGGCATTGGCAGTATCACGAGATGGACAATTGATAGTAAGCGGTGATACCAAGGGAAAAGTCATCGTCTGGCACGGAGAAGCTGGCGAATCACTCAGCAAAATCGAAGCCCACTCCCATTGGATCTCTTGGTTGGATCTTTCTCCCGATGGAACAGTGCTGGCCACTGGTCCATTGATCGACAAAATGACGAAACTGTGGAATACCAAAACCTGGCAACAGCAAGGAAATCCAATCGAGTGTGGTGATATTGTCGAATGCGTACGGTATTCACCGTCTGGAGAACTTCTTGTTATCGCAACAGAAAACAATATTCAAATTTACGATTCAGGCACGAGGAAACGCATCGCAAAGTTCAAGGGTCACACATCATTGAACTTGTCACTCGCGTGGATGCCCGATGGCACACGCCTTCTCACAGGTGGCGGTAAGGACGATCCTACCATACGGGAATGGGATACAACAACCTGGAAGCAGGTCCGGGATCCTTGGACGGGCCACACTGACCACATCCGTGCCATTGCCATTCATCCTGCTGGTACACTTGTTACCTCCGCATCTAATGACAACCATGTTCGTCTCTGGCAGCTCTCAGATCAACGAACCATTGCCGTCTTCAAGCACTCATCCTACATGTTATGCGTCACTTTCTCCGTGGACGGCAACCACATCCTCACCGGAGGCGGTGATAAGATAATCTCAGAGTGGGCAGTGCCCCAGGGTACTCATCCAAAGGCATGTTTCCGTCCCTGAGTCATATACCACAATCCGAGCATGCTTCTTGCAGACGATCACCATCACAACAGCCCGCGATGCATGCATAGATGGAGACTTATCTACTGACGAAGAACTACTCACGCAAGATATTACCACCGATGCAAACAACCATACTTCCTACGCCCATCGCTCAAAGGCATGTCTCTGTCTTTGACCCATATATATCACAATTCGAGCATGTTTCGTGCAGATCCTAGCCATCACGACTGCCCGTATTGCATGTGTAAATGGAGACCTATCTACCGCCGAAGAACTGCTCACCCAAGATATCAACATTAATCCGAACAACCATACTTTCTACGCTCATCGCTCATTCGTTATGGCGCGAAAACACGATTGGGACCATGCCCTTCGGGATGCAATGAATGTAGGATTTGCTGACCCGTCTCTGCTCCCTTATGAAATGGCTAACTCGATGGTGTCACAGTCTATCAATATCGAGCCCTCGTTGGCAGGCTATATCTCCAAGGGTATTGCCCTCTGCGGAACAGGCCGCGTCCCAGATGCGAGGGCAGCATTTGACGTTGCATCCATGTACACGGATGAAGACTCAAAAATCCTACATTTTCTGTGCCTGATTAAAGTATGTTGCAGTTGCCTTGCATACTCTCCGCTTCATCGCATTTTTAGGCCATCGCGCTCTTCAATGCAGATCAACACGACGAGGCAAACCTGCTCCTCAAAGAACGCACTACCGGTTGTCCACATGCCGACGCTCTCGCATGTCGTGTCGTGCGAGTAAGTATCATCTATGCTTGGTCATCGACACTCATCTTTACAACTCGCACATCAGGCATATCTACACGTTCAACTCGGAATCAAAGCCTTGGGCGGCGCATGTCATGAAGAAGCCGCCGACCATTTCATGGCCGCTCTCGACTGCCGCGATTCATCAAAATCTAACATTCATGAAATATATGAGGATTTGGTGGTGGTACGTCAACACACACCCGAAACGCTTTCATAGTCAAATCCGTTGTTCAGCTTTTCGGCTGGGATCTCAAATCGTTATGGTTAACTGCACACCAGAAACGCTGCGATGCATTCCTTCGGGCAGGTAAACTTCAAGATGCCGTGAGATCATACCAATACACGATGGACAATATCGACAAAACAACGAAGGCCAGCTGCCTTGAATGGTCCAAAGGTAAGTCTGGAGTTTGCAATGTCATGCAGGCTACAATCCTCACTCTCATTTCACTTAGCTTTTACGAAAAAATGCAGCGTGCCCCTTCTTACCGGCGGGGATGCTGCCCTCGCTGCAAGCGATTTTGACAGAGCGATTGACTTGTACTCGGCGGTGATCAACCTGGATTTTGCATCCGATGTCGTCTTTGCAAAATGTAGTCAGGCAAAGTTAGGGAACAGGCTATGGGAGGAGGCGCTTCTCGACGCGCAAAAGGTAGATGGCATCCAAGATTTTGTAGCCCATGTTGACTTCGGCAATGCACGCTTAGGCTGCCGAACTCAATCCTTCGTCTCACGTTGGATACCAGTTGATGCATGCAGCGCTGCGTGAGGCGCAACGTTACGACGAAGCCATCGAGGCCTTCAAAATCATGTTGTCCAAGTTGGACGATTCTCCCGAAGCTCAGATACGAGGTGAGCCATGGGAAACGCCTAATGATCTCGAAATGCCTATCTCGTTCTGTAGATCTACGTCAGCAATATGTTTGTCCGTCTGAAGCAGAAGAGGCCATTCAAAGGGCAGTCTGGATTGAACTCGAATATGCCCCGCTGCGTCTACTTAATACCTCCACGGGTATTTTGTGCGATCGAGCAGCCCAAATATACGCATTCAAAACGAGCGCAGAGTGTAAGGAGCTTTTGGCATTCACAACAAAGCATTCAGACCTTCGAATGGACCGCATCAAGCAAGTGGTAGCAGCATACTTCCGCTGCGTCTTGCTGTCACACAGGTGGGAAGAGACGGAGGTGCTGCTGCACGACATTCAGGATAAAGATGTGCACGAGTTGAAGGAACTTGGCGGGATCGCGAAACTTCAGTCGTTCTGCGTGGTCGCTCGCAATTCTGGGTATCGCTGGGCATGGATGGACACGTGCTGCATCGACAAGAAGAGCAACACCGAGCTTCAAGAATCGGTGAACTCCATGTTTGTCTGGTACCGCCATTCAGCGCTTACCATCGTCTACCTATCTGATGTACCCTCTTCATCTGAACCCGGCGCATTAGCGAGGAGTGTCTGGAACCAGCGAGGATGGACCTTTCAAGAATTCGTCGCTCCGAAAGTTGTATTATTCTATCAAAAGGATTGGTCATTATATCTGAATGATCGCTCTTCCAACCACAAAGAGTCCCCTACAATCATGAAGGAGTTGGAGGATGCGACAGGAATAGATGCACGGGCCTTGATCTCCTTTCGTCCTGGGATGAGCGACGCCCGACAGAGACTTCAATGGGCGTCATCTCGTGTCACTACATTGCAAGAGGACGTCGCGTATTCATTGTTTGGTATCTTCGGTGTCCACCTACCTGTCATTTACGGCGAGAAGAAGCAGAATGCGCTCGGGCGACTCTTGCAGGAGATCGTGGCTCGGTCGGGAGACATCACCGTCCTCGACTGGATCGGACAACCTTCCGAATTCAATAGCTGTCTTCCGGCCTATATCACTTCTTATGCCACTCCTCCGTGTGCCCTTCCATCTTTGTCCGAAGATCAGATTCAGACAAATATCTCTTCCCTCCGAGAAAATCTCATGGTTGTGGATTTGGCTCCGGAACTTTACGACCGGCTTGATAACACGAGCGCCGCTCGTTTCGCGAACTGCAGACTACATCTGCCTTGCATGGTATTCCGTATCACACAAGTCAGTCTGAGCTATTGTACATCGCAGGAGACTCAATATGAAGTCAAGGCAGACGGGCTTGACGACCTGGTGATCACCACGAAAAGGCCGATCGTCCAGTTCTTGCGGACAAGGTCCACTCAGCACACCTTCATGCTCGTCCGTCCCTGGGATCGGTCTCTCCTCGAGTCACCAGACTTTGCAGATCTTCAAGACGATACAGAGAGTGAAGGGGATGATTGGACGCCACCCTCGTCTCCGTCTGACGACTCACCTAGCCGTTCTGTTGTAAATCAGGGGGTGGATGATCTAGAATTGCGAGCATTGCGGTTGGTTGTTCGCCTTGGGGAGCCTTTTGGGGCATTTTTACTAGCGCGGCAGCGTGGTGGAGAATACAAAAGGGTCGCGTCAGATCGTGATATCGTTGCGCAGGTCAAAGATGTGGCTTCGGTCCGAGACCTGATGCATGTCAGGACGATTGAAATACTGTAAGTAGATGCATTCTAGATTAGCCTAGGGTCTGAGCAGTTTTCATTGGTACTTTCATATATATCATACTACATGCATGTGTATTTGTACTATGGGTTCGCTGTGTGAATTTATGACCTTACTCCGGACACAGACCGCGGAGCCCTATCTACATCACTTTTCTGTCCGATACCACTATGCCCCATCACGCTCAGTACACCTACCTGCATGGGTGCTCGGGTTCAACTTATGCCGTTACCTCTCAATGTACCACCACCCTTCGTCCTCTAGAATTCTTGGTGGCGACAAGTTGATGTGTGATCCGCAAATGGGGGCCAGGCAGGCTATGCATTCAAGTACAATCATTAGTAGCACGTCTCGAAAGCCTGGAAAAATGCACTAAAGCACCTCCACGATCTCATTGACAGAAGAACAGTCAAACGAAAAGAAATAACATCCCATGAAAGAAAGACTCACAATGCTTGCAAAACTCAAAACATGCCTTGACGGAAGCTTGACCTTCAACGACTCAACTGTGATTTAAGATTCCCTGGTCGAATTTTTCAGCCATGTCGGGGGAATGCCAACACGGCGTACGGAAGATGTATCCGGATTCCATATAACGCAGGGGATGATACTTGCCCGCACCTGCGACTCCCACGTAAGGAGTCTAATTATAAAGTGACCCCAAATACATCAGCCGCAAGCCTCCTTCAACATCTCCTCAATAAAGGGCTTATAACGAGAAATAGTAGTTGTATGTGGAAAGGCGGCATGGAACGTGGTTTGGGATGAAAGTGAGGTGAGTGATGTCTCTTGGCTGTCCGACTCGGCGCATCGCTGATTTTGTTGATTCCCTCCACTGGGTGTATCATATCCGTATAGTTCCGAAAACATCAACTCCCTGAGTTTCATTACCCATCAACCACGGAGCGTAATGTCAAATCAAAGATCAAGTAGTGATTCAGCGTGTTGATACGTTCGAAACACATACCCACTTTGGGGCTTCGAGCTTTACCTTCCATCTTTGCGGCCCAATTCGCCCTCGACATCCCCTAACAAAAACTAGTGTGCAGTCGCATCAACCATGTGTACCAATAGCGGCCACAGCTGTGTAGGATTATTAGACCTCGAAGATACGTCAGTCCCCGGGCCACCATCAGTGCTCTCCATGACTCGGCTGAATGTGTAAACCCGTACGGCTGTGGTGGATGCTGAAATACGCTTTGTGATCTTCGTGACCTCCGTCCTGTGTTAGATGAGACCGTTGTGGAGGCACTAGTCCACACTCTCGATAAGGGGAGGTTCCAGAGCTGAAGTTTGGAGTAAGAGGACGAGAGACGTGATGTTGTTCCTAGAGATTTGGATACGGGTGGTAATGAGGACAAGTGAGGTAAACCCATTTTCTCCATCATTTTCGTATCTTGGGAAAGATCCATCCTTCAAATGTTAAAGTTAGGCAGAATTTGATTAAAGGATATCACCAACACTTCAATAATTTCCTCGTCAAAACCTAGCGCGATCACAACCGTACGTGTAAGCTGGAAGGGATTCTGCAGCACCTCCGCCCCCCAGTACTGACCGGCCCAAGGGTCGGGCTGCAGAACAATATTTGCGAGAAAAGAGCCGCACTGATAGAAAGCGCTTTTTCGTTTAGAATCGGTGACGAGTTTGAGTGGAGGCGTGGAAACGAACAGCCATAAGGGTCCTGGGCGTCTATTGAAACGAGGCACGAGAAGCACCATAAAACGCGTGATACACGCACCTCTGCTTAGACAAAGATACAGTCCGTCCAAAGTCCACCTCGACGCCATCAACGTCTAGTAAAATGCCGGACATGATTCCGATTGGTACACCCCTACGAAAGTTCAAAGGCCATGAAAGAGGCGTAACGGCAATCGCAGTTTTCCCCGATAAACGATGGATGGTTACGGGTTCGTACGACAACACGCTCATTATGTGGGACTTGGAGACAGGTGTTGTGTTGAAGAAGATGGAAGGACATGACAATGTGGTGCAGGCATTGGCTGTATCACGAGATGGACAATTGATAGCAAGCGGTGATAGAGGCGGAAAAGTCATCATCTGGCACGGAGGAACTGGCGATTTAATCACCAAAATCGAAGCCCACTCCCGTTATATCAGCTCGCTGGATTTTTCTCCCGATGGAACAGTGCTGGCCACTTGTTCATATGACATAATGACGAAACTGTGGAATACCAAAACTTGGCAGCATCAAGGAGATCCAATAAAGTGTGGTGCATATGCCCGCTGCGTACGGTATTCACCGTCTGGAGACCTTCTTGCCATCGCAACAAATTACAACATTGAAATTTACAATTCAAGCACGAGGAAACGCGTCGCAAAGTTCACCGGTCACACGTCATCCAACTTGTCACTTGCGTGGACGCCCGATGGCACACGCCTTCTCACAGGTGGCAAGAGTTCTGATCCTACCATACGTGAATGGGATACAACAACCTGGAAGCAGGTCGGTGATCCCTGGACGGGTCACTCTAATCATATCAATGCCATTGCCATTCATCCTGCTGGTATACTCGTCGCATCCGCATCTAGTAACGAACATGTTCGTCTTTGGCAGCTCTCAGATCGACAAACCATTGCCATCCTCAAGTGCTCATCCTACATGGCATGCGTCACTTTCTCCGTGGACGGCAACCACATCCTCAGCGGACGTAAAGATAACACGATCTCGGAGTGGGCAGTACTTCAGGATACTGATCCAAAGGCATGTCCTCGTCATTGATTCATACCACAAATCGAGCATGCTTCTTGCAGACTATTGCCATTACAACAGCCCGCAATGCATACATAGATGGTGACTTATCTACTGATGAAGAACTACCCACACAAGATATCACCACCAATACCAACAACCATACTCCCTCAGGCTACGCCCATCGTTCAAAGGCATGTTTTCGTCCTGGACTCATATATATCGCAATTCGAGCATGCTTCTTGCAGATCCTAGCCATTACGACCTCCCGTATTGCATGTGTAAATGGAGATTTATCCACCGCCAAAGACCTACTCACCCAAGATATCAACACCAATCCGAACAACCATACTTCCTACGCCCATCGTTCATTTGTTATGGCGCGAAATCACGATTGGGACCACGCCCTTCGGGATGCGATAAATGTCAGATTTGCTGACCCGTCTCCGCTCCCTTATGAATGGCTAACTCGATGATGACACAGTCCATCAACATTGAGCCTTCGTTGACAGGCTACATCTCCAAGGGTATTGCCCTCTGCGGAACAGGCCGCGTCCCAGATGCGAGAGCAGCATTTGACGTTGCATCCATGTATACGGATGAAGATTCAGAAAACCTCCATTTTCTGCTGTTGATCAAAGTATGTTGCAGTTGCCTTGCATACTCTCCGCTTCATCACGGTTCAGGCCATCACGCTCTTCAATGCAGATCAACATGACGAGGCAAACCTGCTCCTCAAAGAACTCGCCACCGGTTGTCCAAATGCCGACACTCGCGCATGTTGTATCGTGGAAGTAAGCATCGCGCAGCCACGCTGAGTCATCTGCATCGACGCTAATTTTTGTAACTTGCATATTAGGCATATCTTCGAGTTCAACTTGGACTCGAATCCTTGGATGGCGCACGTCACGAAGAAGCCGCTGTCCATTTCACTGCCGCTCTCGACTGCCGTGATTCATCATCGAAATCGGACATTCATGAAATTTACGAGGATTTGGTGGTGGTACGTCAACACACACCCGAAACGCTTTCATAACCAAATTCCCTGTTCAGCTCTTCGGATGGGATCTCAAATCGTTGTGGCTGACTGCACACCAGAAACGTTGCGATGCACTCCTTCTGGCAGGTAAACTTCAAGACGCCGTGAGATCATACCGATACATGATGGATAGTATCGACGAAATAACGAGGGCCATCTGCCTTGAATGGTCCAACGGTAAGTCTGGAGTTTGCAATGTCATGCAGGCTACAATCCTCACTCGGACTTCACTTAGCTTTTACGAAGAAATGCAGCGCACCCCTTCTTACCGGCGGGGATGCTGCCCTCGCTGCAAGCGATTTTGACAGGGCGATTGACTTGTACTCGGCGGTGATCGACCTGGATTCTGCATCCGATGTTGTCTTTGCAAAATGTAGTCAGGCAAAGTTGGGGAACAGGCTATGGGAGGAGGCGCTTCTCGACGCGCAAAAGGTAGATCGCATCTATGATTTCGTAGCCCATTTTGACTTCGGCAATGCATACATAGGCTACCGAACTCAATCCTTCCTCTCACGTTGGATATGAGTTGACGTATACAGCGCTGCATGGCGCACAACGCTACGACGAAGCCATCGAGGCCTTCAAAATCATGTTGTCCAAGTTGGACGATTCTCCCGAAGCTCAGATACGAGGTGAGCCATGGGAAACGCCTAATGATCTCGAAATGCCTATCTCGTTCTGTAGATCTGCGTCAGCAATATGTTTGTCCATCTGAAGCAGAAGATGCCATTCAAAGAGCAGTCTGGATTGAACTTGAATATGCCCCGTTGCGTCTACTCAATACCTCCACGGGTATTTTGTGCGATCGAGCAGCCCAAATAAACGCCTTCAAAACGAGCGCAGAGTGTAAGGAGCTTTTGGCATTCACAACAAAGCATTCAGACCTTCGAATGGACCGCATCAAGCAAGTGGTAGCAGCATACTTCCGCTGCGTCTTGCTGTCACACAGGTGGGAAGAGACGGAGGTGCTGCTGCACGACATTCAGGATAAAGATGTGCACGAGTTGAAGGAACTTGGCGGGATCGCGAAACTTCAGTCGTTCTGCGTGGTCGCTCGCAATTCTGGGTATCGCTGGGCATGGATGGACACGTGCTGCATCGACAAGAAGAGCAACACCGAGCTTCAAGAATCGGTGAACTCCATGTTTGTCTGGTACCGCCATTCAGCGCTTACCATCGTCTACCTATCTGATGTACCCTCTTCATCTGAACCCGGCGCATTAGCGAGGAGTGTCTGGAACCAGCGAGGATGGACCTTTCAAGAATTCGTCGCTCCGAAAGTTGTATTATTCTATCAAAAGGATTGGTCATTATATCTGAATGATCGCTCTTCCAACCACAAAGAGTCCCCTACAATCATGAAGGAGTTGGAGGATGCGACAGGAATAGATGCACGGGCCTTGATATCCTTTCGTCCTGGGATGAGCGACGCCCGACAGAGACTTCAATGGGCGTCATCTCGCGTCACCACATTGCAAGAAGACGTCGCATACTCATTATTTGGGATCTTCAGTATCCACCTACCTGTAATCTATGGGGAGAAGAAGCAGAACGCGCTTGGGCGACTCTTGCAGGAGATCGTGGCTCGGTCGGGAGACATCACGGTCCTCGATTGGATCGGACAACCTTCCGAGTTCAATAGCTGTCTTCCAGCCTGTATCACTTCTTACGCCACTCCTCCACGCACCCTTCCATCCTTGTCCGAAGATCAGATTCAGATAACTATTTCTTCCCTGCGAGAAAATCCCGTGGCTGTGGATTTGGCTCCGGAACTTTACGACCGGCTTGATAACACGAGTGCTGCTCGTTTCGCGAACTGCAGACTACATCTGCCTTGCATAACATTCCGTGTCACACAAGTCCATCTGAGCTCTAGTACATCGCAGGAGACTCGATATGAAGTCAAGGCGGACGGGCTTTGTGACCTGCTTATTACCACTCAAAAGCCGATCGTCCAGTTCTTGCGGAGGCCCACTCAGCAAACCTTCATGCTCGTCCGTCCCTGGGATCGGTCTCTCCTCGAGTTACCTGACCTTCAAGACGATACAGAGAGCGAAGGGGATGATTGGGTGCCGCTCTCGTCTCCATCTGACAGCTCACCTAGCCATTCTGTTGTAGATCAGGAGGTGAATGACCTGGACTCGCGAGCATTGCGGTTGGTTGTTCGTCTTGGGCAGCCTTTTGGGGCATTTTTACTAGCGCGGCAGCGTGGTGGAGAATACAAGAGGGTCGCGTCGGATCGTGATATCATTGCGCAGGTCAAAGATGCGGCTTCTGTCCGAGACCTGATGGACGTCAAGACGATTGAAATACTGTAGATGCATTCTAGATTAGGGATCTGAGTGGTTTTCATTATTACTTTCGTATATATCATGATTCATACTACATGCATGTGTATTGGCATTCTCCACTACGTGATTTACATTCAACCCACTACTACAGCTTTATTTACATAATGAAATCTTAATCAAACATTACCGCCTTGATCAACGAGTGCTATAAGAGATATCTAAAGCCTTTATGCAGCCCTAGAGCCTGCTCTTCGACTTCAGCAGCTTCATTGCACCGTGAAAGGTGCCTCCTGAATACCCAAAGCATCACAATACACATGGTGCTTGTCAAGATGCATATGCCACATGAGTTCGCGTATGAAGGTCCCCAACGGGACGGCCAAAAGTACCTACAACACATTAGCAACACCAAAAAGTAAGAGTACGCTATGAACTAACGATGAACCGATATAACCAAGTGATGACATAGCATTGATGAATGCGATGGCCACAGCGCATTTCGATCGTGATTGGGAAAATGTGTTCATGATCCAGGTCAAAGACACAACATGTGCAACTGGGGCCTGAGCCATAAAGAATCTTCACAGAAAACGTCAGGCTGTGGAATTGCAGAACGAGAAGGTTCGTACAGAGACAGATATCGAACGGCCGCATTCATAGTAGAAATTGCCACCATGAACCCAATGATGGCGACAAATAGAGGACCGGCAGTATGCCAGAAGCGATCGCCGGTAGCATCGGAGTGCCTTAGCTATTGTTAATTCATCAATCGGGACTGGCAAGTAGATACTGACCTAGCCACAAGAAACAATGTTGCAGTTCCCAAAATCCACGGAGGTGCACAGAGCAAGAGGGTGATAGTGGAGTTGTAACCCATTGTAGCAGATAGTGTCGGGAAAAAAATGCGGAAAGATAAAGAAGCCTCCATCAAAATAAGAGCAGCACCGAGCCACCATACTCTCCAATCTGTAAGTGCCTCAATAAGGCCAGACCAACCCTCCACGGGCGTGCCTTTGTGCGCATTCCTGACCGCAACTTCCTCCTCAATCCGTAGTTTGGCCAGGATCCGTTCATCGGGTAAAAGCCAAACACTCGACGATGACGGAAAATCTGGCAAAATCCAGATTGCAGACACTGCAACCACAATTGTCAAAATCCCCTCCACAAAGAATAGCCATCTGCAGCACAGTCAGAGCAGTTCTACTTTGAGAGCATGCATATTTCGCCTCTGACCTCCAACCCGCAAAACCTAATGTACCATCTAGACTTGCCAAAATTCCCGACGCTGTAAGAGCACTGAAAGCATTACTAATTGGGCTACCGCAAGCCAGAAGTGCTGTGCGGTACCCCAGTTCATTGCGCTTGTACCTAGAGAAATTTCAGGATATATCGTTCGAAGGTATTGGGCAACTATACCATCGTGAAAGAAGGAAGATAGCTCCAGGAAAGAATGCCGCCTCAACCACTCCAACCATGAAGCGCAAGATAAGAATGGCATGATACCTAAAGCGACGTTAACTCCAGAGCACCAAAAGTAATAGATACTAACGTTTGTGCTACGCCTTTTCATGACCCTCGTTAGGCAATATTGATTAGGCGAATGATGCACGTACCGATAAACAGGGTGATAGCGCCACATATTGCCATGCAGTTTGAGAGGTATAGCGATGGCCTTGTCATACGAACTAAGAACATGTTGCTTTTGAATTCTCAGACGGGCCACAGAAAGGATAACGTGCTAGTACATACGAAGGAGTTTGTGTCAACAAATACCCCACGTAAAAGATGCTCATGAGTGTGTTAAACTGATTCCCCGTCATACCAAGGTCCTCCTCGAAACCACTCAACCTTGCTGCACTGTTATGACCGAGAAGCAATTGAGCCACATTACTCCAATGGTGAGTGCGAAAGGCTACGTACGCTGCATTAGTACGGTCCATCTATGCAAGAAATTAATGCAATAGTGGAAATAATAGAAACACCAACTCACGCAGCTCATAATGTACATCAGAACGAGGAAGGCAAATCGGAGGTCTAACTTGCGGAGAAGCCTCTTCTCTACTGTCTGTCTGTTCTGTTCATCGTATTCAGAAAGCACCGGACTATCACTGCTTCTGTCAGAGGCACCGTAGTGGGAACTGTTGTCTGCACTGAGCAAGGGGCGATCTGACATTCCTATGGAGTATGGACGGAAGAGACCACAAATAGTAGCAGATTCCCGCTAGCCCGTCAGCGCACCGGAATCCGGATGCCCTCAGGTTCCGATTCATACTGCTTCGGAGCCTATGCGACTCCCGAACTAGTACATATACGGTGTCAATGAAAATAACCCATATTAATGATGGCGGCATTGGCCCTGGAAGCGAATACTTGATCCTATTTCTGGAACGTATGCTCACCCTGGCTGACTAAGCGCGCCTAGCGGCCCTGTCACCGACTCACCGTGGTCTGGTCATGGACCATGAGATCCATTTAATGGACTTGGAGGCGAGGTAGAAGAAATGTCTACATGACTTCCAACTCGAGCAGATGACTATCATATGACCTTTGGTATCATGAACGGTCATGATACGGTAACCCCTGTAGTTATTTATTTTGAAATATTAATATTGGGAGAGCCTTTGAATTCAACAAGCACAAACAACGCGTCGTTTGGAACCCTCATGTCCACAGCATACACCTTCCAGTCTCCGTCCGTCACGCTCGAAAAAGGCGCGTATCGGATGCGCGCACCACACAGCACGCGACCAGGTTCTTCTCTCAGCCAAAGCCTCATGACCGCCAAACAATCGCCATCCCACTCCCCAAACAGAAAGCTCGCGATCCTCGTCGCATTACTAGCTTTCGCATCAGTAACATGCTTTTTCTTCGCGTATCATTTATTCACCACCAGGTTCGCTCCCTATGCACAACCGCACCCGCACCGCGCTGACGCCCTCCCAAAAGCAAACCCACCCGCTCCTGACACCAAATACCTTTCCTACTTCCCTCATAGCGGATTACACAACCAACGCATCGCACTCGAGAATGCTCTCGTACTCGCTAAAGCACTTAATCGTACTCTTCTTGTTCCTTTTCTAAGGCTTGGAAAACCAATTCGATACGTTTCATTTGAAAAACTAAGACGCTTCCTTGTGCTTGGGTCTAAAACTGGGCTTGAACACTGTCCACTCGTCCCTGTCGGCATACCAGCCCCCGACGAATGTTCAGGGTACGAAGAGTGGACTTCCATCCCATGGGACCACCTCGTCGATCTACAAGGAATAGGAGAGAAGATCGGAGTGAAGATGATTCAATGGGACGGAAGCCCAGCAGCAGAATATATGAAAAAGTTTCATATCAATATCTTCGACGCGGATACCTTGACGTTGCAAGACTCTGGACCTTACGATTTTCGGTTCTTGGACACGCTTGATGATGTGTCGCCTACGCGAGACAAGTATCTCTATTCCATCTACATTCCAACACTTGCTCAGGCACCCGAGAGATTGGTGCAGATAGGAACGTTGTTCGGCTCGTCGAGGCTTAGGCTAAGACAGAATGTGAGTAAGAGCGTGCGGAAAGATGTAAGGAGCGGAATGGCGTTCACGAATCCACACCTATCTCCTGTGGCCGATACGATATATGAAGCCTTGGGCACTGTCTATATTGGTGCCCATCTTCGTGTTGGGGACGGTCAATTCGAACAACGAAGCACCGATAATGCAAGAACCATCTGGTGGAAACTCGTACACCTTGTTTGTGGACTCGATCTCGAAGAGACTCTGGCGCTTGAACAGCAGCTCAGTCCTTTCGACGAGGACCTCGATCCGCCGTTTATTCAACCGGATGTACCGAGTCTCAGGGTACCTCATCCGCCTTTGCCTCCTTTGCCGCATACATTCAAACCCAAGATCCGATGTCGTGCACCTCTGCATACTTCAGCACCGTTGCAAAGACTGAACGCTCCTCTGTACATTGCTACTGACTCCCCGAATCCTGCAGCAGACCCACTGTTTTCCGTTTACCTTCAAACTTTCCCTTGTATATTCTTCCTGTCTGATTTTACATTCCGCTTGACTCCTCTCGACGCGTTGATCAATCCGTATGACCAAGTCTTGTTGAAGGGATTTTTGATGCCGGTGTTGGACGCGATGGTGTTGGCTAGAGCGAGAGAGGTCGTTGTCACAGATGGAAGCACTTTTGGAGCGTTTGTGAAGGATGTGCTATGGAGGCGGCATTGGGGATTTGAAATCGTGCAGAGGGGATGAGTATTAGTGCTAGAATGCACGTCGAACAAAACTGATCTAGTATTGTCCAGTCAGCATCAGTGAACCCGTGAGGAAAGTAGATAGCAATAAATAACAATATATAGTACATAATCGCAAGAACTAGCATAATTTTGCTATCGACAATCACATTGTTATGTTTGACCTTATAGAGGAAAGACGCGTCCCTGATTATCGTATAAAATGTTATGAAATGCCATAATGAAAGGGAGGTTCACAACTCCGAAGCATTAAATAATTGACGTGAAAATATAAAGCTTTACAATGCTTTATCTAATTGCAAAATTTACATGATATCTGCGAGAATGATACTACCTGGAGTAAGTTAGACAGAACTATCAAAAGCGCCAGCATGACAGATTGCCTGCAACAACCTGCCATTTTGTCACCAGTACCAAATTATTCTCATCCTCAGCACTCGTTTTGTGAAGCAAATTAATTTTATTTATATTTAAATACTACATATGTAGTTACAGGACAAAAAGAAAACAGGAAAAGATAGCGGAGAGATGAATGAAAGGAGGGACCAAGGTCAGCAAGGAACCACGAAAAAAGGCCAGCAAGGAGCCACGAGGAAAGGAAAGGACCACCATGAACGGCCAGAGGAAGGAACCATGAGGGAAGGACGGACCACCACGAATGGCCAGGAAGGAACCACGAGGAAAGGAAGGGCCACGAGGAAAGGAAGGGCCACCACGAACAGCCAGGAAGGAACCATGAGGAAAGGCCAGGGAGGAACCACCACAAACGGCCAGGCAG